GATGGTATTGTCTTTTAAACAGGGAAGTGAACATGATCTTTTTTAGTTCAGTGCAAGACTTTCTGAACTGCAGTTTAACATGTCTGAGGGCCAATGAACTCACTGTTATGCTGGGAGTTCTCTCCTGCAGGACATTATTGCTTATGTTAAGTAAAAGCGAAATAGATTTGTTTCAGGCTTATTTTGTACTTACTGACTTATTCGGTATCTTTAGATCAGTTTAGCTTAAAGTCACTACTTCTAATTCAGACGGATTCAACGGTACTATTATTGCTCTTGCAGACTGACATGTGTTGGGTCAATTGTTCAAGAATGCAATCAACAGCCCAGCCCATTAGTCTCCAGCATCATCAAGCATTTTCCATTACATAAGGACCCATTTGTTTCCTGTTGTGATGAGCAGTTATTGTTCACCATCTGCATAAAATTATGTCTAGTAGAGTTCTAAGTGTCTATATATGAAGAGAAATAACAGAACTTCCATTGAGGTGACAGATAGCTCATTTTGAATGTGACTAAGAGATTTACATGGGTAGCTAGTTGATGTGAGCTTCACAAACTCACAGATTTAAGGATGGTGTTTCTTGGATTATCTGACATGGGGCACTAGATTGTTATGCCTACATGTTTGCAAATACACAAATATTACAAAATGCCATAATTCTTTAGTGATTTCAAAGGGAATAGATTTAGATAAATTTTGTGGCTCAGAAATGTCTTGGATAAGGCTTATGATATTTTGTTCAAACAATCTGCAAGGAAATAGAATACCATTAAAATACATTCCTTGAATTTAAAAAAAAGAATAGTTATGTATGGAAGGATAGGGAAGGGAAGAAAACCAGCAATAGAATTAGCATATTTATATATTTAACCACAATTTATTGGCTAAAATAGGCTGTTTTTGCATGAATATCTTCAAGTACTGTATAGTCCTGAATGTCACAGTCCTATAAATGCTGAAAGGACTATCCATTGTTATAACTGTTATCATCCAAAGCTACATCTCTTTCACTTGTCCAGATTATTGAGTAACTCCTAGAAAATCTCACAGTTCCATTGATCCCAAATTAACCAATTCATAGAAGTCTCAGATTTCCTTTGTCATATCAGTTCTCTTGATACCTGATGAAACTGGGAATGTGTCTCTGCACAGATAGTCATTTGCAAAGAAAAGGAAAGAGGGAAATGTCTTTGATCCTTTGAATGATCCTGCAAAAGGATTATTTTAGGGAGGAGCCCCCTTTTTTTCACATACAGGAAGGAATATGATAGACTTCTTAATCATTGGGTTAGCTTTGGCTTCAGGGCTGAGTCATGTGTTGAAATGTAAATTTGGGATTAACAAAGCCTATTAATCCACTCATTCAGAAACACTATATCATCCTTATTGATGATAGCGAAGCGCTTTGAACTCTCAGAAACATGAGGCAGCCCATTGGAAATCCTAGCAAGAAAACCATAATCTGATTGTTTTCAATATACACAGTAGCTAGTGGTGCTAAAAAACAGATGCCATTGCCATAAACTGCATAATGAATATTAATAATAAGTTCCTCTGAGGCAGAGAAGAGGCTCAAATATTTAAAATTTTCTGATACAGCCAGAAGACGTATCTGCCCTAAGCCTCACCCAGCTTGTTCATAATGTCACAGCACAAAGGAATGCACAGCTCCAACACCTTTGTAGATCACTTTGTGATGTGATGATACTCTCAATGATACACACGGTCTAGTGCAGGGAGTGATGTCAATTTTTAAAATTTCATCAGGGCTGGCCCACCTATGAGACAAGTGCCTCAGGTGATGGATGTTGGGCAGTAGTGGCAGCTGTTCCAAGCTACTTCTAAAATCCTTCTTAGATACCAAAGTTGCTTTCTTTGAATTGAGATAAATATGATAATCCAGTCAAATTCTTTTTGTGCTGAAATGGAAGATACTTCAAATTATCTTGTGCCAGTCCTGAATGCACTGTATTTTAGCTTTAATCTTAAAAAAAAAAAAAGGGAATTCAGTATTAGCACTCCGGTTGCTTTTTTGATGGGGTAAATGTTCTATTTTCACCCCTTGTTTGTTTCTGAAAATGGGTGTTTCCGCAGGATCTATTTCTAATCATAGTTCACAAGGTCTGGGACACAACTCACAGAAGCATGTCAAAAGATGATATCTTGATATATAATCAAAGGATTATAGAAAGAGAAATTTCCTGACAGAAAATTAATCAATGGAATGACTTGCCTCCAGAAGTTGTGGGTGCGGCCAGCAATGGGGGAAAAGTCATGATACGTCGCGCGACATCACGTGAGGTGGCGAGTTTGACATGCCTGGTATAGGGTTTCCTGCTTGAGTAGGCATTTGGATTAGAAGACCTCCAAGGTCCCTTCCAACCTTCTTATATATTTCAAAAACATTGAATATTACACAAAATCCAACCCAAACTCTTGTGCTGACAATGGGAAGCTAGATTCCTTTATGTATTAACAATATACAGGACAGACTCAAGACATTTGCATGCTTGACACAGAACTATATTTGACACTCCCATCCCTCATGTGAATTTTGTTCTTATAGATTTTTTTTGGTACATGGTTTTATGTTGTTTTTCTTGGGTTCAATTGTTGCATAGTTTTGCTAATTAAAAATAGTCTATATTCCATATGTGAGTTTCTCAGAGCCATGTACTGAGATGGGTACCTCTATAATTTTGATTAATAACTAAATAATAAGTCTATGTCCATAGTACCTAAAATTAATCACGCACACAAAAATGCTTCTTCCCATTTCTTTTTGCAGCAAAACCCCACAAAACAATAAATTAACAAGGAATCTGGCTCTCATTCCTGATATACCAGCTCAGGTGCTCAAGAAGTGACCACACTTGCTTGAGCAGTAACATCTCCCATTCTCTCAAGTAGGCTAAAATATCATTTCACACCATCTCTGCCAAGTTATGTGGAATAGAATGGCTTTCCCTCTTTTCATGAAGGCCTCCATAGCTCTTTAAATCTGAGCACTGCTACTCCCATGGATGTTGACGAAGGCTAGACAACTACTGTATGTATGCAGCTTCCATTAGCCTATTGGTTTCCCCATGGATTTCCTGTATTTAGCTAATCCCAAAATAGATTGGAATTTAGGTGGTCACTAAGAGTGGACCACATATCTGATGGCATAAAATCAATGTGCTTTAAGGACTAACTTCAATTACTACAGTTGCAGTTAACCTGCAACTTTAATTCTAAACTTGGCAGCAAATAAAGATCTTTCTTGGGGGGAAGGGCATTTTAAAAATAACTTCAATATTTTAGAACTGAAACACTGTTTTGTGACTACTTTATCATGTCATATTACATTGAACATAAAACTTCCTTTTTAACCTGACTTTGTACGGTACTCTAGATAGGTTTTTATGTACAATTTAAAATAAATTGTAAAAAGCTAAATAACAATTGCTAAAATAACAATTATAAGCTATAGAGTTTTGTTTGGGGTGATGCAAAATACAATACAGTATTTAATTCGTCCATCTTTGGGGTATATTGCCTAAAAACTTATTTCCAGATTTTTACATTGCATTAAATATAACTTTGAAGCTGCTCCGGGCCTTCTCCTCTTCTCTATTTGCATTCTGATTCATGAAATGGTTTAAAATTGTTATCTTCAAGTTAAAAGGTAAAAAATGCAAGGAATAGAAATTAACCCTATTCTTTTTTCTGACAGCAAAAACACCATCAGATCTGGTAGGAGGGGCATGTTATAAACCCCATCTCTTAAAGCAGCGGTTCTCAACCTGTGGGTCGGGACCCCATTTGGGGTCGAATGACCATTTCACGGGGGTCGCCAAACAACGCAGTCCGCCATTTTTCCCCTTTTCCTTAGCTGTGCTACTCCCTTTTATTCTATTGGCTTTTGAAAGCCAATAAAATAGACTCTCTTGAATAGAGTCTAATTCTATTGGCTTTCAAAAGCCAATAGGAATTGTCCAGGCTGTCTCTGCCCTGCTGAGCCCGCCAAAAGTCCCATTCTGCAAACGGTGCTGCAAGTTGTCTGCAGCAAAGGCGAACTGTCTGGAAGTTTCCACCCCTCCCTGCTGAGCAACTACTAAAAATGTAAGTAAAAGAGGGCCAGGGGTGGGAGGTGGGAGGCCGGCGGGCGCAGGGAGGGTTTCTGGCGCGCGTGGGGCCTGGCGGGTGCCTTACCTCACTTGGGCTGGGCCAGCCGGTGGTCAGCCTGTGCCATCTCTGCTGCTTGCCAGCTACGCCTCAGCCAGCGCAGGGGGCGGCACCACGCATGCGCGGCGCTCCCGGTCAGGGAAAGTCCTCAACTTACGACCGGTTGGGTAGTCCTCGACTTACGACCGGTTGGGGGTCGCGGCATTAAAAAGTTGAGAACCACTGTCTTAAAGGCTGGCAGGACCCAAGAAGAAAGTGTATCTATTCTTTTAAACATCATCCCCCTCTCTGCCAGGGATTAGGATACTCCCAATCCTGTTGGCCTTTTGTAGAGGGTTCCATGTCACCAATTATGACGGTGGAAACATATGAGAGAGTCCATGAGATTATTCGTTGCTTGTGGTTTTTATCTTAGCTGACTACTGTATGCTACTGTTATGTTTTTAACTGTTCTTCGCTACCCAGAGTCATGAGGTTAAGATGGATAGCCATATAAAATAAAATAATAAAATAAATAAATAAATCCATGTGCAAAATGGGTGCATGTCTATAAGAATTTGTCTTTGTGTTAATTATCTGAGATACTTTGCTTCAGCTTGCTTTCCACGAGCAATACAAATCCCTTGCTTCATTCATTTTAATCTAATGAGTTTCAATTCAAGAGATTTAACTTCAGAAAAAAGCATGAGTCATAAACAATTGAAATGGCTCTTGCCACACAGGGATGAAGGATGTTCCATCCTAATTTTCTAGGAGTTGCCAACACTGATTGGCTGGCTGCCTTTCTCCACCCTGGTTGTGATTGGTAGATCCTGTCACTTCTGTGTTGCTTTCTTTGCCATCCTTACCTCAGGCTCTGGCACTCCAGGGCTGCACACTGACCACAAGGCTTGCTGCCTGCTGATCAGGATTCCAGAAACAAGGTGTGTTGGGTGGAATCATTGGGATGAGAGTGGCAAGAGACCCAGTTTCATTGGTTGGCTTTAGTTTCATAAAATGGCATGTTGCTTGTTGGATATCTGCAATGATTTTATTCCAGAAGGTTTGCAAATTTGTAATTGAACGGAGAATCAGAGGCCTAAACATTGCATTCAGATCAATGTGAAGAAACTTGGGTTAAATCATGGTGATATTTGAAAAGTTTCTTTTCTGAAACTTTTGGGGAGTTCATTCATAGAGGTGAAAATATTCATAGCTGGGCCTCCTACACCGGAATATATTAATTACTTTGCATGTACAAGGTCAGGCTAAATTACAAGTGGGTGCGTGTTTAGAATAGATATTTGATAGTAGAAAAGGTAAGGGCAAGAAGATATATATAGTTCTAAAAGTTATAAAATGAAAGGTAAATACATGGCATGTTTCCTATTCATATTTGTTGCCTCTCTCAAGTGTTTAAAAAATAATGCCTGTATTTTGTTCCCAGCCTCATCCATTTAAAGAGTGCATGGGAAAAAGTATTTCATATTTTTGATTTGTCAGTTCTTCTTTTCAGGTCTAAATCAAGAATTCAATAATACTGTAGCTTACAAGCATCATGTGTAATTCTGTGCAAAAATTCTTCTTTGTGCAAATTCTTATTTTCATAGGAATTGTATTGTCCTAAGAGAGTCGTCTCTGCAGTCTAGGAACTTCTTTATAATTACAGCTATGTGAAGCTTTTCATACAAGAGAGAACCTTTACACAATTCCTTTTGTATGTGCAAATAAATGAGAATTCAGAGTTCTCATTTGATGCAGCCTTTGCAGCTAACTTTAGCAAGCTCAGCTAGTTTAGCTATTTTAGCAGTCTTAGTACTATCGACAGAAAATATAAGGTGAGAGAATATTTTATTTATTTATTAAATTTACATGCCATCAATCTCACTGTCACTGGGTAGACAATATATTGGATGGCTAGATGCTTCAATATTTTTTATTACTGTTAATGTTCCATTCAGGTCTCCTTGATGTGAAAAAGAAATCTTTTTTTTTAAAAAAAAATAAGATTATTGAATTTTCTTTGCTTGTAGTATCTAAATAAGGCAAAGTTCTTCCTTGTTTTTAGCCATCCTCAATCTAGTGGCTTCCAGATGTGTGCGACATACTTCTCCAAAATTTTCCACCACTGTATTTATTGGTAATAAGTTACTGACATCAGTGAGGTGGTTTGATCTAAGTGTATAGAGATGTGGAAACGGAACAGGAGCTGCTATAGCTTAAAAAAAAGGCAAAAAGAGTGTTTTTCAATGTGTAATTATGTGTGTATATGCTTGTCTATAACTAAGCAAATGAAAAAGAGAAAGGAATGACTGTGTAAATTAAATATAGAGCTACAATTTGGGGGGCAACAATATTTGTGCGGTGATAAATTTCTCTGAGGTAAATCAATTAGAAACATGGCAAAACTTTAACTTCTAGGCATTTTTTTTACAGACTGGCTGTGAGGAGAAAAGGACAAGAAGAAGCTGGACTTCTCAGAAAATGTAAGATTTTGAGGATTTATTAGTATGGGTCTTGAAGATGGCACAATAATCTTTTACTGTAAAATCTGTTGCAAACATCTTCATTAGCTTTCTACAGATGGTCTTTTGATAAATGTACAGGTCTGTGCAATATTCAAATCTTGAATATCTACAACTACATGTTATAGAGATAATTGTTCTGTTTGTGATTTAGATTATAACAAACTTATGTTCTTGCTGCGTAGGATTCCATACAGTAATGTCAATGGACATTCTCTTTAATTGACTTTTCCTTCCATTGTTTTGGATCATCTAGCTAGACAATTACTGTTTTCTTAAACTAGTGCATCATGACATATGCAAGAACAATTGCATTGAACCTCTCCCTGCTTAATGCCCTACCATTCCTATGGTTGATATCCTCACAGATCTATGCAGAAATTTGCATATGCCACTTCTTATATAAAATCCAACACCTGAAGTCGTGGTGTTTATTTTATTGAGAAAATTGGGTGTGCCATCTTGCTAGGTTTGATGCATTTAAGCAGTGTCTAAACTTCTCATGCCCATTAAAAGGACGAGGTCAAGTAGAACAATACATTCTTGTTTTTTTTCCATTGAATGCAGAACTATAATGTTATCTAATTTGATGTACCACAGGCTCCTTTCACACATAGGGCCTAGGCAGTCAGATGGGCTCCCATTCAACAGGGAGCTAATTATAATTTCCAAATAAACGATTCCATATAACAGGTGCCCATATCCTTCCTTTCATATTGCGTTAAAGCACACATATTTTATTTGCACATATAAAGCAACTTAGAAAATAACGAGGATTATTTTTGAGATGGAGTTAGGATTGCTTTTAATTTTGTCCCTTTTCTCTCTAGAAAGTAACATTTTCGGGGTGGAATAATTGTTAAACTCTTATGTCTCAAGTCACCTTGCTATTATGCTACATTTTGGGGAAAAAAAGAGAGAAATATATTACAGCGCTTCTATTATGAGTCAGAAAGAAAGATCTGAATAACAAGAGACAAACTCATATTAAATCATTGTTTATCGCAGCATGTAATAGATCAGCTCCCACTGCTATACTTAAATTTTAATTAGAGGCAGGCCAAGTCAATATCTCTGCAGGAAAGTGAGCAACCACACCTACTGCACTGATACTTGAATAAACACAAGCAAAAACTCCCACGTGAGTGCCATTTCTCCTGGCAACCTCAGGTGAAACAAACTCTGTTCTTCCCACTCCTGATAAGAATGATTGTTCCTACAACCATCTGATTGCTCATTCCCTTGTATTGACTGTACTACGGTACCTGTAAAGCCTAAGCAACTCTTCCTGGGTTCTACCCATGGTGTAATTTTAATTCCTGAGTCAGAATTTTCACAATCTCTGCATCTAATTACTGACAGTGGTTTGTTGTGTCCTCGGTTTCTGTTCACATACTTAGAAATGCAGTACTGGAATCTCTTCTGGAAATTTGTAGTAACCTATTGATCTTGTTTGCTAAGGGCTTCTCAGCTGAAATAGAAAGTTGGGAATTTGAGCGGAAACTAAATGAATCCATTGATATATTTAGTCTTTACTTTCAACTCTGATTGGGCAGTTTTTCCAGATTTTCTAGTGGCTAGAGATTGGCTCTGGGAACTTACACATGTAAGACATGTGCTTCTACTTAGCTGTGGTGATGCTATGGGGTGGGGGAGGAGGGGATTGAAGTAAATGATAGATTTCTCTTTTTTAATAGTTTTTATTATTTTTTTAAAATTACAATCTTTAAAGCTTAGTAAACAACATGTTTTCTGGGTTCATATATTGAACATTAACTTCTTCAATATAAATCTATTCAGTACTGCACAATCCAGTATTTTTTCCTTGATCTTCCTTTCTTCCCCATATTTTTTCCCTTTCCTCCTCATTAAACAATTTTTAGTACTATTGATGTATGCAAAATTAGGTATAGACATCTTCATCATATTTTACTAATATATAAGAAGTAACAATAATATCAATTCATAAGTCAATATCCTGTTTTTGTGCTCCTATTAAAGTTTGATTTCCCATCAATATTTAAAGTATCTTTGTCAGTTATGATTTTCTCAATACTAATTACATTTATATAGCTAAAAAAATTTATTCATATCAATCGTCCTCTTATTTTCAAATTTTCCATATCAAAAGAAGAAAAAATGCTATTTAATTTTAAATCATATCTTCCATTATAAAAATCTAGTTATATCTAAGGGTCATCCGTTCCTTTAGTCATATTCAAACAAGTATATTAAACAGATAGTGCCCCCTCTGATAGATCAGTTCCTCTGTTTTTTAAGTCATAACTCTTTCTTTCTTTCTTTCTTTCTTTCTTTCTTTCTTTCTTTCTTTCTTTCTTTCTTTCTTTCTTTCTTTCTTTCTTTCTTTCTTTCTTTGTCAAGCAGCTTTCCAGGCCAGGCAATTAAAGCGCCCAAGAATTTTCTTTCTATTTTTGTGCAAGCTGCTTGGCATGAGAAAGACAATTTAGGTAGAGTATTTTTGGGGGGAAACTCCGCCCATCCACATTCCCTAGACATTTCTCCTGCCCGCTCTATGTTCCATTTTCTAGAATCTTCTTCCTTGTCATCAGGTGTATTTTGGAGAAAGGAGTAAAGGGTCTTTTGTATTTTCATTGTTATAGGTATTTTGTTTGTGTATGGCAGTCCATATTTCCCTTCTCCTAGTAAAGGACAGGTTTCTCATGGTCCCTCACAGATACACTAGGTCAAGGGTAGGCAACCTTGGCTCTTTTATGACTCGTGGACTTCAACTCCCAGAATTGAATTTCTGCTGGCTCAGGAATTCTGGGAGTTGAAGTCCACGAGTCATAAAAGAGCCAAGGTTGCCTACCCCTGCACTAGGTAAAAATGGAGTCTGATCTTACATTGATTGATTGGTTTGTTAACTCCTATGCACAGTGGTTTTTTTTGGGGGGGGGGGTAAAAAAAAAAAAGGTGCCGGAACTCACACACGTCATACAACCCGCCTTGCCTACCCTAAAAGGTTCCATCCAAAAAAGGTGCCGGAACTCCGTTCTGGGCGTTCTATGAGAAAAAAAGCTCTGCCTATGCAGATCTCTTTGGTTTCTACTAATTGGCTCACAAACAAGATTTCTTTTTTCAGTGTAAATTTAATCCAGAAATCACCCAACTGATAAGACCACTGCATGGAATGCACATCATATAGAAAAGATTGTTGTGTATTTATGATGCAATCTGTTGGTTCATCTTCAAGGTTTGAAGGTGCTACTGTAATATCAGGCTCTGATTAGCAATATTTAATAGCAAAAAAATTAAGGTTACAGCCCAAGCATTCCAGTGAGTATTCCACTTTCAAATGAAAAAAAACCTCTATGTAGGCAATCTAAAAAGTGGCAAAACTCATGGACTAGTCTTACAATTTTTGATTCAAGGTTTTGTTTGTGTTTTTTGTGAAGGTGGGGATATTTTGCATCAGTTGATTTTTTGGGTAACTGCTGTTAGACTTTATCAGGATACATTACTTTTGCATGTATCTTGGATGCTTTTGAAACGTGTGTGACCATTATTGTTCCTTACTGGATGGACTATATCTGTGGTGGCGAACCTATGGCATGCATGCCACAGGTGGCACACAGAGCCCTCTCGGTGGGCACGCGCACCATTGCGCCAATCCTAGGCCTTCAGCTGGGTTTTATAAAACTGTTTTGCTTTAGGCCTCCGCCACCATGTGCAAAAAAAAAAAAGTTTCAATCGATCAATTTCAACTTCTTGCAGGAAAAAAAAAGATCTCGCATAGTAGGAATTGATTGATTGAACTTTTTAGTCCCACCCAGTCTGCTGCTACCATGCAGCCACGCCCACCCAATGGGCCATGCCCACCCAGCACCCGATGATACATAAGTGGGTTTTGGGTTGCAGTTTGGGCACTTGGTCTCTAAAAGGTTCACCATTACTGGATTATATATTAGAATTCTAATAAATCTCACTAGAATAACCAAATAGCTGCACTAGATAGAAAAGGGCCCACTTCACAAATTATTTACAAGTGCCAAACCAGAAGTAACTTATATTTGTATACTTCAGAAATCACCAGGGCTATATGAAGCATTAGAAAAAGGAGATTGGCAACATGGGTGAATCTATATGGAACATCCTTCTTCAAATTAATGAAGCACTTTGTCTTTTTTCCAAGTCTGCATAAGTTGCTCCTAACTTTATGAGTCTAGGCACACTTGGAGAGATACCGGTAGCTGGGAAGCAGCTTCTGAAGCAGTTCTGTGAGCCTGAGAAAAATGTGGCTGCCTAAATGATTCAAAGGGAGGCGGCTAGGAAAGTCACAGTAAATTAACCCATTAAACTTTAGATGTGAAGAGTGTTTCACAGGATTGCTAAAATCAAGGGAACAAAAATTCTGCATTCTAATTTCATAGAAGCCAACTGTAGTTGCACGTCTCCCATTCCACTTCACAAAATGTCTCACTGTTGAAAGTGTACTAGTAGAATAGAATCTGGGCTTTAGCAGACAGAATTTCAAGTTTAGGTCTATGTCTTTTTTTTATGACTGTTTACCATGCAGATTATATGGTGTATTGGCAGACCTCACTGAAGAGAAATGTAGAAATCTTATGGAGATGTGTATCTACTGAATGCAACAACATGTTAAGCAAATGCTCTAAAAATGGTATTGATATTTTCATAGCAACTTTTGCAAAAGTATCCAGTACTGAAGCAATATTTAAAATGTTGACAATAGCAAAATGTTTTCTTATTTTTGTAGAAATAAGAAAAAGGCCAAATTCTTTAATGAAAGCTAAGACATTATAAATGTCACCATTTAGATTGCATGAGGACTAGGACACTTTTTCTTCTTCTCTGATTTCTGCCTTACACAGCTTGTCTCCTATTGCAGTCTTCTCTATACAGTGTATTTTCTTACAAGACTCAAGTGTACCTCACTTTTTTTCTATGAGCCAAAGCATATTAAATGAAGATTTAATGGATTACTAATACTTCCCTTCAGAGATGCTGTGTGTCAATTGTATCTGTCTCTTCTGAATAGTTTTTTTAAGTTTAAGAGCCAGTTTGGTCTAATTCAGGGGGTAGGCAACCTTGGCTCTTTTATGACTCATAGATTTCAACTCCCAGAATTCCTGAGTCAGCTATGATGGCTCAGGAATTCTGGGAGTTGAAGTCCATGAGTCATAAAAGAGACAAGGTTGCCTACCCCTGGTCTAATGGATAAGGCACCAGGCTAGAAACGGGAGACTGAGTTCTAGTCCTGCCTTAGGCAGGAAAGCCAGGTGGATAACTTTGGGCCAGACACTCTCTCAGCCCACCTCACCTCACAGAGTTGTTGTGGGGAAAATAAGAAGAGGAAAGACTATTCAGTATGTTTGCCGCCTTGCATTATCTATACAAATAATAAAGGCAAGATCTGATCAGGAAAAGAAATTGTGGGGAAGGGATAGTGAATGTTACCTCCGTGCCAGCTCTTAGCATGTTGTATGTGACTATTCTATTAATGGACAGAGCATTTCCATTGAGAAAAGGATCAGTTTGGATCCGATCCTCCCCTTTTTTGTTGCATTGAATATGGGTGTTTCATTAAGTCAATAGATGATATGCAATACTTCAAACACTTTTTGGCAGAACTAAAGAAGATGCCATTGTTTCTTTCCATGTACCTTAGATCTGGAGGGTTCAGGAATTAGCAGAAGAGAAGACAAGAAAACCCCATCCCATAAGAGTCTTTTTCTGCAGCATTAGATTTCACCCAAAGGATCTAATGTCATTTTTACAAACTCAATTAGAAAATGCATCAAGGCCCTGGCATTCCGTTTGTGCCACTCAACAATATTTTGAACACAAGTTAGAAAATAGATGAGAGATCAACTGTCAGTCCCATTCATTATCATTTACAATCTAGGCAGATTTTATGAAAAACAAATGGAAAAAAAACACCTTCTTAAATCAAGCCAGCTCAGATGGGCCTATGACACAGATTGTTACCTATTAATGAGCTAACTGAAAAAGATGCAGAAGTAAATATTTTGTTGACACCAGTGTGTGTGGGTGGCATCTTGTAACACAGGGGCTATGTGTGTCTGATGCATGCCGAGAGTTTGAGACGCTCTTCAAGAAGGAGCAGAAAGGCTTGTGAGTCAGGCAGTGGTGTAAATTCTTGTACTATAATATGAAGAACTGCTTGATATCAACACTTGGAATATTTTTTAAAATATATTGATTTAAACCTTATCTCTGTTAGCTATTTTTTAAGTCTACTAAGAATCTTTCTCTTGACTCTTGAACACTTTACTACAGCCTCCATGTGTTTGTGTGTGTGAAAATTTCCAAGTAAAGTTTGATTCCTGTTGACCGTTTGGAGCTATCGATATAACTTTCTTGGCAATAGTGCAGAAATGATTTGCCACTGATGTTTCCCAGAATATATATATATATATATATATATATACACACACACACACACATACATACACACATATATATATATATACATATATATGTGTGTATATATATATATATATATATATATATATATATATATATATATATATTTACCTCATAGAATAGCCTTTCATCCTGGTATGTGTCTGTAGTTTTGAGAGCCAGTTTGTAAGTTCAAATCCCGCCTTAGGCAAGAAAGCCAGCTGGGTGACCTTGGGCCAGTCACTCTTTCTTATCCCAACCCACCTCACAGGGTTGCTGTTGTGGAGAAAATAGGAGGAGGAAGATGTGATGGTGGATACGTTTGCAACCTTGAGTTATTTGTGAAAATAATAAAGGCAGGATACAAATAAATAAATAAAATAAATAAAAAACAAACTATAAATATTATCCTGCATACGGTAGTTTTTTTCAACCAAATATGTACTGATGGTCTATCACTGGCTAAGACACACCCTCATCCACACACTCACAATCATATTAGCATAATCTCATTCTCTAGTACAGCCATCGCCGTTACTTGTTATGATATCAATGGTTTTATCTCTCAGCGCTGTTCACCTATTGCGATGTCCTCTGCTTTTTTTTTTTTTTAAAAGATGGAGAGATTCCATTTCTTTGCGTTTCTCTTGAGCGGAGTCTTAATCTCTGGAGTCCTTGGCCTTCAATCCACAAATTTTTCAATAGACTGTGAAACTATGTCAACCAATCTAACTGAACCAGAGGAATCTGCACCCCCCTACCACCTTTTGGTATCATCCGAGGAATATGAGCCAGGACATGAAGTTGAAGGTACTTTCCATATATTTAGTCTCTTGATTTCTGCATCTTTACATCCTTTTTTCCCCCCAGCCTTTTTCTTGGGGGGGGGGTAGGGAGAAGAATAGAATACATTAATGTGACATTTGATTAGATCAATATGATAAAAAAAAATACAAACCACCCAGCATTTAACAATAGTTGAGTAGAGAAGAGCATTTACAAGCGTTTTCCTACAAGCCTCTCTAGAACAGTGGTTCTCAACCTCTGGGTCGGGACCCCATTTGGGGTCGAACGACCATTACACGCAGTCTGCCATTTTTTCCCCCTTTTCCTTAGCTGTGCTACTCCCTTTTATTCTATTGGCTTTTGAAAGCCAATAAAATAGACTCTCTTGAATAGAGTCTAATTCTATTGGCTTTCAAAAGTCAATAGGAATTGTCCAGGCTGTCTCTGCCCTGCTGAGCCCGCCAAAAGTCCCATTCTGCAAACGGTGCTGCACCAGTTGAGTAGTCCTCGACTTACGCCCGGTTGAGTAGTCCTCGACTTACGACCGGTTGGGGGGTCCCGGCATTAAAAAGGTTGAGAACCACTGCTCCAGAAGGTTTGGAGAAGCCCTTTGGATTACCATGCTTACAGTAATGTTTTCAGCAGAATGGTAGATATAAAAAAATTGTCTCCTTACTCACTTCTTCCTTCCTTTTCTGGACCCCAATATTTTCTGAAAACAAAAGGCTAATCTGGCTTTAACCCCTCCACTAATTTATTAGAGGGCTCTTTTCTGCTACTGTTGTAATTGGCATGAAGGTGGGAGTGGGGGCTGACTTCAAGGTTAATCTTGTCTCCTGCAAACTGCCTGGACTAGTCCCTGCAGGTTTTTTTGTTTTTTTTTTTGGCAAGGTTTCAAAAGTGGTTTGCCATTGCCTGCTTCCTAAGGCTAAGATAAAGTGACTGGCTTTGTGCCTAAGGTGGGACTAGAATTCATGTTCTCTCAGTTTCTAGTCTGATGCCATAACCATTATACTAAAATGCTAGAATTAGGGAGTACAAAATGGCTGTCTTAAGCTTTAAGAGTCTCTCCCTTCCATGTATCACAGTACTGCTTTATAATCCTGATTATGAGGCTTTGTTCGTGAATGAAACACAAGCAGCTAAATCACTTGTGCATGGTCTTTCTAATTTCCAAATCATAAAACAAGTATCAGATGATCTCATATTCCTATATTTAAAAGAAGTACCATTTAACAATCACAACAAAACAATAAATTCATTATTGAAAATATAGCAACTAGAGATAAAGATAATTAAACTTTCAGGGAATGTATTATCTTTAGCGCTGCTGGAACAGAATGCATAATGTATAACATTTATCAATGTTTTGGGTCTTTTTCTCATTTAGTGAATCTGGAAGGAACACCAGATGCTGGATTTAAATGGTTCATGCTACAAGCTCGAGACATTGAAAAAAATATCCCAGTTGGTTCATTTTTAACTATAGACCCAAATACACAGAACCATGACTGTTACCATTTGCTGGTATGTATTTATTTCTTCCATTTATCTGTGTGCTATGATTAAATGAATTGGTTTCTTCTGTAATAAATGTGTGCATTAGCACTGAATGATGGGACGGTATCTCTGCACATTAGTATAGATCAGTGGTTCTCAACCTGTGGGTCGGGACCCCATTTGGGGTCGAACGACGTCCGCCATTTTTTTCCCCCTTTTCCTTAGCTGTGCTACTCCCTTTTATTCTATTGGCTTTTGAAAGCCAATAGAATAGACTCTCTTGAATAGAGTCTAATTCTATTGGCTTTCAAAAGCCAATAGGAGTTGTCCAGGCTGTCTCTGTCCTGCTGAGCCCGCCAAAAGTCCCATTCTGCAAATGGTGCTGCACCAGTTGAGTAATCCTCGACTTACGACCGGTTGAGTAGTCCTCGACTTACGACCGGTTGGGGGTCGCGGCATTAAAAAGGTTGAGAACCACTGGTATAGATATTTAAAGATTAATGGTATCTTCTTAGCTTTGGAAAATTCAGAAAGAGCTTTCCTTTCCTCTTCTCCATTTTTCTTTTACACTCCATGCTAACTTCAGTTCTTAGGTCATGCGGAGAATTTTGTAAAATGCTGAGGAATTGTGATAAACTCACCATTGCTACATTAACAGCAAATCAGAATATGTATTGCTTGTGTATGTTAAAAAAATTGTGTAATGAGAGAATTGATTATCTGTTTTACCATCTCAGACGCTAGTCATTGGGGCCCAAATACAAGGTTTCTGTCAGAATTAGTGTGTGGGAAAGGCTCCCAGAATCCACTATGAGATAGAAGTGTTGCTGAATTACACAAATGGAGTGTTCAAAACTTACCAATTGTAAATAAGCAGAAATATCTGAAAAAGTCAACCTGCTGGCTCCTTCTGACAAGAGAAGGCCAGCAACTCATACGAATGTGAATGTACCTTAGAATTATCTCCAATGTAACTTAAAAGTTCAGCATGAAGATTTTTATTTTAAAATTGCCCCTAGGCACATCTGACTGAGGAAATAAGCCTATATTGTTAAAAGACAGAAGAATATACAGAAAACGGAACATGAATATTTTTCATAAAAGCAAATGTGGCAGAAAACTATGTTTGAGTCACAATGCTGGGATGTAAACTTTGCAGTGGCCTTGAAGGCCACTTTTTCCTGTATCATCTTCAGAGCATCTGTCTCCAGCATTTCGTGAATTTAGAAGAACAACCCAAGTTACAATAACTCTATATACATGTTGGATTAAAGGTTCCCTCATCCCCAGTTAATGTAGCAGCTAGGATACTGACTACATATTATATTAGTAATCCAATATATCTGTGGCATACCCATTTCTGAAGGACTAATCTAAATAATACATCAGTTTTAATGTGTAGTTCTATTTTTTTTTTAGAATTCAGCTTTAATCCACAAGAACTCTGATGAGAAATATAATGTTACATCTGTCTGGATTTCACCAGAGGCTAAGAAGATTCAGTTTGTGTAAGTACATCTTAGAAAACTTTATGTCTATGTAGAATTTCTGTTCTGTAAGGAGTCGGTGTCAGAATTTACATACTCTGTATGTGTGTTGGTCTGTAGAGAAATATGTGCATATGCATATACCCACACAGGAACAGACGTAGACACAAACATAAACATTTCTCTACTTACGTTTATAATTATAGCTAAGCATTTACAATTATAGCATATAGCATTTGTGTCTGAGACAGAGATGCAGGGGCATCTGTGTTCTGTTTGTTGGTGTGTGCATGTTTGGGTGTCTGTGTGTATTAAATGAACCAAAATGGCAGCCACAATCATGCCATTTTGAGCTTTTTGATTTTCCTCTGTAGATGTACCTGGTGAGTTTATTTATTACATATTTCAGAAGTAGTCAGTTATTTTTAACTGGAGCATATTTGGAATTTTGACTTAGGTTTAGTAAAAAGAAAAAAAAAAGAGCTGCCATATGAAGTTTGTGTGTTCACAAACTGCTTGCCACCTATTTTCCCAAATCCCCTCCTCTGCAAGAAGTTTCCTGACATTCCAGCAGAAACTTTGTGATGTTAATTTGTTTTTGATGGGGCAGGAAATAGATGACTGGCAGAGGAATATCAGATGGCACATTGCATACCTGTGCCTTAGTTATGTGCCATTAATTGCTTTAACAAACCATATATTTTCATTTTTTTATGTTTGTGGTTAGTACAAGGGGAATTTAGAAATTTTGCATTTGCAAAATTTGGAAGTCCTAGTCCAAACTAGGTTTAGGAAACAGGAATGGAAGCACTTTTGCTTAAAAAGTCATTGGGAGTCTTGACAGCATACTAATTGTAATAAAAAAATAACTAAAGTTCCAGACGCAATCAGAATAAACAGCATTGGATCTAATAATCTACATTGAAGTGAGTCAACCTGATTTATTAAAGTACTCTCCTCAAGTTACAACTCACAGTTTCCCAGTTTGTAGCCTGGTGACTTAACCACTAGACCAAACTGGCTCTCAATTATCATATGGCGTACTTAATATTGTATGATGTGATGAGTCTAAAAAAATTGTTGAACAAAACATAATTCAGAAATTCATTATAATCCAAATATGATCTAATGAAATTATATTGTCTTTGCAGAGCAACTGTTTTTCAAGATCCGGAAAGATACTGGGTTGTTATATCCGACAAAATTCTTTTCCCTAGAGATTCCAATGTAACAGGAAATGATAACAAAGTGGCTGATGTGGCCAAACAAAGCAGTGTATCACCAAGAAGTAGGAAGAAGGTTTGTAGAAATAACTCAAAATTAACATGCTATGTATGTGGCTAAGCACTTCTAAGTCCGATTACAATGTAGAGACTTAACTATACTTAAATCTCCCATAATTTAAACATTATTAACTTAGTTGAAATAAATCATATTCAGTTTTGACTGAATTATTGCTTACGTTCATATACATCACTCTGAGTCTATGCTTGGAGTCCCCTTGCACTGAGGTACAAAAATAAACTATACTATATATGTGTGTGTGTATATGTGTGTATACAATTTTTCACATTGGTGAAAAATGACTATGAGTAATACTGTTTGCAGAATGATATGTTTATAATATTTCCAGGCATACCCATTCTGTCCAATACTCGGTACACAATTTTTCCCCAGAGTTTTCAACTCAAATACATAGTCAAATGATAAAAATCAAGAAAGCGAATTAAAAAAATCAAGAAACAATAAGACTCCATATAAAATTTTGGCATTAGCCTTTTAATTATTTTTTTTTATATTTTGTCTTTACAGTCTTCTAGCATTATTGTAAGAGTAAACTGTGGCCAGGTAAGAATTCTTGGACAATTTCGAGATTAACCCCTTGTGTTTATTCAATGTATGCTATGGTAAATGCATTTAAATTTGAGCTCATAGGTGTCCGGCCCCAAGAACCGAGAACAACAATTTCCTTTATTGTTCTCCACCTACAGACAGAATCTTGCCAGACTAAAACAATTACATCCATAACTATAGTTATATTCTGGCAATTGTAAGAGAGGGGCCGTTTTAACTCTCTTCCTGCTAACCAAACTCTACAGACTCTTTGCCCTCCAGAATGCAGCCCTTCCTCTTGCGAATCCAGGTGACATTCCACCACACCTGTCTCTTCAAAATCATTGTTTTCGATCAGAAACAGGCTCAAGAGAATTTGCGTTTATCCTCTTCATCAGCATCAGCACACCAAACATATTATAAGAGATGAAGGGTGCATTCTCCAGCTGACCAGTGGGATAGTGCAAAAAACAGCTTCCAATTAATCTCTTTCCTGGTTCCTGTTAAATTTAATTCATTCTGTGTTTGCAAAAATTCTGAACACATTATCAGCAGGCCATCCTTCTGCTTCATCTAGAAATTATTTTCTGCATCTAATCTCTACAGAGAGAAAGAGAGAATTGGGAACCCACTGTAAGGTGATTTGACACAAATTATTGCTGGGGAAATAATCCATTCTAAAGCTGTGTAGAAGACCGATATTTCCATTGGAAATTGTCTTCATTATGATTCCTAGTGAATCACAATTAAAGCAAAAATGAATGAGTTTGGCTGCCAGCTGGCATGGCAATGGGCCCCACAGGTGCAGGGTCAGTTCCCAGAAGCAGTGCAACTATTGCATGAAAACTACTCCTAACCTGTCTATGTAACAGCTTATCTCTCCTCTGCTAAATATATTACTATATTGCATTTTTTCAGCATGGCACAAGAAGAGAAGCAAGATTCCTAAACAGACATGGGGGGAGGGACAAAGTACACATGAATCCCATTTCCTGTTTCTGTGCTTCTTTGCAATCTGTATTATAAAATGCCTGTAACGCTCTTTGGTAAAGTGTGCAATCGTCCATTTCACAAAAGAATATCAGAACAAAAGATGGGCGATAGGGAAAAAAAAATTATTATTTGTACTTTATTTGTATAAAGATATGTATTTAGACTTGATTTGCATTTTCAAAGGCTTGGAGCTGCTTTGATGAGAAATCAGGTTATATTTCGAAGCAATTGCCTGTTATGATCTCTCGATGCTTTACTGAGCCTGAAGTTGCATTGGGTTGATCGAATTCTCTAGAATTTTAATAGTGTTTTATTACTTTAGGGTGGATCTTATGGAAGTGGCAGCGAATGTGTCCAGGTAAGCATTATTTTTCTTTTAATATATCTCATCCAGTGGTGGGATTCAGCCAGTTCGCACCAGTTCGGCAGAACCGGTAGCTAATTTTTTGTTGCCCAGGCCCAAAATGGACTTCCGGAAGTGCCATCCACACAGAGAACCGGTTGTTCACATATTTGAATCCCACCACTGATCTTACCCCAAACCTTATGGTATTTTCACTGGGTAATGTATTTAATTTTTCAAGAACATATGTAAGAAGTACCTTGGTGGGAGAGCCCAACTAGGCCACCATACTTTTCCAGTTGCCCACCAGGCATATTTGGGAAGCTTATGGTTCCCAGTCAGATTGGGGATTAGCTAGATTGGCAGGCATTTCCCAGAGCTGGAGTTCAGAACAATTTGTGGATGTCAAGTCAGAAAACACTAGGCTGTATAATTGTCTGCATCATTTATCATACCTAAAAAAATTCTTTTTGGATTGTAAGCTACTAGATAACATGAAAAAACTGTTGAGGGCCCTTCTTCGGGCCTCACCGTGACCTCATTATACTGGCCTTTAAAAAACCAAAATGACTTCTTTTTAAATTAGTATTAAAAATAAATTTCTGATTTTCAAATGAAACAATATACAAGGTGAGTAAACTATGTGAGAATGAAAAAAAGCGTATACGGTAGCTTATTCATCTTGAATATTGTTTGACTTTCACAAGAAGGGATAGGACATGGAAATATTGACAATGCTATTATCAGTATATACATTTTTTATGAACAAACTATTGATCTGATTCTTTGAAGGGCTCCTCACAGAGTGGTAGCAGTCAATCTCAGGTAAGAATTTCCTCCACCATCCTCCCCATGTTGCCTACACATGTTAGTTATGTGTAGGCAAAGGCCTAATATTAGAGGCATTGTTGAGAAGAATACAGTGATTGCCGTAACTTGTATCACACTTCTCAATGATCCCTTAATTGTACAAATTGTACAAATTTATGCGGAGCCATCTTCAGAATTGTTACGGAGAGATTATACTTACATTGTTTTACATTAGTTACTCTTATTTTCCCACATTCTTGTACTCAGAATACAATATAAGGAGCCTGAAAAAGTGTTTCTTAAGCCACAATGTTTGTTTTTTTATGCTCTACAACCCTGGATGGGGCAGACTAAATCTAACGTAGTGTAGAATAGTTCTTTTTTTTTTTCTCTTTCTCTCTAGAACAGAACAGAACAGAACAGAACAGAATAGAATAGAATAGAATAGAATAGAATAGAATAGAATAATAACTTTATTGTCACTTTAAATGTACATTAATCAGCATACATTAAAATGAGATTTTGTTGCATGTTTCCTTCTGGAGTTGCATGACAAAGAACTATCTGTAAAATTACCAATGATCTCTTTTAAAAGATAAATAAGTAAAGTTTGATTTTAAAAAAGGATGTATTTTCAAAATATATATAATATCTATAGATGGACTTAAAGTATACAATTAATACTCACTATGACATTAGCAAAAGATACCAAGCAAAATTCTTTGTAGAGCTCTGGACGAATCAAACCTGAAGAAAATTGGCTTGGATGACTAATGGAGAGAGAATTATAGGGACACAGTTTTAAATCAGCATAACTGTTTATAAGGAAGAATATTAAGCCATTGTGTTCAATAGACTTACCTGAAAAAGGTGGCTTTTGCATACAGTTAGGTTGTCTCTGCATATATATTCAAGATGGACAGTGAATATTTATATGTTACTTATATGTAAGTGTGTAGGTCTATACATATGTTATATATAGTATGTTTTAAATGTCTTATGTATGTGTACACTTTGAGAGGAAGCAGCTAAATTTCATTTTTAATGCATGCCATTGTGCCCACAGGAAAAAAATAACAATAAAGGTTATCTATCTATATGGTTCTGACAGTAAAATGCTCGTGCACACAATGGATTGATAGATCCCTCCATGATCTATTTGTCAGTCCCTCACTGATATGGAAACCATGCTCACTCTGAATCTCTTCTACCGTCTAATTTACAACAGGCAGTGCCATCCCTTTGGCATTCAAGCTACCAGGCTGCTATGGATCACTAGAATTCCCCATTTGTGAATCCCTAATTTTAGATACTGGAAAATAGATTAAGGAAAACTGTATCTTCTTCCTGGTTTTCCTTTACCTAAAGGCAAATAACTCAACCCAAGCAATCATTATAGTTTCATTCTCTTTCTGCACCAAAATCAGTAACTTTTGGTTTCTTTCCAAATTATACACTTTGTTCCCAAGGACACCAGCAGTTATTCTCAAGGAAACCATTTTTTTTCTTTAGAGTACATGAACAATAGTAAAACTCTGCTACACCTCATCATTTCTTTTGATGTAGTAAATGAAACCACTGGCAAAGGAATAACCTATTCTTGCTTTCTTCTAGGGAGGCTTAATCTACCAGGGGGGAAGCATCAAAAAGGTTGGATGCCTTGGTGTAAGTATATATTTCTCTAGTGGTGGGATTCAAATATGTGAACAACCGGTTCTCTGTGTGGCTGTTGCTTCCGAAAGTCCATTCTGGGCCTGGGCAATAAATAATTAGGTTCTGCCAAAGTGGTGCGAACTGGCTGATTCCCACCACTGTATTTCTCCCATTTCTATTTAGGTCAGAGATGGGCCACTCAGAGCTCATAAACTTCATAAAACTGGTTGGCCACCTTTTTTACGATCCTGAATGCCCCCCAAATTATATTGCCAAGTCACACATTTTAAGGTGATTTCCCCCCCACCCCACATAAGTCCTAAAATAGCTGTCTTATTCAATCTCCCAAGAAAGAAAGAAAAAGATGTATATTTTCTAGCTTTACCTGTTTTGATGACATCATTTCCACTGTGGAAGAGTGGTTAAATGATTAGATTAGGAACAGGAAGGCCAAGATTTTAATCCACCTTCAGTCAAGAAAGCTCAGTGGATGATATTGGGCCAATCGCTCATGCTCTCAGCCCAATGTAGATTGTTATTTTGAAAAAAAAAATAGGCAATAGGATTTCCTTTGAGATCCTGGGGGGAAAAAAATAGGATAGAAATCTAAGAAATGTATGAACTAAATAAGGATACTGCATGACTTCAAAACAATAACAGGAACAACAAAATCTGCCTGTCCATGATTTAGATCTTTGCCTGCAAATAACTGTAATTAAAACTCGATAATAATAATGACGTTTTGGTGCATCTATTTAAGTTATGCTCTCTTATAAAAACTGGTATGAGTCTTTGGAAAGAGAGCTGTAGTGGTACACTGGGTAGAAGATAGTACTTCAGGCTAACTCTGCCCACAGCCTAGAGTTTGATCCTGACAGACTCAAGGTTGACTCAGCCTTCCATCCTTCTGAGGTCAGTAAAATGAGGACCCAGATTGTTGGGTGCAATATGCTGACTCTGTAAACCAGTCAGAGAGGGATGTGAAGCACTGTGGGGCAATATATAAGTCTAAGTGCTATTGCTATTGTTATAGCTTCAGCAGCGCCATTGTACTGCATAGGCTTCCAATTCTCTACCTTCTTAGTATAATTGAGGATACTGTTTTTGACTTACAGATGTGATAGAGTTTGGAATGTCCCTTGTCTATTCTTCCAAGAATAGTAATGATTTTTGAAAGTGTGTTTCCAGAAATTCCCTCTTTTGAAAGATTTCTACAAATGATGCTTTCAGAAAGAAGGCTCCCAGTCCTAGCAGTCAAGAGACACAGTGCCACTTTTTCCGTTTGCTCCTTAAACAAATAAACCCTTCAGAAAGGACCACAGAAATTGTGGCAAATGGAAGATAGTTAGAAAGTAAAAGCAACATTCCTAGATGATGCTTACAATTCTGAGAATTAAGCGGCATTTTCATAGCAAAAGCATTTATATGGAAACAATGAAAGCCTCATCCTGGATGCAAAATATTCTTCCTTCGTTCTTCATTCTTCAAGTGTCTTCATTCAATTCCCTATTTTTCATACAGGGTGGAACTGCAAGTGTCTACGACAAATACGGTTGCCGTGATGTAAGCCTTCTTCTGGTGTTTGAGTGGTGCTGTTGGTGGCATTTATTCTGTTTAAAAATCCCATGTTTTTCAATATATAATCGAACTATAATTGTCCTCCTATTTTCGTGAAAATAAGTCCCACTAAATGGAAGCCCCTTCCAAATGTACAGTGGGAAATTAATTTTTAAAGTTACACATATGCTTAATGATTTATGTTGCAATTGATAAATCTGAAAGCCATAAAACTAAACATACGCACATATAAACTATGAGCACATCCACATCAATCTTTTTTTCCTCAATCTTTCATAAAGAAATGTAAAGCAAAATCTATAATAATCTTTATTTCAGCAAATCTTGAAATACAGAGAATACCAGGAACCCATCAATGCTCACTCTCCTTTTTCCAGTTGACCAATAGCTTCCAGCATCCTGCCTTCTCCCCTCCAACTGGAGGCTGGTCTTGGAATAACAGAAATCCCCTCAGCTACATTCCCCCAAAGAAAAGAAGTTGCTAGTAGCGCTTGGCACCCACTTTCATGTGCTTGTAATATCTGTGGGCTTGAAAAAATTATTGCAGACCTGGGTCTAGAAGCCAGAAAGCTAAAAGCTGGGATAAGAGTTGGGAAATGGGCCAATGAACCGCCCAGAAGGTGTGCAGAAGTGAAACAATTAAAAAAAAACTCCAAATGTGCTGTAATTTCTAATGAATAGGAGCAGAGCCAGAAATGAATCAATTGCCCCTATCCAAAAAGACATCATAAGACCAGTCAGGCCCAGATCCAGTCCTAAAGAGTGCAAAATATTGGATGGAAAGTATCTTGCCCTAAGTTTGATGCTGTGTTTTCAATAGCATTCCATTTAGATTTCCTTAACTGTGGAAAAGTTTTCTAATGAGTTCTTCCAAGACTTTTCCAAACCTCTTGCTCAAGGTTCAGAAATTGGAATGAAGTGGGCTTCTTGGTTCTAGATGGACTCCCACTTTCTTTGTTCCCAGTATGCATAGCCAATGATCAGTATTATAGGAATTATAGTCCAGGAAGGTCTGAAAACCCATAGGATCCTAACCTCAGGTGGAGATTTAAGTTAAACCCTAATGAACAAGAACACCCTGTTACAAATGCAAATCTCCTAAATTCTGCCAGTTCTATTTACAGTTGATTTTATTCTTTTTGCAGGGAGGCATAGACACTAGTGGCAGCAGCAGTTATGGGCAGGTAAGCAATCAACTGCTATGTTAAAAGTTTCCAAAATATGGAGGCTGCTGAAGAAGGAAGTTTCCTAGACTGGTATAGTGCTAGCCTTTTAGGGCAGACCATGTCAGGAAACAGGCACCACAAGAAATATAAGTCTATCTTATTGATATAGGCCCGTGGTGGCGAACCTATGGCACGCATGCCACAGGTGGCACGCAGAGCCCTCTCTGTGGTCACGCGCACCGTCGCCCCAATCCTAGGCCTTCAGCTGGGTTTTATAAAACCTTTTCGCTTTAGGCCTCTGCCGCCATGTGCAAAAAAAAAAAAAGGTTCAATCAATCAGTTCCAACTTCTTGCAGGAAAAAAAAGATCTCGCAAAGTTGGAATTGATTGATTGAACTTTTTAGTCCCACCCAGTCTGCCATTACAGCCACGCCACCCAATGGACCACACCCACCTGGCACCCAACGATACATAAGTGAGTTTTGAGTTGCAGTTTGGGCACTCGGTCTCTAAAAGATTCGCCATCACTGATACAGGCTGCAATAACAGAATCTGGAAAAGCTGACAGTGTTTCTGTTTCCCTCTCTCCCTGTTACAATAAAAAAGGGTCAAGGCAGGGCTATATTCAGATTCTTTCTCATTCTTTCCATAGGGAGGGAGTTAGAGGAGGGACATTGAGTGTATAATTTGGGCCATTGTGTTGACTTTCTGATGTCCTGTGCTCTTGGAAATGCCTCTGCATGGGACTGTTGTCCAAGGGGTGGTGTAAACCAGTGGTTCTTAATCTGGGCGATATTGCCCCCCAGGGGGCGATTTCATTTTTCAGGGGGGCGATGGAACGAAAAGGGGCGACACGGGGGCGAAGGAACAAAAAAGGGGCAATATGGGAGCGATGGAGCGAGACGTTTTGGGGACACTTTTGAGACTTTTTCGTACAGTGAATCGCTGTATATCTGTCGTACAAAAACATTAGATAATCGCTATTAGTGGATTGAATTGTGTTTTCAAATGTTCCTCCAGCTAGCTTCAGTACAGAACGCCGTACATATGTGAATACGCATCGCTTATCTTCATGCGTGTTGCACAGCAGCCTCTACCTATACAGTGGCACGCCATTGGCCAGAATATGGGAGATATGGGAAAAAGACTGGAAATAAATTATTTGCATCGATATGTCCTGATGACAATTTTAAAGAAAACAAAAAAAGTGTTTGCATAAATTGAAGAATTATTTCCTATGTTGTGATTGAGAGGTTATGTTGGGGGAGGGGGGCGATGACAACTTCCTTGTTGGCTCAAGGGGGCGATTTGTTCAAAAAGGTTAAGAACCACTGGTGTAAACTGCTCTGTGATGCCCCCTGGTGATGGTACAATCAACAAAATATAATACTTGTTTTTTTGGTTTTTTTTACAGTCTGTTTCGACTATCTCAGATAAAGGAAAGGTAGGTTGTTCTGAACTAAACCTCTGAAATATCCTTATGTGGGACCTTTTTTTAAAAAAAAGTGCAACCATTCCTTGCAACAAACTTCTCTTCTGGTTTTCAGTCTAAGTCATTATCTTGCCTCTCTATTTAAAGCTAAAATTAGAAGTAGATTAATTACATTAGGCTCATGAAAAGATGGGATAAAATATTTGGTTGCCCATGGTAGAGCAGTAAATTCCCCATTCACCCACACTAAACTACATAGAATTGAAGGCCAGACAAATGAAACAGAAAAAAACCCCCATGAAATAAATACCATTGCCATTAACTTGCTGCCCTTTTATAGCTCCCAAAATCAGAGGTTGTCTGAGCCTGATCCCCACCTTCCCTTTCAGCCCATCCTTAGATTTAAGGAGATGGTGGCGCAGTGGTTAGTATCCTCTATTTTGGGTTCAGGTCTGGCATAGAAAGAACCTTAGCTCAGATTATTGTCTCTTTTGGCTGACAGATGGTTTCCAGAAACTCAGAGCATAGGTCCTAATCTGTCAAAAGGAGTGTCACCTCAGCTTTCACATCTAACCCAGAGTTAGGAACTTGGTATTATTCTTCCACAATCCCTGATGGCCACAATATCTATGTTTAGTGGTGATGTGGACTCCAATCAATGCATAAACTCATTATAGTGTTATTAATAAGTTGGTATTCTCCCACAATCCCTGATGGCCACAATATCTATGTTTAGTGGTGATGAGGTCTCCAATCAATGCATAAACTGATTGTAGTGTTATTAATAAGTTGGTATACCTCAAGATGATGCGATATGGGGCCATACTACACAATTACAATATTGTGAAGAATTCACAGCCTTCACAAGTACAGCCCTGGAATGTCAAGCAAAAGACTATGCTATAAGCCTTTTTTCATATGCTTTTGAACTGACTCTATTACACTTGACATTTTTTATTGTCATGGTCTAGATGCAAATTAGTCTTCTCTGCCTTATTCACCCCCTAGACACATAGCTAATACGGATACAGATGTTTGCTTAGGTGCTATTGACACTACTGTCTGATATGCAAATAGCTATATGCATATCAAAGAGTACTGGTTACAAGTCTACTTTTTCATTTAAATCAGTGAAAAGGCACCCACTGATTTTCATGAGGCAGCATGACACTATTTCTGTGTAAAATGACCCTAACAATAAAATATACCCCAATTAGGCAGAAAAATGGAAATAGTTATATGCTTTTCCTTCTTATTTTTCACATATCAGTTATTTGGGAAGAATAGTTTTGAATCAGTCTCCCATTTCATAGATTTCTTTTCCTTGTATAAAAAATTAAAAGATTTTACAAGAGGAGTTTCCCAAATAATTTTTTCCATTCATTCAGTTTTTGAAAGACATGTATAATAGACAGCAAAAAAAAAAAAAAAAAAATCCTAAAAGACTCCTGCCCTTTAAATTAAACAAAATCTAACTTTTGTCTGTGATTATTTTTGACAGGTCATAGTATATCCTCCTACGAAGCCTTTCCCACCTGAAGTAAGCCCTACTTATTTAACTCTTTAATTTTATTAATGTAAAAGAATGCAAAGTGAATGTCTAGTTGGAACTCATTGATCATGCAAAGAACTTTTTGCTGACTAGTCAAATAGTATTGTTCTTACTTATTCTTTTTATCCTTTCTTTCTTTCTTTCTTTCTTTCTTTCTTTCTTTCTTTCTTTCTTTCTTTCTTTCTTTCTTCACAGCGTACAACATACACATCGGTAAGAATGATTATTTCCCCAATTGGGCTCAAGTCAATTTGTTTCTAATACTTCCATTTAAAAGATTTTGGATAGTCCTTCCATCTTTTCTTCTGTAATCTTTCTGGGCTAAAGAAAAAAAAAGAAGACAAAATAGCGGAAAACCATCATGTGAAGGTCATGACTGGGAAATTCTGTCATCTTGAAACACACACATTCCTTTAGAATCAAATAACCTAAATGAGGCAAAGCGGGCTCATCATAAACGTTTCTTCTGAAAATAATTATTAATTTTGTTAATTCATGTATTCAATTTTCTGGTCCTGCAAAATTATTTTTGCAAATGATCTGCCCACTTGGGGACTTCTGAAATGGTAACATACTTTTTTTTTCTTTATGTTCTTTACATACATTACATTCTTATAATGCTTGTCTGTTAAATTTTCATGCACAATATTTCCGGACTGAACCTAGAACTGAAAAAAACCGTTATTATTCAAACTTTGCTAAAAATTGGTTCAAAACTTCCTGCAAACAATGCACTTTCCTGTAATGAGAAAACAATGCACTTTCCTGTAAATGAGAATGAATTTATGTAGTTGATTTGTCCTATATATATAGAAAACACAAAGACATTGTCTGATAAACATCTACATGCAAGAAGCTAGCAAGCAAAATATAATGTAATTGCTGCATTTAAAAAAGTATATAGATTGACAGAGTGTTCAAGGATAGGGATGTAAATTTTGTTTTGTAACTTCCGCATTGCATAATGCATTTGATTTTGAATCCAAACACTCAAGTACATTAGTAACAGATGTAGTAAGTTACAATTAAGCATAAGTCACATAGTTTAAGAAAAGAAGTTCCATTTTCTTTCATTCATTCCAAAGTTATAATCTAATTTCTTTGAAAATAGTCTTTCAGAGCCACTTTTTTACATTGTGTGTTGGCACATAGTGGCCAACTGAGAGTCAACAGGAATGTTATAGTTCAAAAGCAATAGACTTGATCCAGAATAAAATACCAAAGAGGAGTTTATTGAATAAATATTAAGAGAGTTAATAGAGAAAAAAATATACCAAATCCTTTCAGCATGCCAGAAACCCCAAGGGCGGCAACAGATAGGCCCTCTGAAGTCAGAAGTTTTATATAACAACCTTTTGAGATTTTGGATCTACATCAAGGTTCAAACTAACTGGAGAAGAAAAGCACAAAATTGCTTTATATTTTATTTAAGAGACAGCAAGTATAAACAAGACACTGGGGAATGGCTTGGTAGCACAGCTTATTAGGGATTTGATCATAACTTTAGATAGTGGATCATTTGCCAAGAATATTTTTAAGGAAGGTTGACGGTGTAGACAGCACCTAGGGATGATCTGATGACACATCTCATCAATACCTTTGGAACTGTCCCTTTGTTTATGAAAACATTGCTTTTAGGTGGCTGCTGTTCCCCCTCCCTTCAAAAGTGTTAGATTAGTGGAATGGTGAATCTTCCTCTTTATCTTAATGGTTACAAATAACACTACAAATAAGAAGCAAGACGAGAGGAATTAACCATAACAATGATGCAATCCACCGAACTCATAAGCAATTTCTTCTAAGCAAATGTGTGGAGAAATTTGCAATATATAAATTGCTGCAGCTGGCTATTGTATCTGGAAAGGGGAAAAAAAAGAGGTCCACACCACTAACTCTTTGACAACCACCCATGCCACCAACGCACGTGGACATATTATTAGAGTGATGAAGAGAATTCAAATGATATTTTTTTTCTCAATTTTTATAGCAACTTGCCAACTCCCACTACAAGCATATTCAGGTAAACTGTTTTCTTTTGCTTTAATCTAAACATAATATCAGTTGTTCATCCTTGGCAGATTTGAAATGAGGAATAAATCAGGGTTTCGTATTTTGAATGGTTAGCTTGTAAACACTTGCTCACGGCACTTGTTTATTTTTTTTCCCTGGTGTTTTCCCACAAGTGCAAGAGTGTTGATCTATTGGTTGCAACAGGAATTGACTGAACTGACTCTTGTTGCCTGAGTCAAATACTGTGGGCTGACAGATGACTGGCCCAAAGTCATTCAGCCGGCTTTCATGCCTAAGGCAGAATTAAAACTAGAACTCTTGGTCTCCTGGTTCCTAACGTTATGCCTTAACCACTAGACCAAAATGGTTCTTCACCTGGATAAATCCTTGCCATGTTCTCAGCAAGATTTCAGAAATAGTTTGCCCTTGCCTGCATCTTAGGGCTGAAGAGAGTAATTGGCCCAAGGTCACCCAATGCGCTTCATGTCTAAGGTGGGACTAGAACTCCCAGTCTCCCAGTTTCTAGCCTGGTGCCTTAACCAGCACACCAAACTGGCATATTACACCAAATTCAGTGTAATAATGAAATATTCGGGAGGAAGGTGGAGACAATATCATTCAACATTCAAGTACTGTTAAGGTTTATATATAGCCAGGTGGCTTATGTGCTAATTGCCCTAACTTGCCATTGTCATACAAACTTTATGAACAAATGTTAACAGTATGTCTTGTCATTACTGGATCATTATGTGAAGTAGTCTTGATATCACACATTATTATGTGGGTTATACAGTCTGTTCATAGATTATACTATACATTTCAATGCATCTATCTGCAGGACCTCCTTTTCCTGAGAGTATCTGCCCATTCTACCAGTCAGAAAGGGTGGTTGCCACTCCAGGTGGCAATTCCAGGTCCCTTCCTTCAAATGATGCTGGGTGGGGGGGGTACCTTCATGGTATCAACTCCTATCCTTTATAAGTGTTGTGATTCCGTGCCAGCCTGTGCTCCCAACAGCTGAGTCTGAGGAATCTGAGGAGGAGGTGGAGGAGGCATTTGAAGGGCCATCAGGGGCAGAGGGAGGCTCTGATGAATTACAGGACTCACGGTTTGATGCAGAGCCTGGGCCCTCCAGTCGTGTTCCTGATGAAGCTCAGCTGTGTGAAGAGAATGAGTCAGACTCGGAGGACTCACACCTGATGGACATGCTAATTGATGCATGCACACGTCATCAATTAGCGAGAGTAAATCAGCAGCAGTCAATACGGCAACTCCAGGGTAAAAGGAGAAGGCACTGAGAGGCAACACCTTAGGACTGCTGTATATAAAGAGGAGGTGTGGGCAGTGCTGGTTGCTGAAGGCAACCGTTTGCAAAATACTTCTTTGAATTCTGGTCTGTTCGTCTTGCTTGTGACTACTCTTCTGTTTGCATCGTGTTTCCCGTGGACTATTTCCTTCATTTGGATTGAGTTTTGCTGTTTGTGTTTTGGACTATTTGGCAGGTTTGTCACCCATATTAAAAGGGGTTTGTTTTGTTTTAAAGTCTCCAGCCTATTTTATCAACAGAGGTTTGGTCCTTGTGCCTTTAACAAGGACGGCTATAGGCTGGGATAAAACAATAACATCCAAGCCCTTGAGAGCTGGAAGGCCCCTCTCCTCTTAGCCTTTTGAATAGCCTTGAAGACCTGGGATACTTTAGGACTGGAGCCCAGTTAAGTTGTGGAGATGGTGCCTGGACCTTTTGTATTGGTTTGTGTGTGTGTGTGTGTGTGTGTGTTTGTGTGTGTGCGCGCGCATGCGCGCATCTATCTATCTATCTATCTATCTATCTATCTATCTATCTATCCAGGGACGAAAAGAGTACTCATATGCAGAAGACAAATTATTGTAGACTCAAAATTACTGGGGTAAGATGCATACAGTATTAATCTGCAAGAAAACACCATAATTAACTGTTAATACCTGTTCTTTTGCAGAACACTAAATACGGCGAAAAGATCCAGAGCCAGGTATGATTTCTTTTCTCATTTATTCCTTTCAACGTTTTAAGTTATTTAACCATACATTAATCATGAATTACGGAAAAAAATGGATAGACAAATTCCATTCTTTAATCTCATGGCAAATTACCATATCGAGTTGAGATGATGATGATACTATAGGACAGATCTTTTTGATTTGGTGGCCCGGAAAGGGAGCCGGGCACTGCTACGTGCACGTGCACAAATGAGCCCCATGCGTGCATGCACAAATGGGCCACTTGTGAGTGCATGCATACACGCAAACCGGGTTGTGCGGGCACGAGTGCTACAAATGGGGCAGCGCTAATATGGGAGGGACGCTTTGGGCGGCACTAGTTCCAGTGGGATGCTCTGGGGCGGGGTGGCACTAGTGCTGGCGATATGCACCAGTGGGATGCTCGGGGGCGGGGTGATGCTAGCACCGGCTGGATGCTCAGGGCTGGGGCAGCGCTAGAGCCAGTGGGAGATGGTGCTAGTGCTGGCGGGATGCTAGTGTGAATGTGGGGAGTGAGTCCATGCATGTGCATGTGCACTGGCCATCCCTTCACATGGCCCAGTGGCCAAGCGGCCACTGCCCAGTAGTGGGCCTTGGTCCACAGGTTGGGGACCCCTGCTGTAGGAGTATGGAATAAGCTATCTGGACTACAATCTTACTTGCTGATGCAGCTAACTGATAAATCTTACAAGTTTCCATTGGCAGTGGTTGTGTGATTTTCTGTTTTGTATGGTTTTGAAGGAGAGGAAGTACTATACATTAAATTAGAAATTTCAATATGGAAACAATGCAGTAGTACATAACTTAGAATGAAATCTGAGAGTGACGACTTCTTTTCTTCACTTTCACCCTTTTGACCTGTTAACTTTCCAGAATCTGCAACAGAGCCTGGGGAACTTATGGAAGAGATTTTGAAGGGGTGTGGGGAAAAAGAGGGAATTGTCTCATTCTCCTAGAAACAGTTCCATCTGCTGAGGCACTTAATTAGGCTTTGCCACTCCCACTCATCTCCTTCACGAGACCTCAGATAAAAGGAAGGCTGTTTTCATTTTTTTTGTATCTGTAATTAATGACTTATGGTTAAATGACTTAAAACAAAGTGCTTTTGATACATCATCCAAAAATGGTAGGCAATGAATCATTTTTCCCTCACAGATGATTTCAGCATACGACAATATAAATGGTATCTTCAACCGATAAAGGAAAATGTTCTTTCTTTTTGTGTGGAGAAATGGTTACTGTATATGAATTGTTTTTGCCATGTAAGTTTTCTCTGAGCTTCATCCAGAATGATTTTCTTTGAGGTTCCTGTTATACATGTGCTCCATGACCTAAAAACTCCAGTTCTAAATCACTCTTTGAAGATTTTATGAAATTTATGATCATCTTTTGTTTATGGTTCTTTTCACAGACAGATTGCCTGCTATAATTCCCCACTTCCCCACCTCCTGCTTTCCCAACTCTGTTTTATTCAGACAAACCCTGGGAAAGCTGTATGGTGTATATCTTGTGGCTTGCTCTACTCTCAGATAACGTATTTCACAGGGACAATAGCCCAACAGCATCTGGTGCAGCAAAGAAAATTTTTAATTTTCTCTTTGTGAGGAGGAGAGAGGTCCTACTTGTTATATCATGGACAGTGAATAAACTCAGCCCCTGATAAGTTCCTATTTCTAAGTGGGGAGAAATCCTGATTGGCTGGTGTTTTCACATCTCAGATATTGATTGCAAGTCCAACCAACTGGTGGGCTCTAAATTTAGATCAGGTGTGGTTGTCCTGATCTTAATTTTGTACACTTTTGAATGCAAGTCTTCACAATCTGTGATTCCCCAAACAAATAGAGGTTAACAGTTGTCTTTCCAAGCTAATGGATTTTTTTGATAAAACTGTAAAAATGGACTGGGATAGATATAAATGCCACCTTTTCAGATCGGGACATTTGGAAAACTTTTTTTTGTTTTGAGTGATACCTAACGTTCTATTTGGTAGCTGTATTTGATTGATTAGGTCATAAACAGGGCAGGTTAGAGTTAAAAATTACTAGTAATCTTCTGGATGTGTGAGAATGGAAACACCGTTCTAGAATTAATATCTGCATTTAGGAAAAAATACTTATCTGTTTACATTTATTGTGGATAAATAGTAAAGGGTTCAGAGGTTTACCAGTGCTCCAGTATCCTATAATCCAGTGGTTCTCAACCTTTCTAATGCCGTGACCCCATAATACAGTTCCCCATGTTGTGGTGATCCCCAACCACTTATACATCACCGGGTGCCAGGGGCGTGGCCAAAGAAAAGGGGGAAAAAATGGCGGACAGCCTTGTTTGGCGACCCCCATGAAATGGTCGTTCGACCCTAAATGGGGTCCCAACCCACAAGTTGAGAACCACTGCTATAATCCTTAGGTATCCTAATTGAGAGTTACGGGAATTGATGGCTGGGAAGAGTTGATTAACGCTGTAAAAATAGTTGCAGTTCTACAACTAATGTTATATAAAATTGTTGCTTTCTTCTACAGGGTTCAAATCCTGAAAGTGATATTCGTATTACAATTCAGGTAACTATTATTTCGTTTATAGAAATAGATTTCTATAGAGTTTTAATCCAGATTTGGATCTGCCTCGTGTGTAAACCTGCACTGACTAATTTAAAGAAGAGCAGCTGCAGTTAATTGTACTGGAAGAGCGTTTTAATTAAAATTTTTGAGAGTAGGACAGGCAATCCTAAAATAATTGCTGGAATTTAATCCTGGCTTCCTCCATAGGCAGATCTGATTGAGCTACCAGTTCCCAAATGTAAAACGCAGATATGAAAATTGGATTCTTAAGTGAAGTGCTTGCTTGTTTTAATTAAACAGAACAGAAATTACAATACCTAGAATTCTTGGCCAGCCTAATCACTGGAAACTTCATTGATTGTAATCCTAATACACCAGGCTCATGGCTGGTAAGGAAAGCTGGCTTGGAACATCTATTGTTTCTTTAGTTCTACATCTAGCCCACACATTAATATCTAAAAAAAGCATTACCTTCTTGATATCTATTCATTTGCCTTAGAAAGTGTTTTTAGTATTCTCTCTATATTACCTAAATTGGGGTTTTTAAAATTTCATTATAAAGATCTGATTAGAGAGCCAGTTTGGTCCATTGGTTAAGGCACCAGGCTAGAAACCAGGAGACTGTGAAATCTAGTTCTAGTCCCACTTTAGGCATGAAAGCTGGCTGGGTGGCTTGAATCAGTCACTCTGTCTCAGCCCACAATATCAGATTTGGGCAACAAGCCAGTCAGTCAGTTACAATCAATGTATCAATGCTCAGTTGATTTTTTTTTTTCAGCCTGCACTTGTGAGAAAAATATTAAGAAAAAATAAAAAACTATAAAGAACCTGCTTCTCTATTCAGCATCTTAATTACACTTAACATAATAGAACCAATTAATGTTTATGTTCAAGAGATTACGTTTGTTTAACAGGAAAAGCAATCGTAATTATATACTGTATCAGATCTTCTTCCAACATATTCTTCTAAATATATTATTTGTAACATAACTACAGGTAGCCCTCGATTTACGACCACAACTGAGCCGCAAATTTATGTTGCTAAGTGAAACATTTGTTAAGTGAGTTTTGCCCCATTTTACGAATTCTCTGCCACCGTTGTTTAAGTGAATCATTGCGTTTGTGAAGTTAGTAACATGGTTGTTAAGTGAATCTGGCTTCCCCATTGACTTTGCTGGTCAGAAAGTCACAAAAGTGGATCCCATAACCCCAGGACACTGCAATGGTCATAAATGTGAGTCAGTTGCCAAGCATCTGAATTCTGATCACGTGGCCGTGGGGATGCTGCAACAGTCATAAGTGTGAAAAATGGTCATAAATCACCTTTTTTTCAGTGCTGTTGTAACTTTGAATGGTCACTAAATGAACTGTTGTTAAGTTGAGGACTACCTGTACTTGAAGTGCTTCTGGTTTTTAAAATGGTTTCTGTTATTTTTCCCTAGAGTGGACAACCGATGAAAGTTTGTGATAAGGTAAGCACTCTTTCACTATCAACATCACCAAATCAATATAGTTTGATAGGCAGCCCTCTAATTTTGACAAATTAGAGGAGGATAAATCTGCCCTTCGCTACTAGGCTGGACCTGCTAGGTCTAAAGCAGGGGTAGGCAATCTTGGCTCTTTTATGACTCGTGGACTTCAACTCCCAGAATTCCTGAACCAGCCATGCTGAAGGGAAAGGGAGAGGTTTCCAAGCTGAGCCATGCTGACTCAGGAATTCTGGGAGTTGAAGTCCACGAGTCATAAAAGAGCCAAGGTTGCCTACCCCTGCTCTAGAGTCAAAGGTCTAACTAGCTGTTATTAGAGAAAAGTGCAACGTAATAGTTAAAGTATTGGACTAAACCAGGTCCAGGTCTATTCTCATCAAATCTCACCAGTTAATTTTGAGCCAGGCTTAATTTTCCAACCTTCCATCTTAATTCTTGCTTTTAAGCTTAGCTAGATGGTTTATGTGGACTTAGATGTGGCTCATGTGGCAACAAATGGCAACGTGCAGCTAAGCTCAGCTTTGAATAAAGAGAGAAGAACTCTTTCTTTAGAGACTGTGGTTACATCCACAAGTAGGAGGTATTCTCTCTAGGATAACATTAATATGAGGGTGAGTAAGACAAGCAGCTGCTTTTCCTTGTTCTAGAAGATAAAGGAAGCCTGATTAGAGGGGGAAACTGTCTATTGTTCCTCCCCGAATCATTGTTTGCAGTGAAGGTGGTAACAGCAGCAAGTCATATGGAAGCTATGGAACACCAGCATCCTGCAATCTGCCAAAGGATACTAAATCAAGGATAATTGGACTCCTCATTAAAAGCCAAGATAGTAGGGAAGATAAGCAACTATTGGATAGGACATTCAAGAATTGTCAACAGAACATCTGTGTAACAAAACACAGGACATCTGCAGCTGTAAAATACTACCAAGAACATTCCACAAAAATATGAAATATTAAGACATACATTGGGGGGCGTGATGGCTCAGTGGTTAAAGACACTGAGCTTGTCAGCTCGCCAGGTTCAAGACATGAGCGCTGCACAACGGGGTGAGCTCCTGTTCCTTGTCCTAGCTCCTGCCTACCTAGCTGTTCAAAAGCATTCAAATGTGAGTAGATTAATAGGTATCACTTAGATACAAAGGTAACAGCATTCCGTGCACCTTTGGCATATAGCCATCCTGGCCACATGACCCACGAAATGTCTTCGGACAACACTGGCCCCCTTGGCCAAGAAACAGAGATGAGCCCCGCACCCTAGAGTCAGACACAACTGGACAGGGAAATCTTTACCTTTACATAGACTTTATGTATGTCAGTACTCTCTGATTTCTAATCGTTTCATTTCCAAATAATGGTTTGCTTCTTTCTTTCTTTTTTTATAAACAGACCTCTCCTTCTTACAACAGCCAAGCCTGTAAATTGGTAAATATATTCTCAAAACTGAAACTGTTTTTACTCCTTTGGGGTCATTTGGCTTTTGATACACACGATCAAATGTGTACCTTTGGTTCATCTTTTTTTTATATATAAAGTATTGTTTTGTTATACAAAAAGGTATGGAAAGAGAAAAATGCAGAAGGGGAAACAGCAAATTCAGCCTTATTTTTAACACGCCACAAAACACCGACCCCGGAAAATCTGTCTTTCCATTATGTTGATTCAGAACCAGCTCTTAAACAGAAAGCAATGCATGTAGGGAATCCCAAGACTGAAAATCTTCCCAGTAGTGAGGAATTATAGCTTTTGCTCCTGTCTGTGTTCGGTATGTCCGTAATAGTTTTCATGTCAATGTTCCAAGCTTTGAATCTATAATTCCGAAATATATTTTCACTTTCTTAACAGACCATACAGTCGTCTGCATCTCAAAGTGGTGGTTCTTCTGTCTCTCGGGTAAATTTTCTTTTGTCATTGTTTCTGATGATACATTATCAACGTGAGAAATCTGGAGGATTTATTTGTTTAGCGTATGGCATATCATACATGGAGTACCAAACTATACAGTATTAACATTTCACCTAGATTAGTAAAACACAACAAAATATAAATGTTAAAAAGATCTATATACAAATACCAAAGTCTAGGCCAGGGGTAGGCAACCTTAGCTCTTTTATGACTCGTGGACTTCAACTCCCAGAATTCCTGAGCCAGCATAGCTCAGCTTGGAAACTTCTCTCTTTCCCCCTCAGCATGGCTGGCTCAGTAATTCTGGGAGTTGAAGTCCATGAGTCATAAAAGAGACAAGGTTGCCTACCCCTGGTCTAGACCATCTAACCTTTGAAGCCCAGCATTGTTTATATTAATAAAATCAGATATTGGACCAGTATATGCCCTCAGCTTACAACCGGTCATTTTGTGATCTACAATTTGAGGATTATTCCTCATTATGTACTTCTGAGAATCTCTAAAACTTCCTCCTATAGTGGGAGGAACCTGTGGTACAGTCTCTTCCCAAAAAAATTTAATCCCTTTTCTGGGAGGACAAAGATAAGTGTGGGAAGGAATTCTTTTTTAAAACCATCCCATGCATTATTTCTTCATAGAAACAATCTTCTCCACCAGAGATTTATAGCCATGTATGTAGGCAAGGCTGCTAGGATTCCACCCACGGACATATTTAAAAATCATGAATTATACTATTTTTAATCCTTTACTCACTCCAAAAACGAAGCAAAATTAGTCTCTTCAGAGAACTTGTCAAATGCAAACCAGCAGTAGGATGCACAAGAGGTTTCATGGGATATGGGACTAATTTTGTTTGTGATCCCTTATTTAACTACAGATAAGCCTGCAGAAGTTAATTATCTAAATGACTCCTGAAGTTATAGAAAACATTCATCTTGGGAAATTTTTTGACAGAAATTATATTCTTTACCAGTATTGATTCCATTGCAGTACAAACAATAATGGTATCTGGAGTCCTGCGGTGTCCATCACAGTTCAGATTTTTGTTCAAAAGAGAGTATATTTTGGATATATTTGGATATATATTTTGGATCTCTCTCTCTCTCTCTCCCTCCCTCCCTCTCTCTCTCTCTCTCTCTCCCTATCTCTCTCAATCCCATCTATCTATCATATCTCTCTTTCATCCATCCACAATCCATCCATTCATCCATCCATCTCCAAAGTGCATATATATAGCTCCTCGAAGCACGAAGCTGAAAACACCAGCCTGAAGATGACGAATGGGACTTCGTCAAAACGTCGCCAAGACACTTCCAATTTTATGCGGGAGAAAACCCGAATAACCAAAGACCTACATACAAACACCCGCGAAAACCTCAGAAAACATATATATACTGTATATATATATATATATATAATATATATATATATATATATGAATAGTGAAAATTGGTAATTGACTATATTGGTAATTGACTATATATATATATATATATATATATATATATATATATATATATATATATATATATATGTATCAAAAAATAAAATGAACACCAGGGTAGTAAAACTATAAAAGGCTATCGCAAAAACTATAAAAGGCTATCGCAAAAAGAACAACCGAGCGGATGATGATTGGGAAAGGAAGGGGAAGTGTACATTACCACTCAAACCTGATGGGGAGGATGGGTTGAAGAACAGAGATAATTTGAACGGTAGGGGAGTTATCCCACCCATCCCAGAATCGAAAGAAAGGAGGAGAGACGACAACACACACGTAACTAAGAGGAATAGGAAGAAGCAAACCAATCAAGCGCAGCTGAATCAATTAGGCCCGGTGACGAGATTGAGGAGCCGGGCGCAGACTCTGACTTGCCTATAAAAAACTCTCACACTTTCTGGCGCTCTAGCCCTGATGATGCCGGCAGGGACGGCGAAAGCTTGGCGCTTTTTAATTAAACTTTTATAGTTTTACTACCCTATTTTTTGATATGAATACTCCCAGGGTTCATATTTTTAGCATTATTAACTATATATATATATATATATATATATATATATATATATATATATATATATATATATATATATATATATATATTCCTATCTGCTTAATTTTTTTTAGCAATTGGAAATTTCTCCTCCTTCGTATATTCTATGATAATGTCTTTTTCATATCAGGATTTATAGATGTGGGGTTATTTTAAGAAATATGTTCCATTTGATACAAAAGTGATGTCTTAGTTGTGCTATTTTTTTTCCATCAGGGTGAAACGATTATAGTAGGTGGTGGTAGACCTTCTACTTCCGTCAGTGGCAGTGGAACTTCAATTATAGTTAGTGACGGGAGACCTTCTTCAATTGGTGGTAGTGGAACTTCGATTATAGTTGATGGCGGTAGACCCTCTACTTCTGTTAGTGGTAGTGGATCATCATCTACATTTGGCAGCAGTGGATCCAGGAATCCTTGTGGTCAGGTTAGTATCTTTTCTCACAAAAAACAATCAGCTAAAATGTTTCTTATGTTCTACTTGTGAAAAGAGATCTCTCCACCCCACCCTACTTGATGCAAAATAAAATTTTAATATAGTAGTTATAGTTCAGTTTGACATTGGGAACGCTTGCGTATAATCTTAAGCCATGGTTGTATAATATGGAAAAGGGAGTGAATCTACTCTTCTCCTACTCAGCCAACATGGCTGCAAGGAGGTCAGCAAAATTATACATGTTTTGTTTGAATTACGTTTGACTAATAAAAATAGCTTGTTTTAATGTATAATTAGCAGTATTCTTAGGTTTGAATGATATCACAAGAAACAATTAATTAAAAAAAAGAGAAGCAACAGTTTCAAAAAATTTTCAGCCACATTAGAAGAAGAAATGAGAATATGAAAACTTCCTGTGACTTGTTTTCATTATGTTAAACTATCTTTAGGGGTTACATATGAACCAGCTCCTTATTTCCATAATCTGATGAATGTCTGTTTGTATCCATTCTGATTATTGTGATGTGTTGAAATTCTTCATATTCAAACAGAAAATTGTATAATCAATTTTGAATCATGAATCCATCTGTTGGCTGAAGAACTCCTATTTCTGATCATGATTGCAATGCCTTTTCTTCAGTTGAGGGATTTTTTCTCTCAATTTAATCTGTAATGTGCAAATAGCAATATTTTAATTTATTTTAATCAATTTATACTGTCAATTAAAAAGCTGTTTATTTTTTTCCCCCACAGGGAAATATCCCTGACAAGAATCCTTGTAAGCCGGTGAGATTTATTTCTCTAAATCAATGAGGGGAAATTGTGGTTCTTCAAATACTCTTGGGGTTATTGTATTTTGATGTCAGAAAGGTACCTATTGCCCATTCCTTGCCCAAAACTCATTGAAGACATGCTTCTAATTTCCTTAATTGTCAAATTCTTTTGCTTTGAGAAACCAGTGACAAGCTTAGCATGGATTTAGTAGCTGTTCATTTTTGAATTATTGGATTTTCTTCATTATAATTGTGATATCCAGTGCTTAAACATCCAAAAAGCAACACCAGTCCCTTATTGAACAAGGGATAGCATTGATCACTGTCTGCTTGAGAAATTGCTTTAGACTAAATCTTTCCAACCTTTTAACTGATTAACACCTCCGTGCCATTCCCTTTTTTTTTTTAACAAGGAAAAATGCTAAACACAAAATAAGACCACTATTTTCCTTTGAATTTGAACAAATCTGAATAGGCCACATTACAGGCTTGTGTAAAATTTGATACTCTAATATTTGAGAACTGTATTGTTTTTTTTATTATGTGAAATTATACAACAAAATATATTTTAAAAAGGGCTCTCGCTGGAGATTACCACTGTGTTCCTTTACTTTCTCCAAAACAATTTCTTGTCTGACAGGATTTTCCGCTAAAAATATTCTTTCCTATGTAATATCATGGAAGGTTAAATTGATTAGAAAACTTGTAAAGGGTCTCTTTCATTCAAAACACTTCAGTTGCTTTCAGACAATTGGCTTTTAATATAGTCAAGAGGGGTACTGTTCCTACTCAATAGAAATGTAAGAAAAAAGACAAAAAGAAACCTAGTAGGAAAATATGGGAAAATTCCAGCAGAAACCAGCAACATCTGATATATAAAGCTTTATGAATAAAACAAGAATGATCATGCAATTTAAAAAAAGAACTTCAGCAGAAACACTCTTTCTTTGAATCTGTTCCACAGTAAATATATTTCAAAACATTTGGATGTTCTGAAGTAGATATAAATCAACTACATGTATATATTTACATTGTAATAGTGTCGCAGTCAGCCATGTGTGGACAGCTAAACCTATATAGTTAATATATGGTCAATAAATAACCTAAGTCTAGAAAAAAGCATAAGAAAAACCACAAAATTCTAATAAAGGAGTGGTGTAATGTAAATTTTGGAATCAAGTTCCTATATCCTCCAAAGTTTTTTTTCCCCATGTTAACATTTTAGGTTATGTTGTGCAGTCATTTTTGCACAGGACAAATCTGGACAAAACATCAATCTTGGTTTATCACTTACACAAAAAAGATGCATTGGAAATATCTGTCTGCAGGACAATTTCAACAAATTTAAAACAATGTTTGCTTTGTTTAAACATGCCTCATTCTGGACTGAGAGAAGCCACAGCTTCATGTTCAGACAAAATGGCCGGCGATGCTTACAAAGAGAGCTTGGAAGGCATTGGTCTTACGTTAGCAGCTAAGCCATCAGTCTGGCTTTTCAAAATGCAGCCATGAAAGAGGAAGAGACATTTATTTCATGCAGGTCACTTAAATGAGAAAGCATGTTTTTGCACTGGGAAGAAGCAAGTTCTTTAAAGTTAAGAGTACAAAAAATTATTTGGCCGGATAACTCATGAAATTAGGTAACAATTATGCTCTGTTTGAATATTATGACATAACTGTCTTATTCAAGTGGAAGAAATTAAGCCCACTTAGGGTTTGCTCTGCTATTTTGAATATTTGGTCAAAGAACCCAAAATTACTAAACCTTTTCTTACTGTGTTGACAAAAAGCAGCCCATCCTCAGTTGGGTGAATTCAATTCTGTTTTAAGACCTCCTACCCAAACCATAGGCACATCTTCATTAAAAAGATAAACTGTATAATCCTTGGTACTCATATAAGATTCATACTTAACAATGTTTTCACTCTTTGTTTCTCCCATAGGCTGGATCATCATCTCAGCAAAGTTTTGGAAGTAGCCATGTAAGGACAGAGTATATTGTTTTATTTCTACTAAGAATTTTGTGTATTATTGAAATGCCAATTTACAAAAAAAAAAATCTTGTTTTTTTGCAGAGTGGTTCCTCCCAACAAGGATATGGTTCCCAGGTAAAATCAATCTTTCAGTGAATCTGTTTCAGAAAATGCAAAAGCTACTGAATTTTGGATATTATTGAAGTGCCAATTCACAAAAAAAATCTTGTTTTTTTGCAGAGTGGTTCCTCCCAACAAGGTTATGGTTCCCAGGTAAAATCAATCTTTCAGTGAATTTGTTTCAGAAAATGCAAAAGCTGCTGTTTGGTTTGCTATACTTTTTTCAAAAATAATAATTAGAACAACTGTGGCAAAAGAAAACAAAGATAATAATAATAGGCGCCCAATCCCAAAACATCTGGAGCACCGTTTGAATACCATCAGTATTGACAAAATCACCTTCAGTCAATTGCAAAAGGCAACTTTACTTGCAACAGCTTACAGCCTGTGATGATTTTAATATCACCACTACCTTTAACACCATCAAACATCCACAACTGCTAATCCCAGGTCCTTGGGAAGGACTCAGTAGGTGGATTAAAAATGCCAAATCTACTCTAAATATCTGGCTGACTGTGTCACAAACCATAATATACTATTAAAAACTATTCATCTTTCTGAATGGATTATCACAACAGTCTTTGGAAATAATCAGGTTGACCTATTTTTAATATTCAATCATTTTAGCCTGTTCCACTCTTGCTTAAAAAGATGGATTTTACAAAGACCCAGTTTGCACTGAATGAATGAATAAATGAATGAATGTTGTTTCTTTATCGGAACGGGGGGTTTATTTTCTATTATTCTTGCCAACAAATAGAAAATAAACAAATAAATAAGCAAACAAGCATTCTGTTTTCTTATTTCTTTTTTCCCCAACAACTTGACTTAAGTTAAAGAGCTTTGGCAGCTCCAGACCTTCACAGCCACACTTTGGATGGGAGCAAATTAGGGCATCCCACACCTTCTTGGAAATCTAGCGCATACTTTCTTGACCAATTGCCTTGTAACCAAAGCCTTTTTGTTAGTAGTATCAAATGAAGTAAGCTTTCCTTTATAAACCATTATTTGTTTTCAGACAATTAAGCTTCATGTACCTGTGCAGTTTCTGCCTGTTTTGTACTCAGAATATAGACATCTTTTCAACAAGAAAAATAATCTCTTCTGTTATATAGATTGTACATTCACATACACGCGCATAAACATTACTCTTTTGGCATCGACTTTCTAAATTTGGCATGATGTTTGACGCACTTACCATTGGTCACTGGCAGCTATTGAATGCCGGTTGGGATATCATCAGTACCTGCTATAGAATTTTCTCCTAACAACCACACAAATTTGAGAATTATTTTTGAATGCTTTCTATTCCACAGTGTTGAGGCATCACCTGTTTATTAGCAGGATTCTTCTATGGCTTAAAAAGCAGTGAAACGTTATGTTTTTGAACTGCTTTTTTTAGTTCTTTTTTGTTGCTTAACCTCCATCAGGAGCAGACTCTATACCATGGGTTGTCTGCTTGATTTCAAAATTTGTTGCAAGAGATTGATTCACTGCTTTGCAAGAGATATGTGTGGAGTTCCAAGATTTCACATTAGGAGCAGCTTAGCAGCATCACTCAATGAGAGCAATTAATCCTACAGAGCACTTTTACATACTCTCCCACATTCCACAACCCGGACTATCCAGCTTAAACCAGGACAACTGGAAGAACAACAAAATGAACTTTGTCTTCAGTTGCCTTTTGTACTGTAAGAGGGGTAAAGGCACAAGAGAGGATGGGTGCCACTTCACTTACAGAGCACAGGGGCCCATTATTTTTCTAGCAATTGGTAGCCGTCTCCAGCTTGTTCGTGCCACATGGAGGCTGGGGTGCTGACTTACAATGGAAGGACTATGTCAGTGTGCCTGGCTGAGGAATTCTGGGAGTTGAAGTCCACAAGTCATAAAAGGGCCAGGTTTGAAGACCCCTGGACTATGATCAATATACTGTATAGAAATAGCAATGGTTGAGATACTGTATTCCCTTAAAATGAAATAGCTATATGACTTTGTTTCTCTTTGCCTTGCTACAGAGTGGTTCATATTCTCAGGGGAACAGAAATCCTTGTGATGGGGTAGGTCCCTTTTTCTAAGCCGAATATCTTGGGTTAAATGGCACTTAGATTAACCTGATAATCTTTCCCAATGGCTGTTTGAAGTGGCAAATGTCATAACATTGCAGCTTATGTGGAATGTTAAGTAATAGCACGATAACGCACTTTTTGTTTTAAATAATTTAAATAATTTGACTTTTAATGTGGGCCAGTGTGCTCACAGTCAAAAATGACAATGAAGGTTATCTTACTTATAAAATACAATAGCTTCAGTCAAAAGAGACTTCCTATTATTTTCCTTTTGTGCATTCTCAGTTATGTTATGCTATTTTAAACTAATTCTTAGCCATCTCAGAATAGCTGTGCATCAGTTATTGGTAAATGTAAGTCACTAAGGAAATATATTCTTTGCAATATATTAAAATATTTTTATTTATGTATGTATTATTCAAATTTGCCCATCTGACCAAACACAACAACAGAGATGAAGCTAAACTAAAAATCTTCTAATCATTAACAAACAGGCTAATAAACATATTAACATTCAAGTAATGGTGGAAATATTTTTGAAGCCATTGCCTATGTTTTCACTTCATATAGCTAATAAAACATAACTGAAAGCCTTCACTATATGTTGTAGATGGAAGGTGCGATCTAGAGAGTACACTGAATCAGATTACAAAGGTGTAGTTTATTTTGAAAAATCTCAGTTTTAACAAAAAAGAAAGATAAGACATAAATATGTAACCTGAGCAGGATGAAGCTGACTCATACATCAATGGGAAACCACCAGCTAACTTTCACCACAGTGAAAACTAAACTGAAAAGTGTCACAGAAAAAAAAAATGGCAAATTACTTCCATAATGTTGTTGAAGAAATAGTTGTGTCCATTAATCTAGGCCAGGGGTGTCAAACTCAATTTCACTGAGGGCCGCATCAGCATTGTGGTTGCCCTTGGGGGGCTGGGTAGGTGTGGCCAGAGTGGGTGCAGCCTACTGGGTGGGCGTGGATGGAGTAGGCATGGCCTACTGGGTGGGCGTGGCAAGCTCTACATTGTTCACGTCAAGGGTGCCTATGAGGGCCTGGGCAGGAGTGGGACAGATGTGAGGGTCTTTGGCAGAAGGGGGTGGGACCGGGGCAAGCGCCAACGCATGGTCCACCGGGGCAAGTGCCAAGATGGTCACCACAAAATTGTACATTGGCTCCCAGCCAGCCTGGGGACCAAGGCAGCGGGGACTGCTCTCTCATTGTTTCCAGGATGGCTTCGCGGGGCCACATGAAACCACTTTGCGGGCTATATCCGACCCCCTGGCCTTGTGTTTGGCATGTCTGATCTAGGCTGTCTAATCTTGGTCTGTCTTGGGAAAGACTTGTAGTTCTTAATGAAAAACAACCCAAAACCAAAAGAGAGAGAGAGAGAGAGAGGGAGGGTGGGAGGGAGGGAGAGAGGGAGAGGGAGAGAGAGAGAGAGAGGGAGAGAGAGAGAGAGAGAGAGAGCATTTTAATCACATTTGAGCATGTGTTTTCTTTTCCAGAGCACTACTGGTAAAATAATCAGCAGTAGCAACTGTCCAAAGGTAAATATGTTTTTCCTCCTTGTAATTGTACAGCTTGGTAGGAAAAAGATACCAAGGGGAACTTTAATCATTCTATCTGTGGCTGGGATGGTCTAGTCGACTCAGCTCATAGTTAAATAATTTATGTGTGAAAATAGGTACAGGTGATAGGGATAAGAGCAATTGTGCCTTTAATCATTTTCCTTTGAGGGACCTCAAATCATAGCCAATATTGCCCTCTACTGTTACTATAACTGGTTCTATAGAAAAATGATAGAGCTCTTTATATAAAGAGCACACCTAACATATGTGGCTATTGTTTTGAGTAATGCATTTATTCAAGAAAAAAAATTAACTGCACATATTAACTTCATACATTTTCATACAGGGGGTACCAAGTGGATCCTATGGTAGTAGCAGCAGCAGTAGCAGCCAATATGGACAGGTAAAAATCTGTTTTGGTGTAGATATTATATATGATTGTACATTTCTGAGGAAAAAGTATGCACTTTTGGGATGTTCTGAACAATATTAGAACTTTGTGTGGATGTTGCTGGTATACATAGGGAGTGAATATTTTTTCACCAGTTATATGACTTACTAAAGGAAAGCGATATGGTAATTAGGAAAGAGAAGTAGCTATAAAATACTATAGAAGTAAGACAAAGTGAGGGTATCGCAGCTTTGTAAAATTATATTTAAGATCATCCTTGGTAGTTTTGATTATTTTCTGCACAGTCTGGTCAGAGTGGATCCTATGGCAGCAGCAGCAGCCAATATGGACAGGTAAACATTCTTTTGATATAAAAAATATAGGTAATATATTAGAACAATATCTGTATATATTAGAACAATTAATCGGTGGAACGACTTTCCTCCAGAAGTTGTGGATGGTCCAACACTGGAGGTTTTTAAGAAGCGATTGGACAACCACTTGGTATAGGGCAGTGATGGCGAATCTTTTAGAGACCGAGTGCCCAAACTTCAACCCAAAACCCACTTATTTATCGCCGGGTGCCAGATGGTCGTGGCCCACTGGGTGGGCGTGGCTGTGGTGGTCATGGAAGAATGGGTGGATGTGGCCAATGTAGGTGTGGTCACCTCGATGTTCCTCATGGGCAGGGACTCCTGTGGGGGCCAGACAGGTTGGGGGAGATCCAGGGGGTCTCTGGTGGGTGGGACAGTGGACAGGAGGCTCATCCTGTAGGGTGAGAGGAGGCGAGGCAGGGCAGGGGTGCCATTGTCGCAGGGCAAGGCGATGCAGAGGCCAGGGAGGCTGCTGTCTGACACTATCAGTCCCTGCACACAGAGGCCAGCGAGTGCATGGGAGCCAACGGTGTCTATCAGCAGCCACAGACTGCTGGCCCCTCAACTTGTACACTCTAGGGCTCCACAGCCCACTGCCAGCAGTTCAGAGAAGCCACCTCTGAACTTAATGACTGGCCAACAGCTGAAGAGGCGATACAGTGGGTTGTGCCTGGGAAAAGGAGAGCATGTGAGGCCAGGAGGGATGGGACGGGGGGAGGAAAACCAGCCATGCTGGGATGCATCTGGCCATGTGGGACCTCAGTGAGTTAGCAGGCGGCTGCTTGAAGAGTGATGGTTGCCATCTCCAGGACATGGCACAAGTGCCGACAGAGAGGGCTCTGAGTGCCACCTCTGGCACCCGTGCCATAGGTTCGCCACCACTGGTGTAGGGTTTCCTGCTTGAACAGGGGCTTGGGCTAGGAGACCTCCAAGGTCCCTTCCAACTCTGTTATTCTTTTATTTTGTTATATGCCTTAATCTCACAAAAGAAACTTAGAATTGTAGAGTTGGAATCTAGAACAATCTAGAGCCCATCCTTTGCAAGGCACAGGAAAACTGAGAGTCTCAAAAACCTCTAGAGACTGAAAACTCACAGTCTCTCTAGATATACCAAACCACCGTCTTATAGATCCTACTATCCAGAATTTCTTCATTATAGTTAAATGAACTCTAAGTACTTATGTCTGATAACCATTATTCATAATGCATAATTTCTGGGTTATGGAAAATCATTCTTTTAACAGTCTTCCTTATATGTATCTGAACACAGTTATCTACCTGCCCTAAATCTTATTTTTTTCTCCAGAGTCAGTATCCCCCAAATATGTACAGAGTAGTTTAACAGAACCATCATTTAGGGTGATTATCATTTTATTTCAGAAAAAAATAAATTTCCTTCTCATCCCTATGAGGCCTGGGGGTTTGAGGGTTCTGAGCAGGATCTTAGCTTTATTTTCTATATTCTCTCAAGGTCCTCTTTCAGGCCACACACACACACACACACACACACGCACGCACAGACATACACACACACAGAGACTTATTCTAATAATAGAAAAGATATACATATAATTATATCTATATTGAAGATAATTCTTTCATAATTTTTTAATCACTCAGTTTCTTGCGAATTAGGTAGCCTATAAATATACTGCATATAACTAATAAGTAAGCAAATACGTTTTTTTTTAAAAAAAGAGTGGATCATATTGCTAATACAGGCAGCTTAAAAACTTCCGGTTATAACTAATGCATTGAATACAGTGTATGCCTCAGTAATACATAATAGATAAGGATATTAGGGCTGTATATGGTTCTAATTACTATATATATTAGCTGTGTGCAATTATTTTTCAAGTAATTTTGTTGTAAATTCTCTTTTGGATGTTGACTAAAAGTTGTAAATTTTAAAACATTTTCTCTACAGAGTGGATCATATGGCGGCAGCAGCCAGTATGGACAGATAAAACTATCATTTAAATACAATACATATCTAATATGGCAATATGTGGCAATAGCCAGACGTGAGCAGAGAAATCCTATATGTAAATCAAGTCAAAGCAAGGAGGTTATGTAACGGCTGTGGATGGAAGCCAGATATTGAATCCAATGCCTAAAAAATCCAGCAGGGGAGAGAAGAAAATCCTCAGGTAGCAAATGCAAACCTGGTTTAGAAAGCTTAGTTTTGGTCACAGCCTTCCTGAAAGCAGCTAATGATGACTAATAAGGGACAGGAACTTCCATGAGAGCGATGGAAAAAAGTCAAGATGGGAGTTTGAAGCCCAGATCTTTTTTATAATCAAAGGTGGGAAACCTTCAACAGTGATGACCACCACTTTATTTTTTTTTAATTTTTTAATTAAAATTTATAGACCCCTCCCATTCCCGCAGGACTCCGGGAGGCTAACAATAAAAACACAATATAACTTAACAAGACAAACAATACAGTAACATTCATCCAGGGGTCAGAGTTTATAAACCCCAGGCCTGCCGGAAAAGCCAGGTCTTAAGCAGCTTGCGGAAAACCAACAGGGTGGGAGCGGTCCTAATCTCCGGGGGGAGCTGGTTCCAAGACGTGGGCGCCGTCACAGAGAAAGCCCTCCCCCGCGGCCCAGCCAAATGGCATTGCTTGGCCGACGGGACCTGAAGGAGGCCCAACCTGTGGGATCTAACCGGACGAAGGGAACTATAAGGTAGTAGGTGGTCTCGCAAATAGCCTGGCCCTGAGCCATATAGAGCTTTAAAGGTAATAACCAACACCTTGAATTGGACCTGGAGACCAATAGGCAACCAGTGCAGCTTGCGGAGGATAGGTGTAACGTGGGTGTACCGAGGAACACCCACAATCACTCGCGCGGCTGCATTCTGGACTAACTGTAGTCTCTGAATATTTTTCAAGGGTAGCCCCATGTAGAGCGCGTTGCAGTAGTCTAGGCGTGAGGTGACGACGGCATGAGTGACTGTAAGGAGAGCCTCCCGGTCCAGGTAGGGTCGCAGCTGGTGCAACAGATGAACTTGTGCAAAGGTCCTCCCAGCCACAGCCGTCAAATGATGTTCCAATTTCAGCTGTGGATCAAGGAGGACACCCAAGTTGCGAACCCGCTCCGAAGGGGATATATTTTCCCCTGCTAGAGTCAACATTGGACAGTTAACATGATCCTTGGGAGGCAACATCCAAAGCCACTCGGTCTTGTCCGGATTGAGCCTGAGTCTGTTAACCCCCATCCAGACCCTCACGGCTTCAAGGCAACAGCCCATCACATCAGCCGCTTCACTGAGAGAGCTCGGGGAAGAGATATATAGCTGGGTATCATCAGCATACTGATGAAACCTCATCCCGTGCTGTCTGATGATCTCACCCAGCGGCTTCATGTAAATGTTGAATAGGAGGGGGGAGAGGACCAACCCCTGCGGCACCCCACATTCAAGGGGCCTCGGAGTTGGCCTCTGTCCCCCCACCAGTACCGATTGCGACCGGCCAGAGAGGTAGGAGGAGAACCACCGTAAAACGGTGCCTCCCACTCCCACCCCTCGAAGTCGTCGCAAAAGGATACCATGATCGATGGTATCAAAAGCCGCTGAGAGGTCAAGTAGCACCAAGACAGAGGAATAACCCCTGACTTGGGCCCGCCAGAGATCATCCATCAGCGCGACCAAAGCAGTTTCTGTGCTGAAGCCGGGCCTGAAGCCAGATTGAAAAGGGTCTAGGTAATCTGCTTCATCCAGAGACCATCGGAGCTGGAGCGCCACCATTCTCTCTACAACCTTACCCAAAAAGGGGAGATTGGAGACTGGACGGAAGTTATTTAAATCAGTCGGGTCCAGGGTAGGCTTCTTGAGAAGGGGCCTCACAACTGCTTCCTTCAAGGGTTGCAGGAAGGACCCCTCCCTCAATGAAGCATTAATCAACACCTGGAGCCAGCCTCGTGTCACCTCCTTGGCGGCCGAGACCAACCAGGAAGGACACGGGTCCAATAAACAAGTGGAGGCGCTCATCGCTCCCACCGCTCTGTCAACATCCTCAGCAGTCACGGACTCAAATTCATCCCATAAAACTGGGCTAAGACCAGCCCCGGTCATCTCAGAAGGCCCTGCCCAATCGGAGTCCAGGCCTGTCCGAATCCGAGCGATTTTGTCTGATAGAAACTGCACAAATTCTTCTGCCCTACCCTGCAAGGGCTCCCCAGCTTCCTGAACGTTAAGTAGGGAATGGGTCACCCTAAACAGGGTGGTGGGGCAAGATTCTGCAGACGCAATAAGTGCAGAAAAATGCGAACATTTTGCCACTTGTATCGCCACTAAGTAAGTCCTAATATAGGCTCTTAAAAGTGTCCGGTCGGGTTCGGAGTTACTAGCCCTCCAGCGTCGCTCTAGACTTGACTTTTTTTGACATTTCCCCTGGGCATCAGAGATTCAAGGTCTTTGTAGTACATACACAAAGACACCAATACACCCCCACAGACAAATGAGGGCATACTTAAGCCCACATTTCTGTATTGCCACAGAAGTCAATCCCATAAATATCAGCTCCACAGATTCAACAGATCACAATCTTGTTACTGCCAATCCTCACATAGTTGTCCTAGGAAGGTCTTGATTACTGTGATCGTCCTCTCAAAACTTGTTTCGGGAATACCATCTACACAAGATGCAATCCCAATATATCTTTCCGGGCAGAAATGCCAGCAACACAGCCTGGGGGGGGGGAGAGATTCCTTGGCAGGTTTCCAGAAGGAAAGCCACAGGCATTATTTTATATATTATTTTATATTGAGTGTGTATGTATATGTATGTATGTATGTGTATATATATATATATATATGTTTTCTGAGGTTTTCGCGGGTATTTGTATATATATATATATACACACACACACACACACACACATACATACATTTCTATATGTATGTACATATATGCATATATATGTGTGTATATGTGTATTGTGTGTGTGTGTGTGTGTGTGTGTGTGTGTGTATGTAGGTCTTTGGTTATTCGGGTTTTCTCCCGCGTCAAATTGGAAGTGTCTCGGCGACGTTTCAACGAAGTCTCATTCACTTCCAATTTGACGCGGGAGAAAACCTGAATAACCAAAGACCTACATATAAACACCCGCGAAAACACACACACACACACACACACACACAGGTGTGTGTGTGTGTGCTTTTGGTTATTCGGGTTTTCTCCCACGTAAAATTGGAAGTGTCTTGGTGACGTTTTGATGAAGTCCCATTCGTCTTCTTCAGGCTGGTGTTTTCGGCTTCGTGCTTCTAGGAGCAATTGCTTCTAGAAGCACGAAGCCGAAAACACCAGCCTGAAGATGACAAATGGGACTTCATTGAAACGTCACCAAGACACTTCCAATTTGACGTGGGAGAAAACCCAAATAACCAAAGACCTATATACAAACACCCACGAAAACCTCAGAAAACATATATGTGTGTCCGTATAAAACTTTTTACAACCCTGTAATCCCTTGTATATAATATTTATATTTTATATTCAAAATCTTAAAATGGATTGGGGTTTGTTTGTTATAACATATAGAAAGATGCAGGGCTAGCATTTTGAAGTAAAATATATTAACGTTAATTTTTCATTTATATGGTTTCTGCATAGAGTGGATCCTATGGAAGCCACAGCCAATATGGACAGGTAAAACTATGCTACCATATAATGTCAGGCTCCAAAAACCAAGAAAGATATGCAGAGAAACTTCTAAGCAGTTTCCTTTATTGTTCCTCACCTACAGACAGAATCTTGCCAGACTAAAGCAGACTACTTCCATCCTTAAAGATGTACACTGAGAATTTATAAAGGGAAGCTCTCTTGACCCTTTTCATCCCAACCAAACTACCTAAGCTGTGTTCTCTCTTGCACCTCTAGAGTGCAGCCCTTCCCTCCTGGGAATCTAAATTATATTCCACTCCATATAATGAGCTAGAAAAAGTGCTATAGTAATAGATAAAAATGAGCATTTTGTAGCTTCTAAATGAAGAAAAAAACCCACTCTTCTGCAGTTATATCAATTGTTTTTATAATATATTTTCTGTACAAACTGGACAGAGTGGATCCTATGGGAGCAGTAGCCAATATGGACAGGTAAAACTGTATTACCATATGATGTGTGTAGAAAATGTGCTACAGTAATGTTGTTGTTGTTAATTGCAAAGTCGTGTTCGACCCATCGCGACCCCATGGACAACGTTCCTCCAGGTCTTCCTGTCCTCCACCATCTTCTGGAGTCCATTTAAGTTCACACCTACTGCTTCAGTGACTCCATCCAGCCACCTCATTCTCTGTCGTCCCCTTCTTCTATTGCGCTCAATCTTTCCCAGTATTAGGCCCTTCTCCAGTGAGTCTTTCCTTCTCATTAGGTGGCCAAAGTATTTGAGTTTCAACTTCAGGATCTGGCCTTCTAAAGAGCAGTCGGGGTTGATCTCTTCAAGGACTACCGGTTTGAACGCCTTGCAGTCCAAGGGACTCGCAGGAGTCTTCTCCAGCACCATAGTTCAAAGGCCTCAATTCTTTTGCTCTCAGCCTTTCTTATGGTCCAACTTTCACAGCCATACACTGCAGCTGGGAAAACCATGACCTGTACTATACGTACTTTTGTTGGCAGGGTGATGTCTCTGCTTTTTAGTATGCTGTCTAGATTTGCCATAGCTTTCCTCCCCAGGAGCAAGCGTCTTTTAATTTCTTGGCTGTAGTCCCCACCTGAGGTGATCTTGGAGCCCAGAAAAATAAAATCTGTCACTACCTCCATTTCTTCCCCATGTATTTGCCAGGAATTGAGAGGGCTGGATGCCATGATTTTGGTTTTCTTAATGTTGAATTTCAAGCCAACTTTTGCACTCTCCTTCTTCACCCGCTACAGTAATAGATAATCACAAAAAAGAAATAAGTATTTCCATTTATTTCAGCTTCTGAGTATAAAAAAGCAGCCTTGCTTAAATTTATTGTTTGTTTGTTTTTTTGTATTTTTTGACAGAGTGGATCCTATGGGAGCAGCAGCCAATATGGACAGGTAAAACAGTTTTTATTGTATGATACATGTAGAAAATGTGCTAGAGTAATAGATCAAAATGTGCGGTTTGGTTTATTGCTGTTTCTAAATATAATAAAACATAATAAAATGAGCATTTCTGTTTATTGTAATTTCAGAATATAAAAAGCAGCTTTGTGCAGTTATGTTAATGGGGGCATTTTACACTGGTAAAGTAAACAGAAGATTCCCATCTCTATACTGCAAGTGTACTGGGTTCCTAGCTTTATCTAAGTCTTGTTAATTTTAATGTCTTTGTATTTGTATTTATTGCATCGTAAGCTGCCCAAAATCTCTCTGGACAGTGAGATGGGAGTCATATAAATGTAATAAATAAATAAATGTTTTATAATGTACTTTCTGTACAGGCTGGACAGAGCGGATCTTATGGGAGCAGCAGCCAGTATGGACAGGTAAAACTGTGTTACAGTATGATTTGTGTAAAAAATATGCTACAGCAATAGATAATACAAATAAACGTGAGCATTTCCATTTATTTTCAGCAGTTTTGTGTAAATATATTAATATTTTTATGATGCATTTTCTGTACTGGGTGCAGCAGCTCTCAGTATGGAAAGGTGAATATTGAGCAATGCATAGATAATGTATTTCATGGAGAGATGTAAACTACTTCTTAAAACTTAGCATAATGTTTATTTCTGCTCTGAATGTAAAAAAGATCTATCTACTTATCTGTCTGTCTATCTATCTATCTATCTATCTATCTATCTATCTATCTATCTATCTATCTATCTATCTAGTTTAAAAACTTTTCTAAAACAGCCCCAGAGTAACTATTTTCTTTTACTCTATGGCTTATCTTCTTGGACAAGACACACTTGCCTAATTTTTAATTCCATTCTCCTCAGCCTATGATATTTAAGTGGCTCTCTCGTGATAAGAAATAATTTGATCCATTTCTTATTTTCTTGGCAGGGCTCCCAAACTAGTGGAGACTACAACATTAAGGGCTGTGGTGAAGTAAGTACAGGATAGTACATATAAAATAAGTAGTATTTTGTTTTGAAATGCTAACCTTTCACTTATTTCTCAAATAAGATGAAGTTGTAACACCACTCAACCATATCCCTTAGAAATGCTTATTATATTTAACTATCACAATGAACGACATGATGGCCTAGAGGTGAAGATACTCGCCTCCCATTTGGAAGATTGAGAGTTCAATCCTAGCCAGCGACAGATGTTTCTCTATCAGGGAGCAAAGAGAAAATATCAGCTGCAAACTCCACATAGGAATCAGGAAGGGCATCCGGTCAGTAAACACTCAACTACATTCAGCCACCTTGACTCCATCCTATTAAAGGGAATACAGGGTCGTAAAAAGAAATAAATAAATAAATATCATGATATTATTAATCCACAATTTCCATCACTGGCCATAATGAAATTGCCTATCCTGTGAAAAAACCTCTATTCATAGCAGTGACAATGAGTGCAGCCCTGCTGTTTTCTTCCCCTCACACATCTGATGAGATTAGGAACTTCTCTTCTAGTTTAATTACAGTTTAACTTTGCTTGTCTGAACCTTAAATTGTGTGGTAACTAAGGGACGATTATGTTCCATCAAAAATATCATTCAAAATATGAATAACTTAAATTGTCTTTTCCCTTGCTGTACTTTACTGTACATAAAAAGCAGGAACCTTTAAGATTAAAGAAAGTTCTTTTTCAGAAAAAACTGTGCATTTTTCATATTGTTCAAACTTACAGTACGTTGAGTAGAATTACAGCTGATGTTAAAAAATAACTGTTTTCTGCTTTCTCACACATTTTAATAAGGCAAAACGCCACTTAACAAGTGTCGGTACAGTCTATTTATACCATATCTCTTCTATACCAGTCTGAGTATTTTTCCCCATTTAAAGCAGTTTCAAAATTAGTAATTGATAAAACTGCTGAAATCACTTTGTTAAAAGATTTCTCTTTTGCTCATAAAGTTTCTTGGACTCTTTGAAGGCAATATTCCTCAATTAGAACTATTAATATGAATGTATATTTAGATCACTTTTATTACCTTAGCAATCATGATTGTTGATTATAATAATATTTCAAATCTCTTAATAGTCTCTATAACTGGCAATACTGGAAAATAAATACTTTTTTCTTCCTCTTATTTTTTATATACATTTAAAGATAATTCTAATGACAGCAGTCATACCTCATATCAATCCACTTATTGTGGCTGCAAAACAGTTCATTGTTTCTTAGATTTGATCTCCAAAGCTTTCATTTATTCCTTCAACTGATCAAAACTTGGCTAACGTAAGAAAGCTCTGCAAGGGAAAAAAAAAAAAGATTTCTGTGTTTCATTATGAATTTGTTTTTATTTCTATGCATTTTGGGAAAATCCTTTCTGAAGAAAAAAAAACAATTACAATGGAATAAAATATTTAACCTTCTTTTTGCTGTTGTTTTTAAATAGTATCCTTTCTGCGGGTTTTTAATTTTCTTTGAGGAAGGATTTCCCCCCAAACTTGTAGATGTTCTGGTCTGGGCAGAACAGTAGACATTGGCTGACTTGGATTTTCCTGCAATAGCTTTTACACTTATTTTGAGCCCCTGCTTTTCTTAATTTATGAATGGCACTACTGTTCAGCCTTTTCTGATAAATGAGTAGCAAGATTTTTAAATGGAATCAATTCTAAACCTTTCAAATTAAGGCTGCAAAACTTTGTATACAACTGTTTCTTGTACATTTGTGCTGCCATCTAGTGGCTGAGTGGATTTCCTAGAATTCTTATTCAGGTTACAATATTCTAAGTGGATTATTTATAGATTTGCTTTTTTGAAATTCCAGCAACTGTAATGCAAGATATTGTAAACTCACCATGCTATAGTAGTGCCTATTCTGATGCAGTGACCATAGTTTAAAAGTACCTTCTACTTACATTTTTCTGTAGTCTTTCAGAGAAAATTGGCCAAGTGCGAAAAGTTAGTTCAGATGTTTTGATGATCAAGCTGCATAGATCTGACTGACTTTGTACAAGCATAATTTAGAACACAGAAGATTGTTGGTTTTATTTCATTTCATTTTTATAATATTTTTATTTTAACAGAACCCAAGAAACTGTAGACGCAAGAGGGCTGCATCAGCTCCAGTAAGTATACTGTCTAACCCAGGGGTGGGGAAGCTTGGCTCTTTTATGACTTGTGGACTTCAACTCCCAGAATTCCTGAGCATGGCTGGCTCAGGAATTCTGGGAGTTGAAGTCCACAAGTCATAAAAGAGCCAAGCCCCCTCGTCTAACCAAATGGAGATTTTCTTCAAATCAGTTAAAAGTGGGACGGGCTTGTACATCAACCTAATCTGGTTTATGGCTTGTGTTTTCTTTCCAACAGAATATACTTAAGACATTGATCAATAAGATTCGAGAAAAAAGGGTATGTGCTTCTCACCACTATAAGTTCTGATTCACTCTGCTTTGTGAACTTGAGGGGTGTTTTGTTTCGTTTTGTTTTACTTTAAGCTCTTTTGATCTCAGTTATAAAGATCTCTTTGTCAACCCTTAAGAGGAAAAGGCATTATTTCTGACAATAAGCAAACACATTTATTTACTTATCCCAGTTCTGGTTGCTACTTATGCTTTCAATTAACATCATCTAATTGATTCGTGTCTGGGTTCAGAAACTAAGGAGCATCAGGTCTGATATGTAACTACAGTGGGAATGCTAGAGTTTCCAAGCTAAACTGGAAAGTTAAAAAAAATCATTCAGAAAAGATAATCATTGGCTACATTTTTAATACTACAAAATAAATGGCATAGGTCAGTGATGGCGAACCTTTTAGAGACTAAGTGCCCAAAAACTGGCTCCGTCCCAGCTCCACCCCCTGCCCTGCCCCCATCCCTCCAAGGCCCACAGATCACCCAGGCAACCCAGCAGTGCCATGGTGGCCACTCCCTCTGCCCGCACCACGCAGCATCAACTGTGCGCGATGGAGTGTGAGGGCAGAGTCTTGTCTACGCTGCCTGGCTGTCATGTCCTTGGCTGTGCTGCTCTGTGTGGGCCACGCTTGGGGGCGACTCTCCTCCAGGGGGGCTGCTGGTGAGGAAGGGGTCACGGGGGAGGCAAGGCTGGGGCAACGGCACATGTGCCCACAGAGAGGGCTCTGAGTGCCACCTCTGCCACCTGTGCCATAGGTTCACCACCACTGGCATAGGTAATGCCATCTAGAAGAACTCTGTTGACATTTTTAACCTGCTGACTGACTTCCATGCTGGGGTAAAAGTAACATTAGTACATGTTTTATCTCCCAAAGAAGGCTTGATCAATAATGTCACATCAGAAACTGCATTTTCACAGTCGGTTGCTATATCTCAATAACTGGTGCTTGAGCTCCTAGTGATTAATCTCTTTGTATAATAGTCAATACTTACCGATTAGATGTTTATAGTTTCCCAAGGCATTAAATGAAAGGAAGAATAAAATGTACTTTTGCTTTTCAGCAGGTTTAGGCTCTTACCAGAGCAACATAACTGAAAAAGCTCTGACCAAAATTATTTTTCTTACTTTTGATTTGAACTTCAAGTTCCTTTCCAGCATCACAGAACTCCCATAAATTCAGTACACACAACAACTGTTTTCCATAGCGGGGAACTATGCATGCCCCGTGGTAATAACAAATGAAAGAAATACTTTTTGAATTTTTGTCAGGAAAAAAAAATCAAATTATGACTTTTCCAACCAAAACAACCATGCCTATATATTCAGGATTTACAAAATGTTACAGTCTCAAAATATTCTAACCTCAAAAGACTTAATTATGTCCATGACTTAAACTTGGGATTGCTTGAAATAGACATTTTCTGCTAGTATATATTATTGTATAAAAGTAAAAAGTTGAGACCTTAAGCTATGCCACATTCTACTGCAGTAAAGGAATTTGGAAATCAATGCCTTTTTTTTCTTTTTCCCTCTGCCCTGCACTTTTTTCTCTTCCCCTTTTCCCTCCTTATTTTTCCATTATCTTTATTTTTCTTCGTATGTTTTGTATTTTATATTTTGATAAACCAATAAAATGTATAAACGTAAAGAAACAGAACTTTCCCACAAATGTTCAACAGTATTTGTGCCTTGTTTATAATAGGAACATTCAGGTTTGTGAAATATGATATTAAAGATAAAGGTGGGCAATATAAATCTCACATAGTAAGTTTTGAGGGACATTTTACAGAAGCATGAAATAATAAATAGATTAGGAATGCGCTATAAATGGCATCAAAAGGCTTTTCCAGGAAGCCCTGGCCACATTCATGTTGTCTATCAATTATTCAGCTGGCAAGAAAATATATGCCAGCTTAAAATGTACTGCCCTTACTAGTGAGTCTTGTTCTACTGCAGTAAAAGGCTAGCATTGTCCTTGCAGCTATTTCTAAGCATGACTCTAATATGCTTCAGAAAAAGAGATAAACCTGAGTCAAAAAAACAGCCCAGCTGACAGATTGCAGTTATGGAAGTGGAATACAGAATGAAGTGGGAGGGAACTTGCATTGATTGATCAATGCAATCCTTCCACTGCATATGTGACCCTGAAAGAGCAGGAGGAAGCAAATGGTAATTATAATAAATGAGCTCCATCCTATACTAATCCTGCAAGATAGTGAGTGTCTAAGCCTAAGGAATCCAGCAAGACCCAAAAGAGGCCAACAATACTTGGATGAAGGTGGTGGACAGTCAAGAAGCACTGTACATGGGTGAATGGTCCATATGTAATAGCATAATAATTTTATACATGGGTAATAGTCATCACCATGACACACTGGTATCAGCAAAAGCAACATTGTGCTGCCCCTCACACCAAAGTCATTAAAAAGTATGCCCTTGCCAGCAGAAGCAACAGAAAACTTGTTATGCATCCAACTGGGACTGAACCACCAATATGGCAACTGGAAGAAACTGGGTCTCTTTCCTGGATTCTATAGGTCTTCCATGCAGTGCTGGATTAATATTATCTCAGGAGAGTCTTAGAGTTGGGGTTTATTTAAACATGGATTTCAAAGAGACCCAACAGGAGAGGCCAGGAGGAGTTCCCTCTGACAGGACCCTAGAGTCAGGTCTTTTCTGCCTTAAGGTGAGGTTAGCCCCAACCCTAATGGCTTTTCAGAAAGCACTCAAAATGTGAAGTGTTTTTTTTTTCCCGTTAGGCCTGGGTATCCCCTGGCAGCAGAGTCTACACATTGGGTGCATTGCATATAACATTTTAATTAACTCCCTCTCTCTCTTATGTTTAATGGTTTAAACTGGTTTTTTTATATTTAGTTTGTCATAGTTGATTTTTTTATTGTAAACCATCCAAAGTCTCCTTGTGTCAAATGGGTGTCAAATATAATTGGTAAATAAATAAAAGGAACAAGTTTAGTGCTTTTTGTGAAGAGATTAAACTCACATTTAAGAAACAAGCGTAACACTTCTTTTTTCCCCCCAAACATTCATGATTATAAGACGTTTATGTAAGATCTGGCAAGTATTCTGGAATTATAAGCTGCATCAACTAGTCTTTTTGTTATTTTGAAATCTAGTCCCTGGGTTTCAATTTCTCACAAAAGTTTGTAACAACATGACAAAACATCTTTAACTGCTATCTTTATTTCAGAATGAACCCTTTAATTCAGAACAAATGTACAGCAAAAACCAGGTAATAATATCAGCTTCAGTCTGTTTAAAGTCCATGTTGTGAAATACCATAGTTGCTAGAATTGGGGTACTTAGGAGCCTAATCAGGTTGCCAGGTGAAAGTGCTATTCATCAGTTCTTGAGCCAACAAAAAATCTATTGATGACCTCTATTTTGCCCTAATAACAGCACTAGCAACTGCTAGTGATAGATAGACTGATCTATCACTGATAGATAGATTTTTCCCAGTTTCTTTCCTGTATCCACAAAGCCTTGCCTTCTGCTAGTAGGAGAATGATCAGAAACCCTTCCACTAATGTGGGCAAGGGTGGATGAGGTCAGACAAGTGCTTGAAATGCCACATTGAAGGGTTATGCTGCCCCCAGTCTGGGTGGGCTGAGACTGGGAAAATTAAAGGAACCTGAGACCAGATAAGTCCCTTATCAAAACCCTTTTTAGGCAGCGTTCCACACCCAATGCTGCGAAATGCACAAGGTCTGTTATCACATAAGGGTGGGCAAAAGAGGTAGTGTTTTAATATAATGGTTTGATATAAATATAAATTGAATATTCTTGCTTTGACAGCTTGCTTCCTAGATCCCGCAGTAGCTGATCTTCTTTGTTGTCTGACCTTCTTTGAATCTACAATTAAAGCAACTTATCTATCTGACCTTGTCCTTAATTCCTTGCTGCTAGCTCCAGAGAGCAGGTTTGAGTTCCTAGAAAGAGACTTATTTCTGTGCACAAGGTGAAGCTCTAAGAGCAAAACAAGCTATTCCTATTCCGAGTCCCGTGGAAGAAGAAAATTCATTTAAGATTTCAAGATTAAAACCATGGCTATCAACCTTCTTGCAGGTCTACTGATGGTAAATTGGTTGCCGACGTTTTATTCCAATATCAGAATTATGTGTTGACTCAGATTGAACAAGCAGAATTGCTGTTTTTGGACTCTCGTGTGCCTCTACCCAAGATCCAGCAATTGTAAAAACAAGTCAAAAACCTGACACACAACAACAGAGATCTTGGCAAATATTCTGCCTTTCTTGTTCAGTATGATTTATATACCTCTTTAAGACCTAAGGATTATTTCGCAAATTGCTCTCAGGATTTATAATTGGAAGGTGAATCAAAATGTCTTCTCCAAACAAGGAAACCATTCCATCTGAAAATATGTTGCTGATTTCCAGTTGGCAGCTCAGGATGCCAGTAGAAATAAAGGATGCCAATGACCAATTGAATGAGGTGCTATCAGGCAAAATAGAGGATTACAAAGACATTGTCTATATTAATCCAACTATGCTTAGGGATTGATGGAAGGCCTGAGGAACTGTGACAGAGAATGGATGGATCACCACTATTATCTTTTCTTCTATTCTTCTCCGTCAGCTCATTGGACACTTTGGATTTTGAACCTCTGGAGTTGGGTTGTACAGTGTTCGCACTGCATGAGAAAAGAACTGTTCATGCCCATAAAGTCTATGTTTATACTGTAAAGAATTTGACTACTTTACATGGGAATATCCTTCTCAACTCTTCCTTCTAAGACATCAACAAAATATTATTCTTATGGGAAAGAGAGGTACTTTACAAAAAGTTTCCTGAACTTTTTAGATCTGGTTTGTTGGAAAATGAATACAACTGGACCTCAAAAGACCAGGGACATCCAAAAATGAAGTAGAGCACAGATGAGTGGTGCTATGGATCATCATCTAGTCATTCCTGTCGTTCTTCTGATCCAGACTGTCTACGCAATTTAACTGCCGGTCTTACTGCATTTTTGCTCCACAGGCAAAATTCATAAAATCGTCAGTTACACACAAATACCCTTTGCTCACTCAGCCTGTCAACCCTTCCAAGAGGACCAAAATCACGAACGGCAGGCTTTCATGCTCTGAGCAGATTTCAGACTAAATGGATCCTCTCTTAGAACCCAGAACCATAAAAAACCACCATAGTTCCTCTATCTGGCTTCTCCATTACATTTTCAGTTGTCTTAGCAATGGACTGGCTTCAGGCGTTCAAGCCCTACATTCATCGGAATCAAGACTACATGACATTTGACCTCCAGGCAGGCATGCAAGACTCATCATCCACAGTGCCTCAAACCCATCCCCTTCAACTTCTTCCTTTCATACATACCAAGTATGCAGATGTATTTTGGAAGGGGGAAGTACAGTCTCTGCCTCCTCCCATATGTAATATAAAATTTATTCCTTTATTTAATAATAAAGGAATAAAATTTATTCCTGATTGTCTAATGGAAAAAAAAATTAAAAACAGAAACATCTACCTTTCATGCAAATGCTGTTATTTTTTTGTTTGTTTGTTTGTTACAAAGGGTGAATCCCTCCTTGCAGTCCATTATTATGGGCTCCTGAAGTCTGTTAACTATTAGGGATCATAACCCGATTCCTCTCGTCTCTAAACTTTTACAAGTACTGAAGAACATTTTTTTTTTTGCCAAACTGGATTTCACTTCTTATTCCCTGGTTTCTGGTGGCTTCAAATTACAACAGACTTGAAAGCTGACATTTTTATCACTGTACAAAGCTTCATACTATCTAGCCAGCTCAATTACTGCACTCTCCCATTGCTACAAGGACTAACAGCACAGTTTGTTTGGACTTTATTACTCACTACCACATGTTGTTTGCTTGGGTGCCATTCTAGTACTACTGGACCATTTCTCTAAAATGGCTCTTTTCATCTCCTTTTGTGGCCTTCCATACATTTCTGAGAATGCCTATCTGTTAATTAACTGGGGGGTTGTTGTTTTTTCTTTTTTTAGAACCACAGATTGACTGATCATTTTATTTTGGACAAAGGCCGCTCAATTCACAGAACATTTTTATCAGCACTATATCGACAATTGCATGTAATGTTCCACCTGTCTTCTTTTCATCATCTACAATCCGACAGAGGAATGGAAAAGACAAATGTCACACTGAACAACACTTCCTTTGATACATAAATGACCAACTCAAAACCTGGCCTGAGGTTTAGCTGTGGCTGAATTAATTTATGCCTCTACTCAACTGTCTCAATTTCAGACTGTTTATGATACTGCTTGCATCTGCTGCTTAATACTTCCTGACTCCCACCTATTCCATCTTAACCATAAACTGCAAGATACGCTGTGACTCTTCAAGGATCAACTTCCTGTGCGCCCTGCTACCCATCACCAAAAGGAAGACCATTCTATTATTGTAGGATACATCTGGCTTTCTACTAGGTTCCAGTCTTCAATGCAACTGTCCAAGAAGCTATATGCCAAGTTTATTGGACTGTTTGCAGCACTTAACATAGATCAGTCCCATTACTTTTTGTGTGCAGCTTCCATCTACACTAAAAAAAATATACCTGGTCTTTTGCCATTCCTTCCTGGGTCAAAAGTGCCCCCTTTGCTCCTTGTGCACTTCAGCTCTATTCCTTCTCTGTAAAGGAAACTGACCTGGGAAAGGGAGGGAAGCAGTTGTATCAGTAACAAGGAGACCGACAATACCCACCCCAAAGATTTAGCAGGGGATAGTTCTGGATGTTGGAGAAATGATGACAAACATATTGAGAACTAGTTTGCCAGGATGTTCCCCAGGCAAGAGGAAGAAAGGGCATATAAATTTAATAAATAAATAAATAATAATAATAACTGCCCCTTAAGGTGGGGACATTTTGTCTGCTCCACATGATAAATAGATGGAAACAGAGGGAGGAAAACAATCCGATCTGACATGAGAAGAAGAGAGAAATAGTTAGCAACTGCAGATCCCAGGCAATAGAGAAAAGGGAAAACAGGGAAAATGTGTGGAAAAGGGAAATGATGTGAAGGTTGAAGTTGGCAGAGCCGAAAGCAAAGTGCAGGTGTTTTATACATCTAAGGCTGAGAAATGAATGGCAAGAAGTCCACTACTACATAGGTGTAGGGAAAAAGAGACATGATATTCAAGCACTGACTTTGTTATAACTATAATCTGATTTTTAGACCCTGCTGTTAATTGATCTTTGTTATTAAAACTATTCTGGTGTCTTCAATAAAAGCAATTTATCTATTCACACTTGTCCTTGATTATTTGTTAGAGCGCAGGTTTGAGTTCTCGGGAGATTTATTTCCGGATTATGGTGAAGCTCTGGCAGTGAGCTTTGATCTTGCTTAGTGATGCAAGGAAATAGAAGCAGGCAGCAAGATAGCAACTCCTGGTAGACAGAAGCACCTAGAAGTAGCCTGTGAATGGCCATTGAAGAGGAGTATAGTAGGGAAAGAGAAATGGTGCTGTCCAACCAAAGTAAACAGTGGAAAGAATGGTCATGTGAAATCCCTTGTTGGAAAAGCTGTGGAAAACTATATTGTGCCTTTGTGTTGACAAACCAGCAAAAAACAATTGGAAAAACCTAGTTCTGTTTCCTAGCTTAAATCTATCTTCTATGGAGCAGAAGGTAGAGTTAAGATCTTTCAACAGAGGTCTTCCAAAAGAGCACTAAACCAATATTTGAAAGCAAGTTAGCACTCTTTCAAAAGAACATTAAATCCATGTTTATAAAGACCCCGCATTTGGATCCGAGAAGCCCTTCAAAAAAGCACTGGTCACTATTTGAGCCTTTGCTTCTGCCGTCATTGTTTTTTCCTGCAGTCTGGGCAAAATGGCAATAGAGTGGTTCCCAACAAACAGAATAGCCTAGAGTGGCCAAAAGGAGCTGGGCAAATAGCGTCCCTTAACTATATCAGCAGCTTACACTTTCAATGAATCAGGATAGATTGCGTCCATGGCCAAAATTATTTTGGAAGAAGAGATAAATTTTACTTTAAAACTGGTGCAGCCAAAGGTGATGTTTAGTTGTCTCTGTTGTATGCCTGAGTTAACACGAAGAGAAGGTTGTAAGGATGTGGAATTAGAAAAAAATATGGGGCATGTTTATGCAATGGTTAGAGAGGATGAGAGGATGAGTGGCGAAGATCTTCTGAACTGTGGGATGGGAAACTGAAACAGTATTTACTCCATACAAGAACCTTCCTCTTCCCATCTTAAGGTGGTACCTATTTATCTTCTTAACACAAACAGCTGACTGTCCACAATTCTTTTGAATGTATAAAAGGCCTTGGGAAGCAAGAAAGGAAGTATGGAGTGGCAATGAATGAAACAGAAGAAGCTCAAAGAGCTGTTTTTTGACAGGTCCACTTGCTAACCATATCTAGCTGTTCCTTCTTTCCCTTGGACAGTGAAATGTGGGAGAGAAAGTAAAGATTTAATAAAAGCAACAACAATCACACTTTCCAGTCGCAAAAAGATTGAAATAGAGCAGACATGCCAAGAAACCAAAAAAAAGGGATTTTGTATGAACTCAAAGAGATTGGTTGTTCCCTCTTCCTTACAATTCTGATATTTTGGCATTATCTGGGCCTCAAAACACTTCCCATCAGGTCAAAGAAAGGGAAAAGATCTAACTCATTTATAAATGTATATCATATACTCATTTTTCTAGTGGAAGGTGTCTTCTCCCTATGGAAATATATTTATTTTCTTTGAGATTTCCTTATTTGTAGTGAAGTAATTTACATTGACCTTTTACAGGATAGAACCTTTTCGGATGATAGAAACAATCATCCACAGGTAAGGGTTTTCTTTTCATTAGTTTTGATGGGATGATCTCTTACAAATTCTGGGTTGGTAGAAATTGCCAACCATGTGATGTAAGAAATTTTTTATAGTTAGACAAAACCAGATAGCAATATTTAAAGTTTTTGAACTTGTAACTCAAAGCATGTTCTTTTCAATTTAGTAACATTTTAGCAGATATATCCAGGATTCACATCTATATAGTATTGTTATTTAGGCGTTATTTTTATACAGAGTTTTTAAAAATGAGATGTTGAAAATATACACAGTTTGGACTTAAAATATTCTGAATCCATGGATAAATACAGATGTATCATCCCAAAAGCAGTGAAAGAGATCTGGAAGTGCCCTTGTTGAATGCATTCAATGCACATAAATATATACTTCTCTATGACTGAACTCATTAAAAAAAACATGGAGCCTTATTTTTAAGAAGTTCTTCACAATCTTATACAATTCTACACTAAAAAGGTGATTTATGATCTCCTTATAGGATGGATCATTTATTGAAAATGCATATGAGGAGGTAAACTTATTTCTGGGTTTTAATCTTATACAGATAGTCCTTTCATTTAGCAACTGCTCAAAGTTACAATGGTGCTGAAAAAATGACTTACAATTGCTTCTCTCACAACTGTTACAGCATTCCTATAGTCATGTGATCAAAATGCTTGACAATCAGCGTGTATTTATGGCAGTTGGGGCATCCAAAGGTCGCGATCACCATATTTGTAGCCTTCCCAACTGGTTTCTAACAAGTCAATGGGGAACCTAGGTTTGCTTAGTGACTGCACAATTCACTTAACAACTGCAGTGATTTGCTTAATAATTGTAGCAAAAAAAGTTTGCAAAATAGGACATGACTCATTTAACAACCACTTTGCTTAGCAATGGATATTCTGGTCCCAAATGTGTCCTAAATCAAGGGCAACCTGTATAACATGAGAATGAACAGGAATGTTTTACACTTCTTTCAACAGATCAGCCAATTGTCTGTGGGCTCTCTCTGGATCCTTCAGGACAACCTTTTATTGTGATTTTTCCTATCTCATTCATAGAATTTATTGGGATCCTGTCTTTCCTATGTAATTCTACCATGTTTTCCCAACATTTCTTTATGGTTTTTAAGCAGAAAAAAACTCCCACAGTTGCATAAAGAAATAAAGAATATCTCCACAATGTCTTTTATTTGATATTGCCAAGACTGAACATCTCCCTTAAGAGTTTAATACAGAGAATTTCTCTCTCAAATAAATAAATAAACTATTGTTATTGTTAATAATAATAATGTTGGAAGGGACCTTGGAGGTCATCTAGTCCAACCCCCTGCTCAGGCAGGAAACCCTATACCATTTCAGACAAATGGTTGTCCAATCTCTTCTTTAAAACTTACACTGTTAGAGCAGTCACAACCTCTGGAGGCAAGTTGTTCCACTGATTAATTGTTCTGTCAGAAAATTTCTCCTCAGTTCTAAGTTGCTTCTCTCTTTGATGAGTTTCCATCCATTGCTTCTTGTCCTGCCTTCATGTGCTTTGGAGAATAGCTTGACGCCCTCTTCTTTGTGGCAGCCCCTGAGATATCATGTCACCCCTCGTCCTTCTCTTCATTCAACTAGACATACCCAATTTCAGCAACCGTTCCTTATAGGTTTTAGCCGCCAGTCTAGTTACTTGATAATGTATATTTGGAAAAAAAATGGAAGAGGTTTAATTCGGAGGCTACAGTTGATTTTGATGCTACCCTTCAATTTAGGGGAATTGTATGCAACAGATTTTGGTTACCGTTGTATTTACATTGTTTTATGTCATTTGTATAACAATGTCATTACCCAAATGACAAGATTGGTGCAAGTAATATAACTTGGATCGCTTACATAATAACGTTACTGCAAATGACATTCTTTCCAATTTAATAGACAATCAGAAATAATGGATACCCACTCCCTGCAATTAGTTCCTGAGAGAAGGTTTCATTTTATGTGGAAATTGAAGCATTCTGTTTAAATGTATTGACATTGGAATCAAGCTTCAAGCTTTCTTTAGCTATTATGGAAAAACTTTTACAGCTGCGCAAATGCTAATTCCTCACTAAAATTCTGATTAGTCCTATGCATTTTTCTTTTTTTTAGCACAATTGAAATATTTTGAAAGTATTACAGTATTTGGTTCCTCACTTTTCAGGGAATTAATATTTTTGCCAGCTCTTGAATTTGATTTGTTTTTCCTCGTGGGCTGTCTAACATTTTGAGAAAATTTTATCAATAAATAATACTTTTATCAATAAAGGTAGCAAAACATTTTTGTTTAATGGGGGGCTGCATTTTTTCACATTGGCATCGAGAGTTGCTGAGGAATGTAGTCACATTTCCAGAGAGCACAGGTCCAAAATGTTTGATTTACTCATTTCTGAGGGTGGGGTTGGATATTAAAAGCAAAAAATGTACATTGAATAAAGAGGTGAAAAGCATCTTTGCTAACTCTTATTTTAATAAAACCATGAAAGTCTGCAATTCTGCAAATGTATTCCTGAATGTTGACAATAGGATCTTAGAAAAAGATTCTGAAGTCCATAAAAATTAGATTGCAGAACCTTTGTACAAAATTTAATTGCTGAAGCAGCCTGCCAACTGCAGACTTCAAAGCACAATTTTAGGTCTGTTGTAGTTATTATTAGAGGTTTCCTGCTATAGAAGGAGTACTTTCTTGTGTTTTTCATAGTTTCCAATTCAGTCAAGCCAGCACTAGAGAAAAACAGTTGGTGGATTATTTCCCTCTGAATGTCTGTTTCTATCTATCTATCTATCTATCTATCTATCTATCTATCTATCTATCTATCTATCTATCTCATCTATTTCTAATAGTAATCCTACTATTATCTTTTATTTCCTATTAAATCCCTGCAGGATGAAATAACTTGTTCAACCTGGTTTAATTCCAGTCCCTAAAATGGTACTAGTTAGATTAGCATAAAACAGACATTAAGAACAGACATTTTATAATACAACATTACACAGTGTTTGACTTCTTATACCAAAGGTGAAACTAATCGTTTGCATTTTTACAGAGTCAATGTATATATCCTAGTGCACAGGTAATTATTTATTTTTCATGCCGCTCCTTACTGTCTCAATAGCACTGTCACAATTGACAACAAAATGCCTTATGTCATGTGTTCACTTTTGCCTACCAGATGTCACTTGTTTGCTTTTTTTTAAACAAATCCCTTTGCAAGCCAATGTACATACAAGCAAGCAAACAATAAATTTTGAATGAATATCTAATCTACTATATAATATACCTATAAAAATCAACTTGGTCAGAGGATGACTTGGGAGTGATCATGGAATCTTTCACAAGATATAATTTTATACTAATTTTGCTTGCAAGAGACAATTAATATATATTTTTGTTTTTACTATTCTCAAAAGTTTTCATTACCCAGTTGTAAATCTGAGAAGGTGGACCTGGATCCTTTAATAATCTCTCATCTGAACTATTTCTGACAAGTGACAGCACTAGCAGAACCTAAACAGTCACCCAAATCCATTTTGAGGGGTGATCTCAAATCTTGGAAATGACCCAGTTTCATCCATGTTACTTTAGGAATTGTCCAACTTGACATGGCACTGTAAATCTCTCCAAAGTGAGATTTACAAAACTGAACTTCCATTTTCTCATAATTTATCATGAGAAAAAAAGTGATGGCTGTATTGTTTTTAAAGTAGATTTTTTTTAAAAAAAAATATAAAACTAGAAAAAGTTTTTAAAGTATTAAATTTTCTAAGAAAGAATAGAGCAAACCAAATATCACATTGTATAGAAATTTGGGCGGCATATAAATTTAATAAATACATAAATACAATTCCCTGTTTACAACCCTGTAGTCCATATTTGGGCTGGAATCAGGGCGATTGGATGAGGCTGAGTATTTATTGGCCAGATGCCCTTCCTAATGCCCATGTAGAGTGCACAGCAGATATTTTTTCTTTGTTTCCTGAAAGAGAAACATCTACTTCCACCTAGGGTTGAACTTCCAACCTTCTGAATGGGAGGCGAGGGTCTTTACAACTAGGCCACGACATCACTCTAAATAAATAAATAAATAAAATGCTCCTTTTGATTTGCTTGCAATTTTCTTGGGACAGAATATTAAGGAATCAAATAACCGCTACACAGTGAGGAGAATCTGCACCTAACTGCTGGCAGATAGAAGTCACCATAGGTTGGTAGCACCTTAATAACCTTAAAAAGCTGAACAGGATTGAACCTTGTTAGTACTAGGATGGGAGAAAGCAGTCCCCAGGGCTGAGAACTAGACTAGGAAGATTTAAAAAAATAAAAAATAAAGACTTTTGAATGGTTGTTAAGAAAACAACATAATTATCCACATGTAGCCCATCTTGTTTATTTTTACTTAGGTTGAGGAAGCCTTGTGAAAAAGAAAGAAAAACTTGATGTTCCTTTTGAATGAAAGGAGAACTGCTAGCATAAGATAAAAGAAATTGCTCCCAATAGATATGGGAATAATTGGCAAATAATGTTTTATGGGCAGCTTGATGTAAACAGCATGTTTCAGTTCAGTCTCAAGCTGATTAAATCACAGAGGCCCAAGTCTGCTTGCCAACACAGTCTTGCAAATCACTAATATATCACTAATAGATTTGGATAAAACTAATCTGATAATAATGCTGTATAGCAGGTTTTACAAAATATTTATTTATTTATTAAACTTACACGCTGCCCATCTCACCAAAGGCGAATCTAAGTGGCTAACAGACGTTGATTAAAATACGTTCGAAAACTTTAAAACAATAAATAAAGATCTTAAATTTAAAATGCTATTAAAACAAAATATTGATACCCAAATTCTGCTTCTTTGTAGAACCTATCTACATATCCAATAATTAAATCGGAGCTTGGTTAAAAATTTGTATGTATATTTGTAGTGAAGTTAGGGTGACTTTTTATTGTGAATATATCTGAATTAGTCAAGTATACCTTCCAAATGGATAGAGGTTAATGTACTACAAGATTCCCATTTCCCCCCTCTTTTTTTTCGTTTACACCAAAGTAGCACTCTTTTGGCAATAAAAGAAAGGAAAGGAGACAGATGATTAATTAAGGAGCAATTAATCACTGAACTTTCTAGCTCTACTGAACAGGAAGTAATGAAACTAGATTTTTCTTTACTAAATAGAAACTACCAGTACTAATGACACCCTATAGAAAGCAATTGTGGGTTGTTGCTTTTATTCAGTGCTGTGGGAAACCTTTGTTTGAAACCCTTTCCTACTATTGCTTTAAAATCTATGGTTCAGAAGAATTCAAGTTGTGTGCAAACAAAATTAGTATATGTGAGGTATATGTATATAGAATGATTTGAGACTTGGAGAAGCAAATAAAACCTACTAAGAGAGTAAGCATATATTATACGTTAATGTTCTATAGATTGTATAGAAAGAGCTCCATATCACCTCTGTTCCTAGGTTTTTTAAAAACCATAGTGAAAATAGTTTAAAATAAGAGATTCTTATGGAATGCTAAGATCTAAAACGTTTTAAGGCGGCGTATTATTTTAACATCTTTTTGAAGGAATTATTATTTTCTTCAGGATGAACAAGTTGGATCACATGGAGGCAGCAGTCAATCTGAACAGGTAAAATATTACATACAGCTAGTCCTCAATTTATGACCATAACTTGAACTAAGAATCATGGTAGTAAGTCATTGCGATTGTTTAAGTCTGTCACCAAATGACTGGACCGGATTTTTGCATTGATTGTTAGCAAACATGGTCATTAAGTAAATACAGTGGTTGTTAAGCAAATCCATTTTACCCAATGGGATTTTTTTGACTAGGAAACTGAAAAAAAACCAAACCAGAAATCAGTAACAAACACTGAAAATTGTGGTCATGTGACCAGCGGACACTGCAAATGTCCATAAAGGTGAGCTGATTGCCAACCTCCCAAAATGTAATCATCTGACCATAGAGGTGTATGTTAATCGTAACTTTAACATTGGGCCATAAATAGTTTTGTGGGGGTCTGTCATAACTTCAAATGGTTGTTAAGTGACTGGTCATAAGCCAAAGACTACCTGTAGTGCATTCCCAATATGTATCATAGCAGTATATGTTTAATGCAAGTAATAATGATGACAAATGCTATCTGTTCAGCTGTGTCCAATTCTTGACAATTCTATGAACCATCTCACTCCACATTTTCTGCTCTTGTAGAGCTTCTTTTGGTTGATTTATGCTTTGGCTGGTGTTGGCTTTGATGTTGTTTAGCCAGTGTGGTTTTTTTTGGAGGCGTCATTTCCTTTTACCACTAAACCTTCCAAGTATAACTGCTGCCATCTTTCCTTTTTTCTTTTAATTCCCTATGAATGCCCCTAGTTGTGCTTATTTTCTCTTTATTGAAAAGAAAAAGTAGTGCAGAGAGTAGTTTGCCATTAATACATTACAGCAAGTAAAGATCATTTTCTCCCCAGGATTGTTTCTATGGCAGCAAGCAATTAATATGGATAGTATGAACTACTTCATAATGCAGATCTCTCCAACTTGGGTCTCTTCTGTCAAGATGTACTGTATTGATAGCGAAGGGGAGAAAAAAAAAACAATTTTTAATTCCATTAAAAAATCACAAAGTCCCAAGTTGGAAGAGGCTCATGGTAATCCCTCCAGATATATCTATTAAGGTAAAGAGTTATAGCTTTAATTTGTCAAGATTCTGTCCATTAGATGTAAGCAAATAAGGAATTGGACTCAATTGGATTTTGCTGTGTCTTTTTTGGGCTTGAGCCTGACACTATGTGATATATACCATGATAATATAGAGATGTCAAAAATAAGATTAAAATAATGTCACTTCTTTTGTAGCCTCCAGAAATTTTCTCTTCCTTTTGTAGGCTCCAGAATTTTTTTTTCTTTCTGTAATCTATTACAAAAGGGCTCAGGGTACCTATCTGTCTTAAACTTACATGCTTTGTCATATTGCTAGCCGATCGGTTTTTGAAGGGTAACAATCTTGACAACCATTAGGTGGCAGCAAAGAGATATAGAACTCTGCTTCCGTCTAGTGCACAGGTCGGCAACCTGCGGCTCTAGAGCCGCATGCGGCTCTTTGAGCCTTCCCCTGTGGCTCCCAGCCTCCTCTGCCATTTGCAGAAAGAGACAGAGACAGAGAGAGGCAATTATGCTTCCCTGCTTCTCTCTCTGTCTCTGTGTGTGTGTGTGTGTGTGTTTGTTTGTTTGTTGTGTGTGTGTGTGTGTGTGTGTGTGTGTGTGTGTGTGTAAAAGAGAGTGCACTCACAGTGTTCTCCAAGGAGCTGAAAAGCTTATTGGGCAGAACTCCTCCCTTTGCTGCATCTCTGCAGGAAGCAGGAAGCAGGAAGGGCAGGAGAGAGCTAGCTAGCCCAGCTATGCTGACTCAGGAATTCTGGGAGTTGAAGTCCATGATCATAAAAGAGCCGAGGTTGCCTGCTCTGAGCTTGTTAGAGACCAGCTTGAAGCCAGCTTGCCAGGTGAGCAGCAGATAGGAGAGAGGGAGAGAGGGGGGGAGAGAAAGAGAGAGAGAGGGAGGGGGAGAGAGAGAGAGAGAGAAAAGAGAGAGCGAGAGAAAGAAAGAGAGTGGGGGAAGAGGACTGACAGACCAAGGGCAGATAGAGAGAGAGGGAGGGAGAGAGAGAGAGACCCTTTTGACATCTAAAATGAAGATAACACTGCATATATCCTTTTTTACCTGTGTGTGTATGTATGTGTGTGTGTGTGTGTGTGTATGTATATATGTATACACACACACACACACACACACATACATACACACACACACACACCCTATAATAAAGGTAAAAAAGGATATATGCAGTGTTATCTTCATTTTAGATATCAAAAGGGTTTTGCGGCTCCCGGTGTTTTGTTTTCAGTGGGAAACGGGTCCAAGTAGGTCTTTGAGTGTTTTGGGTTGCCTACCCCTGGTCTAGTGGATCTATGGGTTTATTTAGTCAAGATACAGTAGCCCTAATAAAGGCAAAGTTTATAACCTGCAGGCCTAATTTCCTTCATTTCAGTATATATGATAAGGTGTCCTTAAAAACCAACATTTTTCTATTGCTCAATATATCCTACAGATTTTATTTTTTATTTATAATTTAAATAAAAATACACAACTCCATTCTAAGGTTCCTCCTGGTCTAAAAAAGCTGACACAGGGAAAATCTATAAAAATCTGTTACATGAATATCATATTTCAGCAATTAGATATTTTAAAATAATAACTGGATTTGCTTCCACAGGATGGATATAGTGGATCATATGGTGGCAACCAGTATGGACAGGTAAAAACATAACTCATATCCTCTATGGCAGGGGTAGGCAACCCAAAACACTCAAAGAGCCACTTCGACCCGTTTCCCACTGAAAACAAAACACCGGGAGCCGCAAAACCCTTTTGATATCTAAAATGAAGATAACACTGCATATATCCTTTTTTACCTTTATTATAGGGTGTGTGTGTGTGTGTGTGTGTGCGTGTATACATACACACACACACACACATACACACACAGGTAAAAAAGGATATATGCAGTGTTATCTTCATTTTAGATGTCAAAAGGGTCTCTCTCTCTCCCTCCCTCTCTCTCTATCTGCCCTTGGTCTGTCAGTCCTCTTCCCCCACTCTCTTTCTTTCTCTCACTCTCTCTTTCCTCTCTCTCTCTCTCCCCTCCCTCTCTCTCTCTCTTTCTCTCCCCCCCTCTCCCTCTCTCCTATCTGCTGCTCACCTGGCAAGCTGGCTTCAAGCTGGTCTCTAACAAGCTCAGGGCAGGCAACCTCGGCTCTTTTATGATCATGGACTTCAACTCCCAGAATTCCTGAGTCAGCATAGCTGGGCTAGCTAGCTCTCTCCTGCCCTTCCTGCTTCCTGCTTCCTGCAGAGATGCAGCAAAGGGAGGAGTTCTGCCCAATAAGCTTTTCAGCTCCTTGGAGAACACTGTGAGTGCACTCTCTTTTACACACACACACACACACACACAACAAACAAACAAACAAACACACACACACACACACACAGAGAGAGAGACAGAGAGAGAAGCAGGGAAGCATAATTGCCTCTCTCTGTCTCTGTCTCTTTCTGCAAATGGCAGAGGAGGCTGGGAGCCACAGGGGAAGGCTCAAAGAGCCGCATGCGGCTCTGGAGCCGCAGGTTGCCGACCTGTGCTCTATGGTAATAGATAATATAAATAAAATAAGTGTTAGGCTTATTCAGTCCTTCAGTTCAGCTACATAAATAAAAGATTTTCTTCAAGGTTTTTATTTTGTCTGTCATATGTCTTTCCCAGGTGAATAACAATTGAATGGATAAATACAAAAATATTTATAACAAATTAGCAACTAAGTAAAATAAACTCCCTAAACCACTTTAAGTCGTAATATGTTCGTTCAGTGAAGACTATAGGATTCTACTACTTTGTAGCATTCTGCTGCCAGCTTTATCCCGTTTGAAAATAGAGGTTTGTTACAACTCTCCTTTCGGAAACCAAAGTGGTCCTGAAACATTTGATCAAAAGGATTAAAGAAATACTTTAGAAATCAGAAGAGAAATTTGGCCTCTTCTGAACATCGAAAAGACCGAGCTCATAACTACTGAGAGGAAATGAAATGTCAAAATAACAAGTGATGGTAAAGAGATCAAATGTGCATAAGAATCTGCTTTCCTAGAATTGCAGATTGATCAATGCAGTCCAGAAATAAAGTGTTGAATTGCAGTGGGTCTCACAGCAATGATGAGCAGGAATAGAATATGAAAAAGAAAGGACGCCAGTCTGGCAAATAAATGCAAATTAGTCCACACTGTTGTTTCCCATAATTATGTACAGTAGCTAATGTTGGACTGTGAAAAAACTAGACTAGAGGGAAATTGATCACTCTCAGTTCAATTCACATCATAGGACTTTGTTGTGGGGAAAATAGGAGGAAGGAGTATTAAATATATTTGCCGCCTTTTTTGTGCTGTGGTGTTGGAGAAGGCCCCTGCATATTCCTTGGACAGCAAAAGTAACAAACAAGAAGGTAGAGAAAGACAATTTAGTCTAGTTAAGGCATCAGGCTAGAAATCAGGAGACGGTGAGTTCTAGTCCTGCCTTAGTCATGAAAGCCAGCGAGGTATCTTTGGGCCAGTCACTCTCTCTCAGTTCAACTCACCTCATAGGACTGTTGCTGTGGGGAAAATAGAAGGAAGGAGTATTAGGTATATTCACTGCCTTGAGTTATTGATAAAAAATACTTTTTAAAAAGGGGAGGATATAAATAAATAAAGGAGTCAGTGAATACTGGAGTGTACAAAATCAGACACACCACTAGAAGTCAAAATCATAAAATTCCACTTTGCTTATTTCGGCCATGTCATGCAATAAAACGTACTGGAAAAGGCAGTTGTGCTTTGAGTGGTAGAGGATAAAAGGAAATGAGACTTCCAAAATCAGTTTCAAAATGGACCGTGTGTGAATAGTGGCCAGACACCATCAAAGCTGAGACCAACCAGAGCATAAAACCAGTGAAAGAAGCCCTACAAGAATAGAAAATGTGGAGAGAGGTGAGCCATAGAATTGCCAAGAATCAGATGCAATTGTCGTCGTCATCATCATCATCATCACAATTAGACTAGATAGCACAGTTCAGACATAGTTAGAAACCAAATGGGCAGGTCAAGGAAACATTTAAAAACCTATGTAAAAAAATCTTTTAAAACAGCTTAAGCATATCAAACATAATATATAGTAAAAAAAAAATAAGCTCAACCCTTTTTTCTGATCCTAAGTATAGAAAATGTTTTAATGCAGATATAGTAAGGACGTGATGAATTTCAACAATAATGATTGATTATTGTTTTCTGTTCAGAGTGGACAATCTGGGGGCAACAACCAGTTTGGACGGGTAAAACTCATATGTTTATTTCTGCTCTGAAATATATTGTATCTGCTTCAAAACATATACACCCAAATATCTATCTATTGTATAGCATCAAAATATATTAAGAAATCTTGACATACATATAAATAGTAATAGTAATAGAACTTAGACTTATATACCGCTTCCCAATGTTTTTCAGCATTCTCTAAGTGGTTTACAAAGTCAGCATACAGTATTGCCCCCAACAATCTGGATCCTCATTTTACCGATCTCGGAAGGATGGAAACCTGAGTCAACCTTGGTCCCCGTGAGGACCAAACTCCAGGCTGTGGACAGAATTAGCCTGCAATACTGCATTCTAATCACCACGCCATCAGTGGTTATTATTGTTTTTTAGAGTAGATATTGTAATAATTATCCATATAGACAGGTGTACGATCTAGAAAATATACCGTATCTGTTTATGGATGACTTCCTCCACAGATAAATCAACCCTTGATTTTTAATCAAAATACCAGATACTTCTAAAAAAGTATTGCAGTACAGGTAGTCCTCGGCTTACAATCATTCGTTTAGTCCAGGGGTAGGCAACCTTGGTTCTTTTATGACTCGTGGACTTCAAAAGAATCAAGGTTGCCTAAGCCTGGGTCACTATTCAAAGTTACAGCAGCACTGAAAAATGACTTATGACTGTTTCTAGTTTACGTCCCCATGGCCGCATAATTCGAATTCAGATGCTTGGCAACAGGCATGTATATATGACGGTATGCAATTATCTTTTGTGACCTTCTGACAAGCAAAGTCAATCGGGAAGCCAGATTCAGTTAATAACCATGTTACTAATCTAACAACTGCAGTGATTCACTTAACAACTGTGGCAAGAAGGATTGTAAAATATAGGAAATATTCACTTAACAACTGTTTCGCTTAGCAACAAAAACTTTGGGCTCTCTTCTGCTCACAAGTCAAGGATTACCTATACAGACTGATGAATAAGTCCATTTGTGGATAAGATAAACCCAGTTTGGGAGGTGTATTCTGCAGCTAAAATTCTTAGTTTATCCGTGAGTATATATGGCAGTGGTGGCGAACCTATGGCATGGGTGCCAGAGGTGGCACTCAGAGCCCTCTCTGTGGGCACACGTGCCGTCGCCCCAGTCCTAGGCCTTCAGCTGGGTTTTATAAAACCTTTTCACTTTAGGCCTCCGCTGCCATGTCCCCCCCCAAAAAAAAGGTTCAATCAATCAGTCAATTTCAACTTCTCGTGGGAAAAAAAAGATCTTGCAAAGTTGGCATTAATTGATTGAACTTTTTAGTCCCACCCAGTCTGCCGTTACCACCACAGCCACGTCTACCCAATGAGCCATGCCCACCCAATTGGCCACACCCACCCAATGAGCCACACCCACCCGGCACCTGACAATGCATAAGTGGGTTTTGGGTTGCAGTTTGGGCACTCAGTCTCTAAAAGGTTTGCCATCACTGATATATAGTATGCGTTGTTCAGAAATATAGAAAATAGCTTTCTACTTTCTCCTCATTTAATGAGAAGACATTTCTGTATAGAATGGAGTGTTTAAAAATAAAACAATAGCAGCCAACTGGAGCCAAGTAAAAACTGTTTATAATGTAGCTGTAAAATTATTATGGTTATAAACAGTATACTGGTAATCCTCACCTAATTACTGGTTGCTTAGTGACCATTCAAAATTACGATGGACATCCAAAAATGTACTTAGGGCCTGATTTCCAATGGCTGCAACCTCCCCCCACAGCCATGTGACTACATGTTGGTTGCTTAGCAAACAGCTTGCATTTATGACTGTTTGCAATGTCCTGTGGTCACATGACCATGATTTTCTGTGTGTTTTGCAGTTTCTGCCATTTACTTCTGGTTTCTAGAAAAACACACCCATTGGTATAATGCAGGGGTCTTCAAACCTGGCCCTTTTATGACTTGTGCACTTCAACTCCCAGAATTCCTCAGCCAGCCTGGCTGAGGAATTCTGGGAGTTGAAGTCCACAAGTCATAAAACGGCCAAGTTTGAAGACCCCTGGTATAATGGATTCATTTAACAACCACTTCATTCATTTAACAATGAGCTCAATTATAGTCATAAGTCAAGGACGACCTATACCTGAGATGTAGAAAATTAAATAAAATATTATTTCTGCTTCTGAATGTAGCATGTATTGTTTTGTTTTATTAACATTATTATTTCTAATGAATTAGTATTTTCTTACAGGGTGGATCATATGGTGGCAGCAGCAGCCAGGTAAAAATACCTGCATAATGTAGTGTATGTGGATAATATTTGCTATGGTTATTTATCATCCATTGGTAAAAATGAAAAAAAAATCTGTAGATAATAATAGCAAATGTTATGTAATATACAGGAGCAGAATTAAGTTATTCATTCATTTTAATTCATTTTTTAAAATGTATGATAAATAACCATAGCAATTATATACTTAACTGATAGATAAGTGTTAATTTATCATATGGAAAAAAATAAACATTTTCAGCTTATTTCTACTATGGATTATAGGGAAGAGCTATATGCTTAATTAAGATAATTATTTTGTAATCAATATTTTTACAAAGAGTATCATTAAGTGCTGGGGCAACTATTATGACAGCTACAAACTATTCTATAATATAGTATATGCATATAATGTTTGCCAGGATCATCCATATGGAGCACAAAATAAAATACGTTTTTCAACTTACTTCTGGTCCTGAATATAGAAAAATAATATATTGTGCTGTATTAAGGTGATTACAGATAGTCCTCAAGGTATGAATCTAATGAACTCTGCCTATTAGGGTCATAAAATGAACTGGATTCATTTTTGTGACATTAAGTGAATCAACTGGGTCATTAAATGAACAAAGACTGGCCTTGCTGTTTGCTTCAGTTCATTAAACAACCTCTGCCATTGTTCAATGAACCAAGAAGCTTGAGTATTTGCAGGACTCCCGGCTAGAGCCTTGGAGGGAACATCAGCTATTCTGGCAAGGTGGGAACCGCAGTGCCTGCAGGCAGGTGACCAGACTTAAATTGAGGTGGAAAGGTAAATTCTGTGTGGAGCCTCTAGAGCTGGGATGCCCAACCTGTGGGCTACAGCCCACTATAAGGCTGTGGCCTATTGGCCACTGGGCCGCATGAGTGGCTGGCTGGTGTGCACATGTGCGCATGCCCACACACACCCCCACTAGCATCAGCCCCACTTGTGTGAGCGTCGCAGGCATTTAGGGCCCCAGTTGCGCGAGTGTTCATGGCCTCACTTGCACGAGCAATGGGTAACTGTGCACACGCACGGGTGCACATGCGTTTACCCACCCCATAAAACCATCCTTTCTTTCCCCCTTCTCCCGCTCTGGGCAGCCAACCCCCAAAAGTTGGGGAACTCTGCTCTAGAGGGAACATCTACCACTCGCTCATCCCCTGTTCTATAAACAATCTACAGCAGTACTCACTAATCCTCTTAAGCAAAAGCAAACAAACCCAGTACAGCAGAATGCAAAGGACCTTTCTGCAAACAACCTCAAAATGCCTGCAAAAAAGCAGTACAGTAGAATGCAAAGGTACTTTACAGTACTAAATCTGTTTTTCTGAGACACTGGCTAGTAGTTCTGCCAGCAATCTCAAGGCAATATTAAAAAAAAAATCTAAATACAGGTAGTCCTAGACTTATCACATTTTGTTTAGTGACCATTCAAAGTTACAACAGCACTGAAAAAAAGGACTCGTGATCGTTTTTCACAGTTACGACATTTCCAGCATCCCCATGATCATGTGATCAAAATTCTGATGCTTGGCAACTGGCCTGTATTTATGACTGTTGCTGTGTTCCAGGGTCATGTGATCACCTTTTGTGACCTTCTGATCAGCAAAGTGAATGGGGAAGCCAGATTCACTTAACAACTGGATTGCTAACTTACCAATTGCAGTGATTCATTTAACAACTGAGGTAAAAAAGGTCATAAAATGGGGCAAAATTCACTTATCAAATGTCTCATTTAACAACAGAAATTTGGGGCTCAATTGTGGTCATAAGTCAAGGACTACCTATAGTGAAAAAATCTTCATAAAGTTCTTACAAACAAGCACAATAGTATGCAAAGTACTTACAAGTAAGTATAGTACTATAATGAAAAAGAAAGTTGTAAGGTACTTACAAAGGCAGCTGCAATACTCTAGTCCAGGGATCCCCAACCCCTGGTCCATGGACCAGTACCGGGCCGCAGCATGCCAGCAACTGGTCCACACAAACAAGCAGAGCCCCATCCGCAAGATGCAGGCAGCACACAAAACCACACACCCTTTGGTCTGTGGAAAAACCTTTCTCCGCGGAATTGGTCCCTGGTGCCCAAAAGGTTGGGGACCTCTGCTCTAGTCCCCAAGACAACGGGAACAAAAGAAGCAACAGGAGCAGCAACAAGAGATTCACTCCTCTAGTCCTTCATTGGCAGCAATGAGGAGGGGGAAAAAAGCATATGCTTTTTGTTGGTCAAGTGGGGGGGGGGGGAAACGCATCAACCATATGGACCTTGGAAATTGTCTGTACAGATTGACAAAGGGCAACCACAGCCACTTGGTTGTGGCCACTGCTTCAGGATGGCCATTGCTTCATCATTGACTGAATCCAGGTCACATGATTGCAGAGGCCTCTTGTTGGTTACAATTTTAAACCCCTATTGTAAGTACACTTCTGGGGTGCATTCATGACTTCAAACAGTCATTAAATGGCCCTTTGTACCACAAGGGCTACGTGCATTTTGTAAATAGGTATTTCTTTACAAGGAGAATCATATGGTAGTCATGACAGTGGCTGCCAAAGTAGCATCCATATGAAAACTCTGCCAGTGTGTGTATACTATAATATTTATGATATACTTACCATGTATAAAATAAAATACAATAAAGGACATGGCTCATTTTTGCTCCTGAATATAGGCAGCAGTTTTGTACTTTGTTAAGGTGATAATGTTATAATTAATAAACATTTTCTTAAAGGGAGGGTCATATGGCGGCAGCAGCAGCAGCAGTAGCAGTAGCAGCAGCTCTTCTGGAAGCCAGGTAAAAACAACTTTATTCGTTTTTAATGATAAATATAGCTATAAATACATGCTAAATGTGTTTACACGCACACACGCACATACATACATACATACATATGTAAATAGTCCTTACTTCCTGATCATAATTGGGACTGGCAACTCTGTTGCGGAATACCACACATGCCAGGCAAAATATCATATGGTGATATAGCATGAAATATCGTGATGGATTAATGACCTGCTTCCCTTATTACATGAATCACAAGGTGGCTAAATGGATTGTGACCTGCAATTTCACAATTTCTTCATTACTTCTGTTTGTTGGAAGCTGGTTCCGAAGCTTGGACTCTGCCATAGTTGTAAATGTGCATGGGTTGCAAAGTGCCTAAATGGCAATACCATTATCATGGGGCACTATGATGGCTGTAAAATGGAAGGATTGGTCACAATGCTCATTTTTCCAATGGTCATAACCATTGCTAACAGTCGCTAAACAAGGCTGTCGGTAAGCGAAGACTACATGTGTGTGTGTATATGTATGTGCATATATTATATGTAGTATATTTATTACATATTTTACTATAATATAGTATACAGTAAAATGTTATATATTGTATATAATATAATAAATATACTATTAAATATACATTTATGAATGTATATTTAGCTTACACAAAATAAGATTTGGAGGATTTCTTTCTGCTTCTAAATATAGAAAGGAACATTGTGCTTTATGAAAATGATTGTAATAAAGATGGAATACAAATAAATACATAAAAAATAACTAATAAGTATTTTCTAAAGAGAAAGAATCATATGATGATGGCAGCAGCCAAGAGAAGAACTATGTAAAAATATTATTTGATACAGTTTATGTATATAATATTTGTCACGATAATTTGTAATAACATAAAATCAAATGTTTTTGTTCACCTTATCTTTCCTCCTAAAGATGGAAAGTAGCTTTGCATTTTATTAAGTAATTATTTTGTAATTAATAAGTATTTTCTTACAGGGAGGACCATATGATGTCAACCAATATAGCAACCAGATAAAAATTATATTATAATTAGGACATATTATAATATTTGCCATATTTATTTATATTGCACATCCTATATATTTTAGAATATATTTGTATTCCAAATGTAATGTATATCCAAATACAGTTCTGAATGTAAATGAAGATTTTTGACCCCTGAATATATAAGGTAGTTTTGAGCTTCTTTAATTGAATTATATTTTAATAAGCATTTTCTTACAGGGAGGATCATATAGCAACAGTAGCAGCAGCAGTATCAGCTATTCTGGCAGCCAGGTAAAAAAAAAATATTTTATACTGTAGTATTTTTATAGTGATACAGATAGAGGTATAGGATATTTGTGATGGGTTTTTTTATTGCTCTATACATAGAGATAAACATATAAAATATTTGCCATGGATATCTATACTATATATAATCTATAAAAACAAATTTGTTTGTCTTATTTCTGCTTCTGAATATAGCAAAGAGCTTCGTGCTTTATTAAGGTGATTATTTTATAATTCGAAAGAATTTCCTTGTAGGGAGGATCATATGGAAATGGCAGCAATCAACATGGCAGCAGAGAAAAACTTATAACATCGCATCTATATGTGTATATATAAGCATGTGTGAATGTGTGTGCGTATGTGTGTAGGCAATCATCACAAGCAAAGTTATAAACATAAATAATTACTTTTTTTGTCCTCAGAACATCTTTCAGGTTTGTCCTTCCCCCCCCCCCAAGAAAATAGGATTATTGTAATATGAACATAGGGTAAATAAAATAAAATATATATTGCTTACTTTACTTCTACTCCTGAATGGAAGAGAGCAGTGTTATGCTTATTAAAATGATAATTTTATAATTAATAAGAATTTTCTTTCAGGGAGCATTATATAGCAGCAGCAGTAGTAGTAGCAGCAGCAGCAGCAATTATGGCAACCAGGTAAAAATTACTTTATAACATTGTTTGTTTATAATGATATAAATATACCGTATTTTCTGGCGTATAAGACGACTCGGCGTATAAGACGACCCCCGACTTCGGAGACAATTTGCATGCTTTAGAAAGTCGTCTTATACGCCGGAAAATATGGTAGATATAAACATGCATATGTAGATAATATACTATATTTTTTAATGTTTTGTCTAAAAATACAGATATAAGTATCTACAATGTTTGCCATGGAGATTATTTCTGTTCCTAAATACAGTGTACTGTAGTAAACAGCGCTTTATTCAGGTAATTATTTTATAATTAGGAAATAATGATGGCAACAGCCAATACAACAACGAGGTAAAAACTTTTTTTTGCAGTGTTTCTACCTGCACACTTGTCTACAAGTCTATATAATATTTGCCAGTGGTTCTCTGGATTACAATTTAGGACACTGAAAATAAAATAACATTACAAAGTTCATCTTATTTCTATTTCTGAGTAAAGAAAGTATCTTTGTGGTTTATTAAGATAAATATTTTATAATTAATCAGTATGTTCTATACAGGGAGCATCATATGGTGACGATAGCAACCAATATGGAGACCAGGCAATTTATTATTATTTATAGTTCACATGTAGCATTTAATAGAGATATTACATGCATATACATAGAGAAGAAAATTTCAAAAAATGTTCTGCTTAGTTTTGCTACTAGATACGAGGGCAATTCGGAAATAAACCTCAGTTTGGTTATCAGTGACAGACACTGGCAGATACAGAACTTTTATTATACACATTAGAAACTACAACATTACATTACTTTTCGACATAATCACCATTCAAATTGAGGCATTTGTCATAACGTCTTACAAGTTTTGAAATTCCTTAGTAGTAGTCACTCGGCGTCAAACCTGGGCTGTAGGGAGGGTGATCAAAAACATCCCAACAGAACTGCTTCAAAAGTGCTTGGGTGCATCTAGCGGTGTGTGGGTGAGCATTTTCGTGAACCAACACCACACTGGAAGTGGTGCCATAGAAAATCCTACCAAGTGTGAAGATGCCAAAGGAATACTGCTAGTGAAGTTCATGGAGTATGGTTTGACCATCAATTCAGAAGTCTACTGTGAAATGTTATGAAAACTCAGAGGAGCCATCCATAACAAGCGTCGGAGCCTGCTGACTTCCGGCATGGTGTTGGTTCATGATAATGCTCGGCTGCACACTGCTAGACACACCCAAGAACTTTTGAAGCAGTTCGGTTGGGATGTTTTTGATAACCTCCCTCCTGTAGCCCAGATTTGGCGCTGAGTGACTACTACTAATGAATTTCAAATCTTGTAAGACATTATGACAAGTGCCTCAATTTGAATGGCGATTATGTCAAAAAGTAATGTAATGTTGTAGTTTTCTAATGTGTATAATAAAAGTTCTGTATCTGCCAGTGTCTGTCATTGATAACCAAAACCAAATGGAGATTTATTTCCGAATTGCCCTTGTACAAAGTACAGATTACACTGAAATCTTAATTGGGGAAAGATAAGCAGTGAAACTTCATTAATTAAAAATATATTCTGAATTTGTGATATCAAAGTGATGAGAAATGGCTATTCTATTTGAAATTTGACCTTGTCTTATTGGCCTTGTTGATTCATTGTTGAAATAGAGCTACTTTTTAAAGGCATATTGTCATGTCCCAATTATTATCCACTTTAATGTTTCTCGTTTTGAAGGATTAAACCGGATGAATTACTGATGGAGCAAATCATTTTCTACTTGACACCTTTGTGCTGTCCTTCCCTGGGTGTGTTCCAGTGGGGGGCTAGACAACCATTTCTCTGGGATACTTTAGTGACAAAATAATCCTTTTAATCCTAGAATTATGTGAAATAAAATGGGAGATTAAATATGGCACTTCACACTGGCAAAAGCCTCATCTAGACTGATATCTAAAATCCATAGTTTTGTTTCTTACGTTTACCACATTTAATGGACACAACAGTAGGAGTTTTTACTGTTTCTACTCCTGTTCATGTAGATCAGTGGTTCTCAAACTTTTTAATGCCGTGACCCCATAATACAGTTCCCCATGTTGTGGTGACCCCCAAGTGGGTGTGGCCACCAATAAGAGGGAGTAGGACAGCTAGGGAAAAGGGAAAAAAATGGCGGACAGCATGGTTTGGTAACCCCCGTGAAATGGTCATTCGACCCCAAATGGGGTCCCGACCCACAGGTTGAGAACCACTGATGTAGATCTTTCTTTACGTGGATGAAGCACGTGGTCACATGGCCCAACCTCTCTGCCACCCAGAGATTGGTATACACCCATACATGCATTACCCCCAAAAGTTGTTGCCTGCACTTGTGACTGCTGTCACCACTATATGATCTTCCTCATTCAGGATATACTTATTAAAAATGAAGATGGCAGGCACAACTGGTTCAAAAGAACTGGGCTTCATCCATGCTATTCATATTTTTTACTATTTGCTACCGTCTTAGGGCATCCCTACTCTCAGCAAAACTTTTCTCAATAGAGGTCTTAATAGAGGTCTTAATAGAGATTTTGCCCTCCCCTCTTCCTGGTAAACATAGTCCATTCACCCAGCAGATCAAGACATCTGTTTCCACGCTAATGTATTAGACAAGCCATATGAGACTTCCACAATGAACTATAATTTGTAATAACTGTTTTTATAATAACTGTTTCTGTAACAGGGTGGATCTTACAATAGCAGCAGCCAATAGGGACAGGTAAAATTAGCTTATAGGAAATAGGGATTTTAAGTAGTATACTACCTTTTTATTTTATTCTTTTTCTTATTCTCATCCTTCTTCTTTCTCTTTTTAGTCTTATTTATTCCTTAATAAAGGTAAAGGTATTGTGTTGGTTTACATGAGAAACAATAGATTTAAATATTTAAATGTAATTAACTCTTGAGAAAATCTTAACCAGTAAAAATGTTTAGAACATTGTGGGAAAAACAAATGTAAACAAGAACTGTAAACAGGATAGATGATGAGACAACCAGAATGACTAGATAGAAAAGGAATACTATATTGATGTGATTATTATTTGTAGAAATATTAGAAAACTTTTATATTTAATTATCATTTATTAAAACAGTAAGAATTGTATTAACTTAAGGTTGGTAAAAGAGAACACTATGGGAAAAGAGGAAATCATGTAAAGTTATCATGTGGATTATAGACTATAGAATTTAGTTGTTATTGAATGTTTGTTAAATGTAAACCCAGACAACACACTGTCTACCGAATATTAAGGTGATTATGTTAAAAAATTAATAAAACATACTTTTTTAAAAAAGGAAAGGTAAAATTCCTGCAATAGTTTTACCTTTACAGGGAAGCATCATTTGGAATAGTGGACTCTCTATACCAACAGCATATTTGCAGTCAAAACACAGATGTCACCCTTTCCTTTCTCTTTTCTTCCTTTATCCTTGAAATTTATTGCAACTATAAAGCTAAGTTCCTACAAGAGTACAGAAGTCTGCTTCTGATCTTGAAAATCTGCACCTTTCCTTTGATTATTCCATTCCGATTAACACTCAGTTGGTCATTTTATTTCAGTCACGGACCAGCAAAATAGACCTTTGGGTAAAAAAAAAGTTGCGTTTTACTTACTGAAAATCAATGCAGTCTATAAAGCACATAAATTAACTATAGTAAAATAAGCTACATAGCAAGAGAACTAAAATATTCATTTAAGAATTTGGGGCATAAAAATTAATGTAATAAGGCATTATGCAATTCAAATAAGGGAATTATTTATTATTATTTCAAGTAATAAAATAACATTACTGATTTAAAGTATAAAACCATTATAGTGCTAAAATCCATGGGAAAATGTAATTTCAATATTATATTTAGAGACAAAGGAACACTTACTAATGATTGTTGATCTCACAAATTAGCAACAATTTAGATACAATTAAAATTAGATACCATTTCCTGAAGTCTGCTCAGGGTAACCTGCATATTAAAATTTGGACACTATTGTGGAATGCTGTGGAGTATTTGGTTCTTGTAGATCTTCTTGGCATGTTTTCTGCTCAATCCCTGCCATGCCTCATTTTACCACTTCCCAATTTCACTTTCCAGAATAGGACACACAGCTTTTTGCCAAGACTTTGAGGATACAAATATATCCCGTCAGGACTATTGAAAACAACCCCTTCTGTCTAAAACAGGGGTAGGCAACCTCAGCTCTTTTATGACTCATGGACTTCAACTCCCAGAGTTCCTGAGTCAGCTATGCTCAAACTTGGGAACGTTAAGATGTGTGGACTTCAACTTGCAAATATCTGAAAAATTCTGGGAATTGAAGTCCACATATCTTAAAGTTTCCAAGGTTGGGAAACACTGGTCTAGAAAACACAAAAAGAAGTCACTCTTCCACATGTCCCTTAGCCAGGTCAGGATAGAGACTTTTTTTTTTCTTCAACTAAGAGTCATATAAGATAGTGGATTCCTTATATTTTAGAGAATTCCTCCTCTTATGAAGCCAATCAGCCAGGAGGTCAGATAAGAGATTCTTTCTTGGCTAGATTGAGGTGTAACTTTCTTGTTATTTTTAAAAGCAAAATCGTAACACAAAAATATTGCTTGATAAAAAAAAGCATCTGTAGACAAAATAATTTCTTTTCTTTTGTAGAACTCAACTTCTTCAGGAGGCATCCAAACTGGTGGACAAGTAAGAAAATAAGGTCCAGGCAAGGACCCTACATTCCCATCACTGTGTTTGCTTACATAGTGTATGTGGGTGTGTGTGTGGGGGGGAGAGAAACCCACTACTAACCATATGGGGAGAGTGGCGAAATTGCTAGTCCAATTGTATCTAATAAAAAAGGTACCATGTTTTCTTGGTTTCAGGAGATACGGTGTCATGCTCCCTCTGTAAAAATTGCTGCAAAACCATCTTTGCGATGTTTTTTTTTTTAATCTGAAGACCTATATAAGGTCCACAGCATAGAGGACATACGGGGCTTTGCTCATTTAAACCTCCACCGCTCTTGCCTTCGGAAGAGGGCAAAGAATAGCACGCAATAGCATCATATTCCATATTTTCCAACTCTTCCAATATTCTATAATGATAAAGGATAATGCCTAACTACTCGTGGTATTGTTAGGGCAAAATAAGGCAATGGAATGAAGCAGTCTTATCCAATCAGGTGCCCTCCAGATGGGTTGGGACAATAAAACCCAGTGGTCTCTGCAAGGGGAAGTCAAGACAGACAAGATGGTGATTGTAAGAACATGTTCCATGCCCTGTCCTTTTTTGCATGTGTGTCAGTATTGAACACAAGGCTTTGATTGGGCTCCCACAACTACCATCTTGCCTGTCTTAATACCTAAATTCCAAAGATGCAGCTAACCATTCCCCAAATTCCCAGCTTTTGGAATCTGGGAATTGAATTCACGACATATACCAAGGGCAGTAACTCAATGATTGAGGGGGCAAACCAGTGATTTGGAAGAGCGATGAGCAGCTTGGAGTTAATTTTTGGTGAATGCTACATTGCTACTGCAGTAGACTCCATCAGTAGTTTTCTTCCAAATTAAATATATTGTCTAATAAGTGTGATAATGTGGGCTGTGTATATGTGCTAGTTTTTCTGAGATTTCATCAGAGCCAAGATGATGACAGAGTAGCAGTTTCCCTGAGCTCCTTATGATATTTTACTTAGCTTATCAATTTTTATAAACAGCGTAGCTATCCAGTACTTAATTCTATATATTTTTTGGCTATTTTTTCCCACAACACTGATAACACTAATTGATAATAAATTGATAATTAGCAGTAATAATTTGGTACTATACAGATCATACCTGGATCATATCCAGTTGAGCATGTTGCAATTGCATATAAATATATAAAAAAGAATTAAACATTGAATTTAAAAAATATGAAACTGAAACCAGAACCTTAGCAAAGTTAACAAAATCATCTCTGGAAAAAAGTAAGATCAGTTTTTAGGTTCTGTGCCAGGAATATATTCCATCATTGTTCTGACAACCAGAATTAAATTGCATTGTAAAACTGGGTCACACAGATAAACTCAGTAGGAATAATTTCATAACAAAAATATATTTATTCAGAGGAAATACTTGCAATTGTGTTGGTTGTTTCTTCTGGACAATACATCTCTGTTCATTCCCATAAGTGAGAAGATAATGCTCTCTCCATACCATCTTTATAGTGGAACAGAGTCATCGGGTGACATCCTATGGCCCATGCTTCTCTTTAGACAAAGACATTCCAATCTGGCCTGTGTCCAGGAAGTCTCCCAATGCCCTTTAGAAACTCCTCCCACTGACCCATTAACATGGGATGACTGACTAGCTAAAACTACATTTCCCATAAGCCATGTCTTAAGGAGACAGCACTTAACCCAATAAATACCAGATATTCTAACATACAGACACATGCTCTAGTCAGAGTTACATAGAGTTACACAATCCAGAATAATCATTCTTAATCCATAAAAAAGCACTGAGTCATTTTCAGCCAAATAAATTATTGACTAAAAATGATATTCTACAAATGGTCAGAATATCTTTTATTAAAGAGTTGCTGTATTTCTGTTCTGTTTTCTTAACAGATTGGATGTTATTGTACAGATGGGCTTTTGGTAAGTACTTATTCTACACTAATCTGTGTTTTGTTTGCCCTGAAGCAGAAATTGGTTTCTTTGAGTTTAGTTTAGCATCAAATGAGAATCCAGCCATTACAGGTTCTAAAGTAGGATTTTGTTTTAATGCAAGGTTCCTCAAAGTGATCAATATCAATTTTCAGGAATCGATTAGATAATCCAAGGGGCCAATAAATGTCTGGGAGTCAATAGATGGTTGATACATGATGGAAGGTCAATTAGGATCAATTAATAGTTTGGGGTCTGTGGGGCCTCATGCAAATCTCTAATTCTCAAGGTGAGGTAGCTAGAAGTGAGATGGCATTCCCCAGAGTTGGATTGTCAGCCACCAGCAAGAGAAACATAGAGTTCTTTCTATTATTATGGCTTGTTGCATTGTTGCAGGTTCCAGATGTTTAGACTAAATTTGGCATTTTTATCCACTTATCAAGTTCTTCCCAAGGATCTGGGTTAGGCACATGTTGTTGTTTGATGGTGTTACAGTACCATTGCAGGATGCAAGCTGTTTCAAGTAAAACTGCTTTTTGTAAACTGACTGATGTTTTTGTCAATTCTGGTAGTCTTCAAGTGGTGCTCCAGATGTTTTGGGATTGCACCCAAGATGCCTATTACTATTGGAACTATCTTTGCTTTCTTTTTGGCACAGTAACTTATAAACTAGAGGTGTTTTTATTCAAATATATAAGGTGTTTATCAAGATATATCGTAAATGCCGGCGTACAAGGTGACCCGGCGTATAAGACGACCCCCGTCTTTATAGCCGGGCCGCATTCCTAGAACGTCGTCTTATACGCCGGAAACTACCAGTATTTCCGGCGTATAAGACGACTCGGCGTATAAGACGACCCCCATCTTTGGCACCAATTTCAGCGCTCGTGGAAGTCGCCTTATACGCCAGCATTTACGGTATTAGTAAATGCAACTTTCCTAGAGATTTTTCTTTTTGGTCAGACTAAAAAATACAGATGGATTTTTCTTTAATAGGAGTCCTCTTATGGTGGAAAAAGCAGCCAATATGATGGTGGACAAGTAAGGACCACTTTTCTGTAGAAATGATTATTTAACATGAATTAACTTGCCAACAAGAATGAGCATGAAAAAAGTCTGATTTCTATTTTTTACAGGGTTCCCAATCAGCTAGTGGTCAATATGGTCATGGAAAAGAAAGCTTGCATGGGGACACCAGCCAATATGTTGAACATGGTGGCAGCAGCCAATATGGTGGACAAGGAAATCAGCATGGTGGCCATAACCAATATGATGGTGGACAAGGAAGCTCATATGGTGGCAGTAGCCAGTTTGGTGAACAAGGAAGCCAGTTGGGTCGTGGACAAGGAAGTTCATATAGCAGCAGCAGCCAATATGGTGGACAAGGAAGTCAATATGGTGGTGGACAAGGAAACCAGTACGAAGGTGGACAAGAAAGCCTCTATGGTGGTGGACAAGGACGTCAATATGGTGCAAGCAACCAATATAGTAGTGGACAAATAAGCAAATATAGTGAACAAGTAAGGCAAATATTTTTAGGAGGTTATTATTTTTATGGGAATTTTTTTAAAGGTGGGGTATAAATCTGATAAATAAACAATGGCAGTGATTCTTTTTTTGTGTATTGGCCATTGTTTCAGTAATAAGTTTCCTATGTAGAGACTTCACTGCCAAAACAGTGAAGTCTTATTTTAAATGACTACAGGTAGTCCTTGACTTATGACCAAAATTGAGCCCAAAATTTATATTGTTAAGTGAGACATTTGTTCACTGAATTTTGCCCCATTTTATGACCTTTGTTACCATAGCTGTTAAGAGAATCATTGCATTTCTCTCAAGCATTAGCACATATTTATAGAAATGTTGGAGCTTATGTTGAAATTATTTTCTTTTTCTAATTCCATTTTTGCCTGTACAGGATTCCCAGCATGGAAGAATTCAGTCTGTTGGTACTGAAAAAGGCAAGCAACATAGTGGACAAGTAAGGACGTCTCAAATAAATGTATTTGGGCTGCACTAGTTAGTTAATTATTTTCTCCAGTTAGAAATCAATGTAGATTGTGATGTCCTTATACTTAAGAAAGAAAATAGGTTGTTCTAATGCTACTACATTCATTATACCTTAGGGACATTGATCTTTAGTATATTCAAATTTACAATCCTGTTTTTGATACTAAATTCAATTGAACTTTTGAGGATTCCAATATATTTTTTACTGTAATAATGTACTGTAATAATGTATGTATGTATGTTGACCAAAAGGACAATCAAAATGACTATGCAATGTTCCAAGTGTTTTGGAATATAAAGATTGGATTGCTTAATTCTATAGGATTTCTTTTATTCAGAAGGCAAATGATAACTCAGTTTTCTCAGTCAATGATTCATTTTTGTATTGGCTTAGACATTAATAGTATAAAAAGAATATGAAAATGCATATGAGCCAGCGGACCCAATTCAAACTGAAAGTATCATAATTTCTAAATGTTGGTATCTATTCTTATAAACCATAGAGCGCTTGCATTGATTTATTTGTTGTAAAGCCAATTTATAATCCTAAATTGCGTTGACAATTACAAGTTCTACTGAATACAGTAGGATTTCTTTCCCAATTAAGTATACTTAGGAGTTGATTTCATTGAACTGATGCCTACTGCCCAATACACATGCAATAGATTACAGTACAAATCTTCATTTTTATATATTACTTCAATAACATTGAATAAATTGCATTGTTGCAGTTCGGTATATAACCTAACTAGATGTCCTATAGCAGTGGTTCTCAACCTTTCTAATGCCGTGACCTCATAATACAGTTCCCCATGTTGTGGTGACCCCCAACCACTTATACATCACTGGGTGCCAGGGGTGTGGCCAAAGAAAAGGGGGAAAAAATGGCGGACAGCCTTGTTTGGCGACCCCCATGAAATGGTCGTTCGACCCCAAATGGGGTCCCGACCCACAGGTTGAGAACCACTGTCCTATAGTATAATTAATATATTGTATAATGTTGGTACATTCTTTCCCCAAAGAAACTAAGTAGAATTCTGAGAAAAAATATAGAAATACTGAACTTTAGGAATTCTGGTCTTTATTTGCTAATGCAAGGTTTCCCTACAGCAAGGTCCTCAAGGCCATATAAGACCTTGCCATGAAGGCATCAATACTGAGCTGCTGACATAATCAATTAGTATCTGTTTTATCCACAGGGTTTTCAGAGCCATCAGTCTCATAAATCTGTAAGTATTGTACTTCCAAAGTGTTTCCTACTTCTATTTACTAAGGGCCTGTCCATGTAGCCCTGTTGATATTCTTTCTTCCAGTGAAGGGTTACAGCCAACACTACTGCTGCATTGCAGAACATCAGCAATGCTCTTCAAAAAGGAGGGAAGGAGGAAGGAACTAGGGGTAGGCACAGAGACCAGACCTGGGAGTCCTGAGGAGTGCATACTCTTAAAACCTGAATAACTACCACTGCTGCTGCTTCCTTTCTCTGCTCCTCCACAGCCCATGTGACCTTTCTAATTGACCACTAATTAGGTATTTCTTCCTAATTACAGCAATGAATGAGTCTACTAAATCAACTCTCTTTCATTTGGCCTCTTGTAGACTGTTCCCATCTGCTCTCCAGTGGGGATATTGATCTCATATAAAATCACGTAAAGTCTTCTGAGAGATCAATAATCCCTGATTACATCAATCAATCCCCATCAATAATAACCCAATAAGTTTTGGTTTCGATATCATGTAAAATCTTCTGGGAGATCAATAATCCCTGATTGCATCAATCAGTCCCCATCAATAATTGCCAGACAAGTTTTTGTTCCTTCCAGGAGTCAAAGAAGAAATAGCCATGGAGGCACAGAGCCCTGTGACTGGAATAAAACGGGAATCCTGCAGTGGGCAAAGTGGAGCCCAGCAGGTTGTTTATCCTCTGAAGCTTCCTCCTCATTTGACACAGAATGCCTGCCTAAGAGGCTTTCTTCTGTTGTTGTTGTTTTTCAAAGCAAGCACTACTTTCCTATTGGATCAGCTTGATCCAGCTTTAGCCTCAGGAATGGCACTGAGATGGAAGCTGTATGGTGGATACATGCCCTCATCATTTGTGAGCCATTTCAGAGCCAGAGCGTGGAGGCTAAATGGATGAGACCTAAAGGACTAAAACTATCCCTATATGTCACACTTTAAATCAGGGGTGTCAAACTCGCGACGTCATGTGACGTCATGCAACATATCGGGCCAGTATTGCCATTGCCAGCAATGGGGTGGGCGCAGCTTCCGGATGATGCATCCAACCCGCAGGCCGGCAGTTTGACACCCCTGCTTTAAATTCTATTAAAAATTTGTACCTGAGTTTGAATTACAGATAAACCTTGACTTAGAACCATTCATTTAACAGCCATTCAAAGTTATGATGGCACTGAAAAAAGTGACTTAAGGTTGGTCTTTGCACTTAATCCCCGTGGCCACATGATCAAACTTCAGCTGCTGGGCAAATGGTATTTATTTACAACAGCCACAGCATCCCACGGCTAGATGGTCACCATTTGCAACGTTCCTAAGACACTTCCCACAAGCAAAAATCAATGGCAGAAGCCAGATTTGATTAATGACTGTGGCAAAAATAAATAAATAAATCATAAAACTGGGTGCAACTCACTTCTTAGCAATGGGAATTCCTGTCCCAGTTGTGGTTGTAAATCAATGACTATCTGTAGTGATATAGATGAGAGTGCATGTGTATTTGGTGTAAAGGCATTCTTCCACCTCTAACCACACTTTGAATTAATGTCCTTGAAGACCAAGACAGTGGATAAATATTTTTTTTGATGGGTCTAGTGAGCTTTCAAGTATAAAATCAGAATGGAGGAAGTATAAGTAAAGACAAGGGTACAGGAAAGAGAAATCCAGCCTTTGCCATCCCTCACCATTGTTTATCCATTGCTACATAAACATCTTGCAGTTAACTTATTAATGTACCCACTTTTTTATGCAGCTCCTAAAGCCACCATGTCAATTTTCAGGTTCATGCAGAAGCTTTAAAAAAGATGTAACTATTAAAAGACGTGTTCTACTTGCCTTCCACATATTCCAAAATATGCCCTTAGAGTTATTTTTGAAACATGTACAGCCCTAATACCCTCAGTACTCCAATGTCTAGGAATCATTCCAAATTCTTTATTTAGGGATATAGCAAATCCTTTTGTGAGTGCTTCAAGCTAGTGATGACTGGGTTTAGGCTGTGGACAAAGGGGCACAAAGAAAACATAGAAATAAATAAAAAAAAGAAACTTGTAATTTCCTCTGCAGCAAATACAAGCATGATTACACAATTGTGTCTTACTCTAAGTGATTCTTTTTCTATTGTCTAATATTTTCTAATCCTCAAAACCACAAATCAAATGTTCATTTTTTTTCGGTTTTATGCAAAAAGTCTATAAGCAATAAATATAGATGTTTTCACTAATCAAAGATGTCAGCTTAGCCATCTGTGCAAGTTCTATTCATCTTCACCAACTATTCCTCCATTATGGGTAGGGTCAAATCATTCCAATTTAAGCACAATCTTGCTGCAGTTGTTACATACAAAATTAAGTGCCATGACTTTCCCCCCCCCCCAGCTATTTATTTGTTAGTCCTCAAAGAAAAATCTCTAGCCTAGAGATTTTTCGTTGAGAGTTGGGTTTAGGCTGTGAAGAGGAATATAAGAAATAACAAGTTTCATAAAAAATAGTGAAGTGTTGTACTTTGTTTCAGTCCTAGAATGTGATATCACTTTTTTCCCCCCTTTACAGAGTGCTGTTGGGAAGCCGGCCATCTTGTCTTTGACGCTTTTTAGCATTCTGAGTGCCTTTGCTGTTTCTTCTTCAACTGCATAATTAGGACTGGCAACTTACTCATTAAGCAAAGCAGTTCCTAAATGAAACCACAACTCTGCTGTAGTCTTACTTCAACTTTCTTTTGCTTTACAAAATCGCCATAACTTTGAATGGTTGCTAAACGAGGATTACCTGTATATTATTCTTTTATCTTTGTTTTTTTAATGTACTATATTGTATTTCATTGCAAAAATGACATTTTTGATATGAAATTCATTAATGGATCACCTGACTTTAATCAAAGGCTACAGTTTACTTAAGACTGTTGATATATTTGGAAATAACTACGTTTAAAATTGTGTGGATTGAGACAGTTTATTGCTCCTTACTATTGTGTAATGTAGTACTGACTCAAATTTTGGCAATACTGTATATTTTAATTATACGACACTGATTAAGGTAGAAATAATTATTCTGAGTACATTCATGAATAACTAAATTACAGCTGAATTCTAAGATTTCGAAAGGTATACTCTTGCAGCATTATCTAGAAATTTCTTCATAAAAAGAAAGAGAATTATGGGAAAATCTATAATAATTTTTCAGGAATATTGTAAAAATCAACTATTTCCCATTCTTAATAAATAGCAGGAACCTTCTGCAACTGTTTTCTTTCCTTCAGTTATGTTAACTTATATAAATTCAAGGCAACAATAACATCTATATGCTATTAAAACTCTCATGTTTGTAACTTTTAACTGGACAAAATGGTGCACCATAGAGCAAAACATTTTGAACCAAAGTACCTCAAATAGATTAACTTGTTCAATGCATCCTAAATCTGGAAGCCATGACTCCTGTGGAAATTAAATTTGGCAAAGGTCATAAAATATTTTATGACATAAAGTTATCATACAACATTTTATGATACTTTACAAAATGTTGCAACATATTTCCTGTGGTCAGCTCCTGATGGTTGACTGTGCTGTGCAGATATTTTCAAGTCAGATACAATTCTGAATATCTCCCTGAATTTTTAAAAACTTTTCTAGTGAAGGCAGTACATTAGAAGTACTATCATTATTGAAGGCATTGAGGAATTTGGTAAAGAAATATCTTTGAAACAATAGCCCAATGGGACGCATGCTGATTAGTTATAATATGGTGCACAGAGAGGCATGTCCCCCCAAAAAATCAAGAGAGCTGATGCAACCACACTGTTGTGGTGGTTCTTAAAATGGATTATGTTTTCAATTTTGCTGTCATCTTGGGGGTTTTTCCCCCCTTGCTCTTTATTTGGATTTTTCTTGCCCAATCAACCTTTTGAAAGCAAACAAAAATAACAAAGACTCACATCTGATTTGTTGCAACATCATGGAAAACTCTCTGAGTAATGTAAAAGTGAGTTCTTAATATAATATTCACCCTGGTTCAAGAGGTTGTTTGGGATCTCATATTCTAAAGGTCTTGGGTTCAGGTAATTTAAAATAAAATGCTTTTAATCTATTATTCCCTCACTCACAGGCTCCTTGGAGTCATCTGAGAACATTTGAAAAATTTTCCATGGGCTCATCTCCTGACCGCCCAGAGCCAATCTTCTTTGCAGATAATCTCAATCCTGTGGGATGCCCTCCCTGCTAAACTGACAGGTCTAAGGTTTTTGATGGCTTTTTCAAAGGCCCTACAAGCATGATTTTTAGATAAAATTATTTTTTAAAAATTATTTTAAACATCTCAGCCTTTGTGTTTGTATTCTTTTGTAAGCTGCCAAGAGATCTTGGTAGACAATAATATAAAGAGTTTAATTAAAAAAATAAATTAACCCAAGATACATTCTTTGAGAGACCTTTAAGTAAGGACATAGGAAGTCCAATTCTAAAAATTAAAACCCCCATTTTTTTAAAAAAAAAAACTTTTTAAAAACATAATACCACTCTTTTCACTATCCTGTACCTTTTGTTATCAGAATTAGTGAGCTGGAAGATGTAAGAATAACAATATGTATTAACAGCAGTTTAAGAACAATATATAGCCTACTAGCATAGGCTTTGTAAGCGTATATTTCCAAAGAGAAATAATGTACAGATGCCAAATGCAGTGATGATAATCTAACTTAAATAACTTGTGTTGCCTTTTACGTTAAGTCCCATAATATAGTTTTCTGCAATAGCTCGGTATGCTTTTCTTAGGGATGAATCATGAAACACATTTTATAGGGATAATAATTTGTAAATGCTCTAAATATAGTGAGATGGGAAGGGATAGGATGGGATACAATCCCTCTTGTTTTCAGGCAAATTTGTCATGCTATTTCTGTTCAGATAGCCATAATTAAGCTTGAGCTAATCACCTTAAAACTCCCCCCCCCCTTTAAACATTGACTGTTAGACTACAAAACCATAACAGAGTATCTTATAGTGTCAGTGTTACTCACACCACACAGACCCTCAGTCAAAACAGTAAATTGCTTAAATGACTCCTAAAATTCTTACTGTATAAACAGGAATTGTCGTGGCATTTTAAAAGTATAATTTTTGAAGGTTCAGTCTACAAAATGACATAAAAGCTCAGTGGATATTTAGCATTCAAATCTTAACTGTATTTAGAAACAATTGGAATGCAGGAATCTCCTCCTCCTCCTCCTTTTCTTCATCCCACCTTTATAACATGCTAATGCTTCTGCCTCCTATTTATATATGTGTAGCAAAGGGTCAAAGGTTGTGCAAAGCAAGCCTACATATATAAAAACTGTCACTGCATGATTGTGAATATATTCTCGGCATTTGAAACAATAAAGCATAATATCAATAGTACTTGTGTAGATTATTAATGTTTTACTTAAAAAAACCAAATGAAGTTTGAAAACAAGTTTGTTCAACATAGTCTTATATTGTCAAACTAGTTTTTCTTGTTTACCATTTCAAATAATTGCATGAGACATAGGGTGGGTGATTTTTCTTTTTTTCCTGGATTGCAGTGTTTTTAAGATGCAATCTATTTTCTCTTTCTGCAACAAAGGTGACATCTTAAACTATTTTCTTGTAGAGAACACTTAACACTGACATGCTACCAAGAGAGATCTACAATAAAACCACAGCATCCTACAGCATTTCACATCAATAGCAATTCTGAAATTTCCCTTGGCTAATTAGATACAAATGTTTCAAAATGTGTTTTGGGGTTAATAATTTAATGTGCAGTATAGCTCCATACCTTCACAAGTCACCAGAGTAGCATGATACTCATGTAAAATATAATGCCAAGGAAATCAGATAAGTCATAGAGTTGGAAAGGACCAGGGCTTTTTTTCTCATAGAACGCCCAGAACGGAGTTCTGGCACCTTTATTGGATGGAACCTTGTAGGGTAGGCAAGGCGGGTTGTATGATGTGTGTGAGTTCCGGCACCTTTTTTTTTTAGAAAAAAAGCACTGGAAAGGACCATTCAGACTACTGAATCCAGCTTCTCAATCACTGCAAATTAAAGCATCCCAGAGAAATGGCTATTTAGCCCAATCCAGCAGAGGGGAATTCATAGTGTGTTTGGGTGATCGATTCCTCTGGCAAACACTTCCCAGTAGGGCTTCCCCCCCTAACTTTGAAATACCATTTGTCTTCCTGTAACTTGCATTATTATTTCTTCAGACCAATAGGCGTTGATCTTTTTTACAGGATATTTTTTCTGGTATTTGTCATATTCCCCTCGTCCTTCTCTCAAGGCTAAATATACCCAGCTCCTTCAATATTATTTTATAGGTCTTAGGTCTATGAAACTAAGAAATTGAGTTTCTTAGAGAAAGAAGAAACTATGAAACATCGTCGCCCTTCCAATCTGCTTCAATTTCTTGAAATTCTTTTAAAGGTGTGGTACTCAGAAATTGATTCATTCCTGGGGGTTAGGAGCATGGGAAGTGATGGTTCTTTGGTAGAAAGATCACTTCCCGTGATCTGGAAATTATACTTTTGTCAATGCAGGCTGCACTGCATTCCATTTTCTGCAGCCAGGTCACATGATGTCTCATATTCAGCTTGCAATCACCTCTTATTCCAAGATGGGCACTCCAAGTATCTCTCATTCCAAAAACTGTGGATCTGATGTGTGCTTCCAAAGTGAAGAACTCTGTATTTCTCTGTTAAATAAATCTCATTCCATTATTTCAGCACCATGTTCTCCAACTCATCAAGATTGTTTTGAAATGCATTTATTTTGTAGGACATTAGCTATTCTCCCAATTTTGTGCCATCCACAAAGCAGATAATTATTCCCTCTCCTCTATCTGGGAAGTGATATGAGGGAATGAAGTCATCAACCACTCTGTGATAAGAGATGGATCTCTTTAATGCCATGATAACTGTCAAGAGAAAACACCACTTCCTACTTCTTTTGCCATCCAGGGGTTGACCAGAGAAATGGCATTTGGTATAATGTCAGACACCTGACACTTCTACTGTTAAAAAGCAAATGGCCCTGATTATCAAGAGGCCAGGGGCTAAAGGGCAGGCATGCTTGCAGCATTGTCAGGAGTCCAACAGCAATAGAAAAAATCCTTCACCTCAATGTACTTCAGAATGATTTACAGCAGATATACTATTTGATGGAACTTGTCCTTGCAGAAACTGAAAAACTACTATTTGATGGAACTTGTCCTTGCAGAAACTGAAAAACTGACAATTTGAAGTGGAGCAAGAAAAGACAGGCAGAGCTGACTTCATAGTAGGCCAAGCAAAGGTTGAATGACCTGAAAGATGACACCGATGACTAATTCAGGTTACCAACAATTACAGCTTTAGAAAATTATTTCTGGATTAATCCCTATAGGATTGTGCCACTAGCTGCAATCCAACTGAACATGCACAGTAAGAAAAAGCAGTGTCTTAAGTTGACAACTGATAGTTTTAGATAAGATTTGCCATTCACAAATTCTCACTCCAAGACACCCTGTCTCCAAGTTTTCAACAAAAATAAAAGCAGGACATAGTAAATACTTCTTTCTTTATATGAATTCATTCACCCTTCTGTGGACAGCTGCAAAATGTACATGTAAGTTGGCCCTGCAGGAACATACTTAAGAAACAGTTAATGGGCATGTCTATGGAGATTCTCTGTTCTGGCCCATAGAGCTCTATGACCCATATAGCTCTATGGCCCAGTTCTATGTTGGAAGGCCTGGCAGTTATTGGGTTAAATGCTAGGTATGTGGATGGGTCAGTGGGAGGAGTTCCAAAGGTCTTGGGGAGACTTCCTGGACACAAGCCACTTGGGAACCTCTTTGTCTGTAACAAGCATGGGCCATGGAAGGTCTCTCTATAGGATGGTATGAAGAGCTTTATCTTCTTAACTAAGGAAAGGATTTGAAAGATGAACAAACATGTAATTCCAGCAGCACCAATCTCAACGTGAACGCAAGTAATCTTTCTCATTAAAATATATTTGTTTGTTATAAGATCGTTTCCTTTGAGTTAACTATATGACTGGATTTGAAATATAACACTTTTAAATTTGAGTCATTATAGTAAGAAGATAAAGTCATAATTTGTGCCATCTTTTGAAAGCAAATAGTAAATTGGCAAAGATCAATTCTCCTCTCAAAGCTGCAACAGTTTGAAGTAAAGATTCTCTCGATGCTTGTAAAAGCCTGCAAACAGCTTTCAAGGAGTCATTCAGAAGTTTTGTTATGCTAATTCGCTTCCTAGCTAACTTTCAAAGTGAAAAGTGCCTTGTCTCTGATTCAGAATTACTTTGTTTCCTTGCATGAAAAGTTTGAATTTTAACACCAAAAGGAGCTTGGGCTTTTCCCCTCCCCTCTTTGCCAGTGAATCACGCAGCCTGAAACAAAGAACTGTTTAATGACTGCCTCTAAAGTTCAGACAAAGCAAGGTTTATTGCAGAAACACCCCCTGGTGGTCATGCAATTTTTTTTTTCTAGCTGAGTCACAACAGCCACAATTAATTCAGCACACAACAGAGCAAATCTGTTAGTTAAAGTACAAGCTACTTAAAGTTATCCCAAGCTACCAACACCCCACAGAGGGCACAGAGTGATCTTATCAGAAGCACTCACTCAAGCTGAAGGCTAAGCTGTTCCAGCTTGAGAGACAGGAAGCAAGAGCCAATTGCCTTCGCTCATTATCACAGCTGATGACCCGGAGTTCCGGCCTGCAACTCAGTGGCTCACTAGCAGTAACGTGGTAATAGGAAGAATTTGGCTAGCCTTTCTCCAGACGCCCCCTAGTGGTTAAAGGAAGCTCTACACGCAAGCCTTTAACCGCACCCAGAGAAGCCCCTCTAGTGGACAAAGGGTGAACCTCGAAGCCAGAGCACCCTGGTAGCTGACCCACAGCAAGCGACCCCTAGTGGTGAAGGGGTGAACTGCACTGAAGTACCCACAAACACAAGAGAACGCACCCAGTGGCACCTCCACCCACAGACAGCACCTCAGAAGCTGATCTACAAGTAGCGATCCCTAGTGGTCAAAGAGAGAGGTTCTTCAAATTCTCTTCAAAATAGCTGAGAAGGACACCTACCCTAACCATGGAGGAGTGTCTTACTGATTTGGACAAAGGGGCTCAATTAACTAGCCTAGTTGAAACACCCCAACCAGTCAGTCCAGGAGAGATTCTGCACACAGCCAACATTGACCAGTATGCAGAGGCTGAAACCCAAGCCTCAACACAGCCCAAAACGTCCCAGGGTCAATACGATCTTAGACAATGCAGAAAGCTCACAGAAGCCATGCACTCACATCTGATGGAGAAATGGCACACCATCCACAGGCGCCATGAAAGAAGCTGGGAGAGATTATACAAACTCTACCACGAACAGAAGGAGGAACTCTCCCCAGAATGGGCACACGCAGTGGAAGGAGATAAGGAAGACGCCTATGTGCAATGGATGGACTCTGAACAGCAACTCAAGGACGTTCAAGAACAATTAAGAGACCCAAGTGTCGACAGCGAGATGCAAAGCCTCCAGCTATTAAACCAGGAACGCAAGAAGTTTCTAGAAAGCTCACAGGGTTCCCCACAGCCCGAGCCTCACCACAGAGGCAGTCCGGTTGACAGAGCCGAGTCCGAAGTTTCATGCCTTTCACATGCACCATCCCAACGATCGCACGCAGATCCATCTCAGGTTTCTGGAAAGGCCTCATCCTTCCGCCACATGTCCAGGGCACACTCTAGCGTGTCCCAACAATCACATGTCACAGACGCCTCCCGCCTTTCGAAGGCATCCTCCCGTCGCAGCCGAACATCCAGAATTTCACAAGAAGAGCAAATAATTTTAGATGCTAAAGCCGCTGAAGCTGTCTTTCGTGTGGCACAAGAGGTGAGGCAGAAAAAGAAGGAGTTGTCGGCCATAGAACTTGAGGAAGCCAAAATAGTAGCCAAAAGAAAGGATGCCCAAAACGAACTTGAACTTACTCAATGCCAAAGAATTATGGCAGACAAAATGGCTAGAGCGGAAGGCCTTCAGAAAATACTCCAGTACACCACTTTCTTGCCAGACAGACAACAACTGGAAAACGAAGAGCGTCGTAGCCGCGTACAGACCTATGTGGACAACCAAAGCACATTCCAGAATGCACAGATGAGAGCACCACAGCCAGCCACAAGCCCCCCAAGACCGAGTAGACGAACAGAGGAATCTCAACGACCTGATTCGCTGGTCAACTGCAGAGTTGATGTCACGACACCTAGGTCACGAGATCCTCCCGCCGTTGTTGCCACATCAAACCTGATGGGATTACCACCAATGGCAATGACTGCACAGCGGGGAGGGCCACAAGATCTTTCCACCATTATTACCCCAGCAACGGCGACAATTGCACAGCGGGGAGTGCCCCAAGATCTTCCCACCGTTATTACCCCACAGAACCCACCAAACCATACCACTAATGGCAATCGGATGGATCCACTTATAGCGCCAACAGCCCTACAGCAGCACCAGCCGTCGCTCAGGGAACAGATTGAAAGAGTTAGAGCCACGCTAGAGTCACTAGAGTCCCTGCTGCACCAACAGGAGGAAGCGCCCCAAGGAACTGCCACCACTCCTGACCACAGAAGACAGCCTCGAGCATCAGCTCTGACAGCCTACCAGGAAGCTAGCTACACTCTATCAGAAACACAGACCTTCCAACACATGAGCAAGCAAGAGCCTGGGCTCCCTCAGCTCAATGCCAGAGCAGCAGAGTTCAGACCAAGCCAACAAGGTCCCTTGCACGTGACATTGCAAAATACACCCAGCCACCATTACGCCGAAGGAAGTTACCAGCCAAACATGGCACACGCCCCCACTCCTGGAAGCGAGGTACCATCGCCACCCGGTTACACCCCTATGAGACTTTACAGAAGCAAACTAGATCTGGCATCCAAGGGTGTACACAAATTCCCCGATAAACCGGGAAAGGACTACGTATTGTGGAAGCTCACGTTCCAAACCGCCATCCAAGATGAAGCTATAACATCGAGCGAAACGCTCGGACATATGAAAACATGGCTGGGACCGGCTTCCACGCGATTAGTAGAGAACACTCAACTAGCTCACCTGGGCAACCCAGCTACCGCCCTTCACAAAGCTTGGGAAAGGCTCGACGAGCGGTATGGCGGGCATGAACTGACAGAAAAGTCGCTCTTGGATTGCATTTACACCTTCCCTAACATCAATATTGACGATCACACCCAGATCCATGATAACTGTCAAGAGAAAACACCACTTCCTACTTCTTTTGCCATCCAGGGGTTGACCAGAGAAATGGCATTTGGTATAATGTCAGACACCTGACACTTCTACTGTTAAAAAGCAAATGGCCCTGATTATCAAGAGGCCAGGGGCTAAAGGGCAGGCATGCTTGCAGCATTGTCAGGAGTCCAACAGCAATAGAAAAAATCCTTCACCTCAATGTACTTCAGAATGATTTACAGCAGATATACTATTTGATGGAACTTGTCCTTGCAGAAACTGAAAAACTGACAATTTGAAGTGGAGCAAGAAAAGACAGGCAGAGCTGACTTCATAGTAGGCCAAGCAAAGGTTGAATGACCTGAAAGATGACACCGATGACTAATTCAGGTTACCAACAATTACAGCTTTAGAAAATTATTTCTGGATTAATCCCTATAGGATTGTGCCACTAGCTGCAATCCAACTGAACATGCACAGTAAGAAAAAGCAGTGTCTTAAGTTGACAACTGATAGTTTTAGATAAGATTTGCCATTCACAAATTCTCACTCCAAGACACCCTGTCTCCAAGTTTTCAACAAAAATAAAAGCAGGACATAGTAAATACTTCTTTCTTTATATGAATTCATTCACCCTTCTGTGGACAGCTGCAAAATGTACATGTAAGTTGGCCCTGCAGGAACATACTTAAGAAACAGTTAATGGGCATGTCTATGGAGATTCTCAGTCATCCTTCCATTCCCCACTATCTGGTCAGAGCTGAAAAAGCTTCTTGGATGAAAAACGAAATGTCTTCAAAGAAAAACAAGAAAGTCCAGTTGCCTCCTGAAAAAGCACCTTTGGGACAGTTAGTGGGCATCTTAAGAGGGAGTCTGAAATACAGTACAGGGTCCCACAGACTGGGATGTATTTTAACAATTAGCAAATGGAGACACAAAAAGAGAACGAGGTGGGGGGAGAGAGAGATTCCATCAATCACAGAGCCAATTTTTTCTCTTCGGATGTTGCCATTCCCCTTTCTGCCAGCCCCGGCGGCCTCTTCTCTTTCACGACGCTCCGTCTGCTGCCTCTCCGCGCCACGGAGCGTCTTTCCCAGCGGCTCCTAGGGAGGCGGGCCACGCGTGAAAAGAGTCGCTGGCCTGGGAACCGAGCGGGCGGAGCCGCGGCTGCAGCCGGAGTACTGACGGGGCGGCACCGGGGAAGAAGCACCCGGAAGGGAAGCGTGCCAGGCTCCCAAGTGCGGCAGGTGAGAGTCGGGAGAGAAGACCCGGGAGGGCTAAGCGGAAATAGGGGGGTTGCTAAGCAGGGAGGGCAGGTCCGCAGCTGGGAAGTAGGCGCGAGCGGACAGGAAGGAGGTGGCTGAGAGGATCTGCTGGGAAGGATGCAGCTTAGGTTGAAGCAAGCCAGAAACCGAAGAAGCGTAGCGAGGGATGGGATGCAGGGTAATCCCCCCCATGGCGGGCAAAAGTGAGGAGATGCAGGGTAGGATTAAACTAGCGCTCGCCCTCGCCTCGTCCCCGCCTAAAGCTGCTTTTTAATATCGAGGCTGATGCATCTATATTTGAAATCTTCCTTGAAGAACACGTCCCTGAGGAGATGCAGAGTGCCATTCTTTCAAGTTAAGCAGTTGGATCGGCTTCCCTTTGAGACTGGGATGGAATTTGCTGCTTGGAGGAGAGCTTTGCTTCCTCTTGAACTCGGTTTTGGTAGTAAAGGGTGGCTGTCGATGGATTCTGTGGTCAAATAATGAATGAAAGTGTCTGTTCCCGGGGCGTGCACAGAGTGCTTACACTGCCTCGGTTTGCTAACAGGAGGGAGTTGTGCGTAATAACTGAGGCGTGAAGCTTCACAAAGCTTGGAGATGGGGTTTTTTTTTTAATCCTAATCTCTAAATATAGAAATTAAACGCGAAAACTTGCAGAACTAGAAAAGCACCATATATTAAAGGCAGAAAGTAGCTCAGGCAGGAGTGAAGGGATTAAGAAACAATAGCTTTGGGGAGAAGCAGCAGGATGCACGACTATTTCGAAAGGTGAATTACAGTGCAGTAGGCGTGGTAAAAATCAATGTAGGTAAAAATGTGTATAGATCAATGTATAGATCTATGATACCCGAAACATCTGACCAAATGTATGCATGTGTCCACATTCCCGCCATACAGATTCAGTCATTTGCTCACTTACATACAAGCAAATGTTCTTGTATGTAAGCAAGTTTTTATAATATGGAGTACTACTTTGGAATTAAACGGGAATAAAATGGTTAGATTTTCAATGTATTGGCAAAGGAACAGAAAAATGAAAAGGTAGGTTAACCTTATTATTAAATAAAAAATATTGTGACTTTTCTGTGTAAATGAATGTTGATCATTCATTATGGTACATTCAAAGAACAAAGCAAGAGGTAGAAATAACTCTCATTATTAATAAATAATTTGAAGCAAGAGAGATAGAATAATGCAAAGAAAGATTATCCTACCAGTACAGAAAATTGCACAAAACATATACACAAAGGATATTTTTTAAAAATTACACTATTTTTTTATTCAAATATATTTTATTTATATTTTAAAATTACATATGGCTGCTGACAGTTCCTGTATGTACTTTGAATTAATTTCTATTTTGAACCAAGCTTGTAAGTTCATTTTTATTTGATATATTTATTTTTTAAATTCATATGCCACCCATCTCAGTAACCTGCTACAAAACTTTCTGCTGACAGGGAGAGTAGCTTACATGCAATTTTGATGTATTAATAAGTGCTACATCCCCAGATGTATTTGTTTAAACATCACTAACCATTTTTATATTGTTATAATAGAGAACAAGAAAGGTCTAAATCAAATGTTACTTCCTGTGTGTACTTAATAACTATTAATCATCTAAGAATTAGTACTGTAATGCAAAACTCAATGAATCCCAGAATTTCCATAATTGCTAGATTCTCATCCTTTTATCCTTCCATTATATATGATCCTGTTATAGTAGTCATGATGGAGGCTAACAGACATGTCATTCATTGTATAATTGTTCTTCTAATCTAAAAGCTTTGGAATTTAGAGGACATAACATTGCATTTGTAATTCTGTCACTTTTCCCCACATCTTCTGCATTTTCTCTTAGTAGAAAAACAACCATTTCAGTGAAAAAGATAGAATAGTTCCCTTTGATTAATAGTGCTAGTAAATATACAACTATTTTAAAAAGTATTCTGATATGACTTTTACTATACTTTTTACATACTAGCCTTACAACATCCTATTTTATTTTTCCATTTAAAAGATGTTTCAGTTCATTCACTGTTAAAAAATTATTCAGGAAAAACTACATTTTTAAATTGGAGCTTTCTCCCTGAAAAAATATGAGAGAAAAACGTGAATTTGTCAGATGAGAGAGTTATTGTGGCATAATTACTCAGATAAAACAAACTCACTTTTATAGTAAATCAATAGAAAAACTGAATATTTTATATACTCTATTTAAAGAATCTGGAGTCACAAATAAAAAATATTACTTATTTTCGCTATTCTTTTCCCTATCCTTTCAATTGGAAAAGACTATGAAAATAATTTAATGACCATTTACATGCCTCAGCTGGGAAATCTTTGAACAGTATCATTACTCTTTATGGTGAACCTGGTTAACTGGCAAAGTTGCCCTCACTGGAATGTTTCAGTCTTTTGTACAAATATTTTTAAAGATAAAACACTACTCAGATATCACTGTTCTTTGTTGAATCATTATTGAAAGAAAGTCTTTCAGGAGTAGAACTTGTTCTTAGCTGATTTTTTTTTCATGCAAAGAAGCTTTTTTTAAAAAAAAAAAAAGTAAATAACAAAGGACAATATTAGCAGATAGACAGAATAAACAGAAGGTGATTCAGTAGGTTAATATCCTGGAATTAAGGTGCATTATCAAAAGTTGAACTAGGAACTGTATATCTGCTGTTTTCTATACTTGAAAACATATCAACTTTTCCTGTAATCTTTAAAGTAACAACTGTGAATCAAATTGCACCACATCTGATTTAGATAAGTGAGTTTGAGATGCTGCCATCTTCCATTTGCAAATCTCTTAACGTTTTGGCCCTTTTCTCTCTTTTCTTTGCCACAAAAGCTAGGACAAAAGAACTGCACAAGAGCTTCTGATTAGAAAAGCAAGGATCTATCTCTCTGGAATTATGTTCTATCTCTGCATTGTAACTTTGTATATGTGCTTATTTAAATAGTTTCTCTAGACCAGGGGTCTTCAAACTTGGCCCTTTTATGATTTGTGGACTTCAACTCCCAGAATTCTTTATCCAGCTCCCAGAATTCCTCAGCCAGGAACGCTGGGTGAGGAATTCTGGGAGTTGAAGTCCACAAGTCATAAAAGGGCCAAGTTTGAAGACCCCTACTTTAGATATTACTAATCTTAGACTATTAAATGTTGCATCATAGAAAAATCAATATAATGGAGTAAACTAAAGTGATTTGGAAATAAGCAGAACAGGAAAGGTGAGCTTATTTCTTCATCCATCTGTGTTTGTAAATTGCCCGAGGCAGCTGACAATACAGGTAATCCTCAACTTATGACCACAATTGAACCCAATATTTTTGTTGCTAAGCGAGACAGCTAAGTGAATTGCGCCCCATTTTACGATCAGATGGCGCTTCTGAGGCAGCTGCCTGCTTTATGAGGCTTTTTTCCCCAGGTTGCACATGGAGGTTTCCCCTTGAAACCTAGGGAAGATGGTCTCATGGCCTCATGGCCATGCTTCATCAGACTGGGGTGGCAGCTGTGGGTTTGGGCTGGACCCAGCTGGCCTGGGCCTGTGACTTGGGTTCTTGCAGGCCCAGAGTTGCAGAAGGCTGAGAAGTCCCTGTGGTCCATCCTGACAGACTGGGCTGTGGCGGCTGTGGCTTCATGCTGTGCTGAGGTTCAGGTTTCTTGCAGCCCCAGAGCCATGGTGCACCAAGAAACCCCTGAGGCACAGTGTAACAAGCAGCCCCAGAGCTGTGCAGTTACTTGCTGCCTCGCAAGAGAGGGTGCAAGCTGGCCAGAAAGGCAGAAATGGTAGGAAATAGGCAACGGGGGACTTGGAGGCATTGCCTTATCTTACTGAAACCCAGAGTTAAGAGGGGTCCCAATTATGGTAGTAGGTTGAGGACTATCTATGGTGTGTAGGCCTGGTAATCCCTGATAGTATTCACTAGATCTAATTATGTTTTGCTTCTGAACTTAGATAAAACCTGGAATGTACTCACCAGGAAGTAGCAAAGAAATATACCAAAGGAGAATTCCAAGGGCAAGAATTTTATAACATGGTTGGAATTATTATAGAGGCTTTTTGGTTCTTGTCAGACAGGAAGAAGCAAATGTCCACTGAGTTCAAAGGACAGTAGGATTATTCCTGTTTACCGTATACTGTTTTAATAAAATCCAAGTTATGGCAAATGGGCAGGGTTGAACCTCTTATGGAATTATGGGAGTGTTTTAAGAAGAATCTCAAATTTAATTTGTCATTTGTAATCTGAGAAAGAGCTAGAAGAATCCAGTAATTATATTTATATTTCAAAGTCTGCTTCTGTACACTTTTAGTAACATTTGCATTATATATTTCTAGCAAGCCCTTGAAGTAAAGAATGTCATTCAGAGTTTTACAACAGAGGGATTTGAATAAGCAGAACTAAAGGAACATTGAAACACAATCCCAGCATGACACTCTACACCAGAGGCCCCCTATCTTTTAGGCCCCAGGGACCGGTTTTGTAGGGCGAGGTTTTTCCGCGGACCAGAGGGGGTGTGGTTTCGTGTGCTGCCTGCATCCCATGGATGGGGCTTCGCTTGTTTGTGCGGCCCAGTTTCTGGCATGCTGTGGCCCGGTGCCAGTCCATGGACTGGGGGTTGGGGACCTCTGCTCTACACCATTTTGCGGTGTGACTATCTCTATGAAATAAATTATGATTCTGGGCATTATGTGCTACAACAGTTAATCTTCTGATGCTCACAGAGGTACTATGTTGTAACCCATGTGCCATCTTTGGGACAAGCATGATATCAAGGAAGCAGCAGCATATAATCATCCCAGCAATGTGAAATTTGGAGGGGTTATTTACAATTTATACTATGTTGGTGAATCCTTCAAAATGTTTATAACATATTCATATACATTTATAGTCAGGTTAAGGTGTCACCATACTTCATTTTTTCATAACAGGATTATTTTTATTCCTATACTGCTCTTTCTACCATAGTGTGGTGGAATATAATTTAGATTCCCAGGAGGGAAGGGCTGCACTCTAGAGGAGCAAGAGAGAGCACAGCTTAGTTAGTTTGGTTGGGATGAAAAGGTCAAGAAAGCTTCTCCTTAGAAGTTCTCAGTGTATATCTTTAATGATGCAAGTAGTCTGCTTTAGTCGGGCAAGATTCTATCGTCAGTGAGGAACAATAAAGGAAACTGCTTAGAAGTTTCTCTGCGTGTTTTTTGGAGTCTAATACATAGGGAATTCAAAGCAATATGTTTCTGAAACAATGTCGAGTATTATATTTGTTGCAAGGTATTTATTAGAGCAACAGTCATTTATGCTAGAACACCAAGACTCCAATAACTACTTGAGGCTACTGAAATGACACTGGTTCTGTGTTTAATATTTTATATTAAGTGCTTTGTGAAATGAGATCTTATGCTGAAGATCATTATTAGGTTGCTTAGCTAGAGGAAACAATCAAAACCTGTTATCACTGTATGAGGTAGCATAATGGGTGATTTATTGTTCCTGTAGAAAATGTAGATTATTGTTGCATAAGTGCTGACACGTCATTTGGCTTTACTACAGCACTAGAGACTGCACTGCACTGAAAGCATTTGTCTTTTTACATTACTTTATATGAGCTGTGGGAAAGTTGTCATTTGGACCTATTTAACTTTGGATCTACTGCTTATACTGAAAAATGAACATTTTTCATAAACTTCAAGTTTGATGTTTACTGAAGAAGAATATCGGCATGAAAGAATGGGTCTGGCAAGTTGTGACTGCACAAATGTTGAGGTTTTCATTTTGTTTTGAACTTGTACAGCAACAGATACCAGTTGGTATATTTTATATACCTTAACCACAAGACTGAATACTGTTTCTCGTATCTGTTTGGGAATCATGGAAATTCAGAAAGAGGAGCTTGTTCTTGAAGTTAGTATATCTATATGCATTTTTAAAACATTTTGTAGTAGTCTGTATTATTTATTAGGAAAACTTTATTAAGAAAATTTTGATAGTTACACCAAATATTGGTAAAATGTAAAATGTTTGGGATCCCGAGTTGTGCTGTTTAGTATGCCAAAAGAGTTTGACATTTTTCAGGCACTTTTTCGCCTTTTTCATTGACTCAGTATTGTGTTATATTTTGCTTTTAGAAATATCAGTTTTAAAAACTCTGTATTTGAAGAGGAAGTAGGTGTTTTAGAAATCTTAGCACTAAATTCAATAAATTTTACAAATTTTGTCTTGTGTTCATTAGGATAGAGTTGATAGTCTGCATGTGGTAAAGTCAGAAAGGAAAAGCAGCATGAGATAGTGAATATTTGATCTTGTAAATTGCCATTATATTGAATTTGTTCATTGTATGTCTGCTTTCTGTAGAATCAGTTGTGTTGCTTTGAATATACAGTAATTAGATAAATTCAGGTTCAGAACCTAAATCTATATAAACATGTCTTTGGTTTAGAATTTGTGGATAGACTTCTTAATCTTTATTTTAATGAACAGAAAATAGTTATTTGATATCTCAGGACAAAAGTGGTAAAACTTGTATTCAGGATAAACAACCATACATCTTGTTAAAATAAGTTGACTACGTTAGGGTCAATACTTCGTAACACTTGAATAATTAACTTAAATATTAAATTCTTACTGGCTTAAATTTTAATCTTCAAATTGAACTAAAATGTTCTGGACATATGAACATTATAAAGAAGGATTCTAACAATGTACAGTAGTGCCTATGTATATATACATTACCTAAGTACACATTTAGGGAAAAAAAACTCAATAGAGATAATGGCAAAGTTCCCAAAACCATATTCTGCTTGCCTTATGCCCCAAATTCACAATGTCTTAGAAAATCATTTTTATAATTCCTGTATCTTCCTATGTTCTTATTCCTAAGAATAAGCTTGATATCCTTTTTAGTACTTTGTTAATTTAAAATATGCACATGCAAACAAATTTCCAGTAAAATGGTTCCTATTCCTTTTTTGTTTAGTTTTATTCAGATGAACAGTTTACCTCATAATTCTATCAAGCCCTTATTTTTCAGATGACTTTTAATCTAGGCTGAGTCTATGCAAGTTTTCACACACTCAGAAATAGTTCTTCTTTAAAACAGAGTAAAGAAAATAAAAAAATGGAAATCCTCTCATCTGTTCTTCCCCCAGTGTATAAGATGATAGTAGATTCTAATTATTCCCGAGTACAAAAACTGTATGATTTTAGTCCCAGATACAATGAAAAGCTGTATAGTTCTATCCTTCCCTCAACTGATAACAATTTCTGGTATGGGTCTCTTTCTGCTCAATCCAAATACAGATTTTCAGAATGCTACAACTACAATTAGATCTATTTTTTTAAATGACATTGAGATATCCATCTGTTCGACATTTCTTTTGTCAAACACATTTAAAACTGAATTGTTTGACTCTTTTTTTATTAAAAGTTTTACAAATTTAATACAATATAACCCAAACCCCTCCCACCCCTTCTCCCCTCCCTCACTTCCCAGAGCTGATTACAGGGTAACAAATAAACAATCATAATCTAACTAACATTACCCGCCTGTACTATCAATCAAGCCATAACATACTTTAACTCCTTTTCAAAACAAATATTAACAAATTAAAAACAAAAATAATATAGTTAAACCATAACACTAAAAATAATATAAATTCAATCATATTAAACTATTAATAATAACCTAAAATCTACTCATAAGCAAGATAATACTTTTCAGTCTCATATTTCTTTTGAATATAATCAATCCATCTTCTCCAGACCGAAATGTATTTTTCTTGTGAATGGTCCTTCAAATAAGCAGAAATTTTCGCCATTTCAGCTAAGTTAGACACCTTAAGTATCCATTCTTCCATAGTAGGCAAAGAATTTTTTTTCCAATATTGTCCCACCAATAATCTTGCAGCTATTATAAGATTCAGCATCAAATTAATTTCTTTGACATCAAAATCAACCATAATACCCAACAAAAATAATTGCGGAGTAAACTTTATCTTTCTCTTAAAAATCTTTTGAATATTCCACCAAATCTTAATCCAAAAAGCTGTTATATCTCTACAAGTCCACCAAATATGAAAATAGGTTGCATCTAGGCTTCCACATCTCCAACATTTGGGCTGTAAATTAGGATACATGCGGGACAACTTTTGGGGCTCCAAATGCCATCTATAAAACATTTTTAAAAATTTTCTCTTAAATTTTGCGCTTGGGTAAATTTTACATTTCTAACCCAAATTGTCTCCCATGTATCCAATAAAATCGGTTCTTGAATATTTTGAGCCCATTTAACCATATAATCTTTAACTAACTCCATTTCAGAATCTAATTCTATTAAAACATTATAAATTCTCTTTATTTGGGCTCGAGTTTGATCTTTAATCTGTTTTACCAAATTCACATCCTCTAAGGTAATACCAACCTTTTGATCTAGACTCCGCCTCACTAACAATTGATTATACTGAAACCAAGAGTATACAATATTTTCTTGCTTCAGCTCAGTTAAAGACTTTAGTTGCCAATCCTTCCCTACCAAACTAAGTAATTCCTTATAAGAAATCCTATCCAAATTCACACCCCTAGATATTCCCTCTATCGCGTGTCCAGGAATTCCCCAAATTGGAATTTTATAATTTAACCTATAACCTTCCAGACACGCAACAAAGAATTTCTCAAGATATGGGATTTAAAAACCTGATCCACTTTTTTATCATAAATTAAATAGGCATGCCATCCATATACTAAATCCCATCCCTCAAGAGAAAGGATATTTTTATTTGTTAAATTGAGCCAATCACTAATCAGTGTTAAAGCCACCGCGTCATAGTACAATTTTAAATTAGGCGCCTTAAGTCCTCCTCTTTCCCGTACACCTAATCTACAATTAGATCTATTTTTTAAATGACATTGAGATATCCATCTGTTCAACATTTCTTTTGTCAAACACATTTAAAACTGAATTGTTTGACTCTTATTCAAGACAAGTAAGAACTTTTTATAGAGTAAAAGTGTCTTTTGTGAATTGTTTTAAAAGAACTTGGCTTTCGTTTAGGCTTATTTATTATCTTTCTGCCCCAGTAAAACTGTTTAAAGCTACAAGAAAAATAGAACAATTACTGTATTAACGTCTGATAAAACAGTCACTCTAACATCTTTAGTCCCTCTGAGACTAAAATACCTTGGCTAAAGAAGAAAGTCTGGTTTTCCTTTTCTGAAAACAGAAAATGAAAAAAAAATCTTATTAAAATTCCTAAGGAATTGCATAGCTTGGGGCGAGCAAAAGGAAGGGCCTTTTCTCGTATGCCTAATAAATGGTATTTGGAAGTGCTTATATCTTTAAGAGAATGTCTCCTACTGTCCTTCTTGGACGGGTTCTTATTAAGTTATGCCCCAGCAATTTTGGATTTGAAAATTAGAACATCTTATTGTATTTCAGAGAAAAGTTGGCTACCCTCAGGTCTATAAATATGGGCACAGTCTGGTCCTAATAGCATGCATCAATTAGCAGCCTGAATACAGGATTTTAAAATATGTCCTGCAATGGAGCTAATTATAGCTGTTGCCCTGTAGCCATGCAACTTACATTGGCTCCAGAAGACTTGCAATGGATGCATTAACATGATGGAGCAAGTGCCTTCCTTGCCTCTATGACTACCTGGGAATCTATAAACAGATAAGAGATCAGGAAGCACTATGCACATTCTCTTTCAGGGAAAATGTAACCCATCCATAATGTCCAGAACTTCCGACTGATCAACAATACTTTGGGCTTAGTTCATTTCCTTACAGCTAGTTGATTACTGAATATAGGCAGCAGTCCTGCTGAATCTATTTCCTTAGAGTTAGACGCAGTAGACTCAAGACTTCTTCCAGCAGTATCATGCAGCAGTTTGGGACAAGATGGAAGGGTGTGGGATGTCACTGGCTTAGACTTGAACAGTGGTCTACCCATATCAGAGATATGCAGTATATGGAACCCAACGTGGGCATGATGTTTTAAGACAGTGGTTCTCAACCTTTCTAATGCCACGACCCCATAATACAGTTCCCCATGTTGTGGTGACCCCCAACCACTTATACATTACTGGGTGCCAGGCGCATGGCCAAAGAAAAGGGGAAAAAATGGCGGACAGCCTTGTTTGGCGACCCCCGTGAAATGGTCGTTCGACCCCAAATGAGGTCCCAACCCACAGGTTGAGAACCACTGTTTTAAGATCTGCATTAGCATCTCTCTGTTGAGTGTTCAAAGAAGCCACAGCTTTTACGCAGCTCAGGAAAACGTCTGTTTGAAATAGGGAGGCATTGAAGAGAGGATGTGATCCTGTTCTGCCATGTTTTTGCTCCTATTTATTCAAATGTGTATTTTTTTTCTGAGCCTGTGAGACTAACTACCTTTTGCTTTATATATATGGAGTTTCCATTTAGATCTTAGTGCTTGCAGTCTGATCTTAACTGGAAACCAAAATATTTACCCTAGTGCAGAGATAGGCAACCTTGGCTCTTTTATGACTCGTGGACATCAACTCCCAGAATTCCTGAGCCAGCTGGCTCAGGAATTCTGGGAGTTGATGTCCACGAGTCATAAAAGAGCCAATGTTGCCTACCCCTGCCCTAGTGCTATAAGGGGTGGGCGAAACAAACATATGTGTCTTCTTGATAGATGGGTGGTTATACACATTTGTTTTTAATAAATGCATAAATAAATAAAAACTTAATTTTCAATAGTTTCCCTCAGCACCAGAGCCACCTTCAAAACTGTGTTCCTTCTTTCCTGAAGTGAAACTGGTTAGTTTAGATTCTGTGGTATTTAGCAACCACCAGACACATTTAGCTAGAGTAAACAAAATGTTCAGAGAGCACAAATGATTTTGCTGATAATTTCTTCAAAGGATGATTTTTTTTTCTTTTTCCTGTTTTTTTCCCCACCTCCCACATTGTTACCAGAAGTTTTTTTCCTGCTTGCTTTTCCACCTTAACAGGTCAGAGGGAGATATGACATTTTAGGTAAGCATTATAGGTTTTTATTTCTTTTCCTGAGCAAATAGTACTGAGAGGACTAGTAGCACTCTAACTCCTTCAGAGCAAGCTGCTTTCATTTTCCTTTAGGAGTGGCAGGATTTTGCTCTGGCAAAAATCAAATGGTATCTTTGAAGTTTAGGCGCAAACAATATGGATAGAATAGGTTACAGATAACTTCCCCAAAGCTGTGAATTATCCTCCTCACTTTTCTTTAAAGATCACAAATCAGCACTATCTGCATTTGTTCAGGCATTGCATAGAACTATCAAGAAAAGATAACCAATCATTAACACTCAGAAAACAAATGTTCATCATATTTAATGATAGTGTGTTTATTTGGTTTAGGCTTCAATACAGTTCCATACACCATAGTTAAAAAGCCAACACAGCACTAGGCTGCATTAACAGAGAGATAGAATCAAGATCAGGTGAAGTGTTAATTATCACTTTATAACGTCTTGATAAGACCACACTTGGAATACTGCATCCAGTTTTGGTCACCACAATGTAAAAAAGATGTTTTTAGAAAAGAGTGTAGAGAAGAGCAACAAAGAGGATGAGAGGATGAGGATGGGTATGTCTGGTTTAATGAAGAGAAGGACTAGAAGTGACATGGTAGCAATCTTCCAATTATCTCAGGGGCTGCCACAAAGAAGAGGGAGTCAAGCTATTCTCCAAAGTACCTGAAGGCAGGACAAGAAGCAATGGATGGAAACTAATCAAAGAGAAGCAACCTAGAACTAAGGAAAAATTTCCTGTGTTAGAACAATTAATCAGTGGAACAACCTGCCTCCAGAAGTTGTGGATGCTCTAACACTGGAAGTTTTTAAGAAGAGACTGGACAACCATTTGTCTGAAATGGTATAGAGCTGTGGTAGCGAACCTATGGCACACATGCCACAGGCAGCACGTAGAGCCATCTCTGTAGGCATGTGCGCCATTGCCAATGATAGAGGGACGCCGGGCCGAGCTGCTCCCTTCCCCCTCTCCGTGCATGCGGAGTCTGGGAATAGGTGAGAGATCTGGGCGAGGGTGAGGCTATAAAAGGAGCAACTTTGGGCGGGAGCAGCATTTGGTGCAGACAGTGAGTGAGCGAACACGAGCTGACAGTGGTAAATTTCAGCGGCTGGCTACGCAGGGGAGGAGGAGGACGAGGGGCAGCCTTGTGTCTGAAGCTGCCTCGGCTAGCTGCTGGCGAAGAAAGGCGTGTAGTGGGGGGGCTGTCTGGTTTTTAAGCTGCCTCGGCCTCATGGGGCGATGGCAGTAACGATGGAGATGGCGAAGAAAGGTATGGAGGGGGGCGGGGCCTGTGCATGGGATAGAGAAGCAACACGGCGGTGCTAGCGTGGTAGGCCAGTTGCTTCCCTCCCCCTGCCAGACACCTGCCAAAGCCGCGCAGGGTAAGGTTGCCGGGCCCCCCCCTGCCCAGATGCCCTTGCCTCCCAAGCGTTTTTTTTTATTAACCTGCCTTTCAGCTGCATTCTATTTCTCCGTTCGCTTCTCAGCCTTAGCTGCGTGTTTGTGGGACTATTGGTTAAAAAAAAAAGTTTCATCAAACTTTCTAACTTCTCATGAGATCTCGCGAGAAGTTAGAAAGTCTGCTGGAACTTTTTTTTTTAACCGATAGTCCCACAAACATGAAGCGAAGGCTGAGAAGCAAACAAGAAATGAAATGTAGCTGAAAGGCAGGTTAGTAAAAAAAACGCTTGGGACAGGCAAGGGCATCTGGGCAGGGGTGGCCTGGCAACCTTACCCTGCATGGTAGTGGGAAGGTGAGGCACGTATCCTTCCCTTGGCAGGCCAGCCCCTGCAGCCTCGGGGCAGCCGTGCTAGGTGCTGGTGGGCAGAACATTGAAGTGGGGGCTGGCAGGCCGACCAAAGCAGCAGGTGGAGTGCCGGAGACTCAGGGAGGGAAGGTGCTGAAGCATGCAAAGAAACAAAGTTTTTTTGCGGAAAAAAAGGTCAATTCCAACTTCGCGATCTTTCATGAGAAGTTGGAATTGATTGATTGACCTCCCCCCCCAAAAAAACTTCCTTTGTCCTTGCAAGCGGTGACAGCGGATTGCAAAGGAGAAACTGGCCGTTTGTTGCCTCCTGCCCAATGCTCTGCCATGAGGCCACGGAACAAGTCCGACTTGTTCCGTGGCCTCATGGCAACGGTATTGGATGCAATGTTCGAGGTGATAAATGGCCACGTCCAGCAGCAAACAGCCACATCGTGCTGAAACCAGCCATTTGCTGCCTCGCACATTGCACCCAATGCCTCTGCCATAAGGCCGCAGAACAATCTGGGTGGAGGTTAGGAACCAGTATACCAGATCCCCCCTCCCCTACTTTGCCTGCTGCTGGGGGGCTGGCCCGGTATTCGCAGCAGGCTGCGTAGCCTCAGAGTGCCAGTCAAGGGGCCGGCAGGTTGTGGCTGCTGATGGACACAGTTGGCCCCCATGCGCTCGCTGTGTGCGGGGACCAATGGTGTCAGGCAGCAGCTACCCTGGCCCCTGCCTCACCTTGCCTTGCCCTGTGGCAATGGTACCCCTGCCCTGCCCCTTGCCTTGCCTCACTTCACCGAGCCTTCTGCCCACTGTCCCACCCGCCAGAGACCCCCTGGATCTCCCCTAACTCTGTCATGAGCAACATTGAGGTGGCCACGCCCACCCTGGCCACACCCACCCAGTCTGCCGTGACCACCACAGCCATGCCCAACCAATGGGCCACACGCACCCAATGTGCTACACCCACCTGGCACCCAATGATACATAAGTGGGTTTTGGGTTGCAGTTTGGGCACTCGGTCTCTAAAAGATTCGCCATCACTGGTATAGGGTTTCTTGCCTGAGCAGGGGGTTGGACTAGAAGACCTCCAAGGTCCCTTCCAACTATTCTTCTTCCTCCTCCTCCTCCTCCTCCTCATTATTATTATTATTATTATTATTATTATTATTATTATTATACCATTTAACATGACACATGAATCCAAACATTGTCAAGTCAAAAGGTTTCTGAGGAGGAAATTTTGACAGAATGATGGGAAAACAATTAAGAACATAGGACTTGTTATTAACAATCTGAGTAAATTTTCAAATTTCTGTCAATTGTTCCAAGTGAAGTATTTTAATAGCAACTTTTTAAAAATTATTTTACTGCGTAGCTCTTCTAATTTGTGAGGAGTCTCAGGAGCAGTATGGTATTTTGATCATTTCATTACCATAATAATAATAATTAAAGTTTGTACCGGTAATAATTGTAAAGTTGGCTGTATTATTAATGTTTTTAGGGCTAAATTGCAGAAAGAGTAATTCCTCAAGGAAACTGGTAACAGAGATCTTTTCCCAGTGCAACAAGTGGTCATGTTTTAGTAAGTTATCCTCACCCTTAAATAAACAATATATATATATAATATAATTCAATCCTAACTTTATCATGGAACATGTTTCAGTTCTCTTCTGTGACTTAATCCCAAATCATGCAAAAGCCACAGAGAGACAATACTTTTATTACAGCTAACAGAAATTCACAAAAATGTGAAAATTTTGAACGTTCTGGAACTTTTCAACAAGATAGTGAATACTGAAAAACTGGGACTGAAGTAGGCTGAAGTTTGATGTAACCATGGGGGTCTGCCTTGAGAAAACTGCCACCTAGTAGTAGACTAGCACACGTTTCAATGATCTGAAATTTAAGGGAAAGAGGAAGTACCCAATAATAAATTAATCTATAAGGAACGGCATAATTCAAATCATGCCATCCCAAATATCTCAGTAACTGCGTGCACACGCACACGCACACACAATATCACCCACACAAAGGAATGCAGAATTCTTTATTCTAAAATAACAGCAGCACATTGATTTCAGTCTGTGACATCATCTCAATTTATGACAGATTTTGTTCTCAAGGTTTTTTTTATGTTGTACAAAATGTCAGTCTACTCTACTGACACTGTATTTTTCTTATGAGTGATACAGGAGAGAGCAATATTCATCTTTTGATTAAGTTTTCAAAAAGGCAAAGCTCTTTTTTAGCTTTGAGAAATGATGCAAATGGTAGGTTCAGCTAAAAGTTTTAGTGAGAATTATGTGTATTATATCCAAGATCAGAACATTAGTCGAGATTGGATATCAGCAGGCCTTTTTTTTTGTCGTAGAACGCCCAGAACGGCACCTTTGTTGGATGGAACCTTGTAGGGTAGGCAAGGCGGGTTATATGACATGTGTGAGCTCTGGCACCTTTTTTTTTTTTTTTTACAGAAAAAGCACTTGTCTTGTTAGACAAGGAACTAACCCTTAGAAGTTGGTTTCTTAAAGCACTTGATTCTACAGATCTAGCAAGAAATCTCTAACTGATTGATATTAAAGGAAATCTACTCAGCATTCAAGACATTCCAGAGCTGATTTTTTTAAAATATAAAGAATGGTATAATTCAAATTAATGTAAATCAAATTAATTAATTAATAAAATAGTAAGAATACCACATTGCCTGATTGTCCTTCCAAATGTGGCCGGCCCTTCAGCCTTCCCATCTTATATGCTGGCCCTGCTTTCAACAGAGAATATAAGAAATCTTTACCATTAATTGTCTCTCTCTCTCTCTCTTCTATCTTTCTTTTCAGGAAGGTGATTGTCAAGCTATGTCTACCAACTTAAAATACCTTTCTTTGAGCATATTAGTCTTTCAGACAACTAGTTTGGTGTTGACTATGCGCTATTCTAGGACACTGAAAGAAGAAGGACCTCGCTATTTGTCTTCAACTGCAGTAGTCATTGCTGAACTTTTGAAAATTACGGCTTGCATTTTGTTGGTTTACAAAGACAGCAGTAAGTATTTCGGTATCATCTTTAGATATAAGGAGTTAATAAGACCCCTTCCCAGGAGTAAATCAAATGCATTTGGCCAAATAAGTATATTTCTTATGAAGCATACAAAGAGGACTTGGAAATTGTAGTTTGCTTTTTAAAAGATTTAGATAACTAACATAAACTTAAGCTACCTAAACTTGTAAATATTTACAGGCGGGGTACATGGGAGTATGGAGAGTAATTACCAGGAAGGGAAATTCAAATGTGATTCATCAGTGCCTTGAATGATATATAGTAATCAGTTGTTTTCTAGGAATTCATACTATAGGTCAGACGTGTCAAACTCATGACGTCATGTGATGTTGTGCAACGTATCGGGCCGATTTTGCCATTGCCGGCAATGGGGTGCACGTGGCGTCCATGTGACGTGTCCGCCCTGCAGGCCGGCAGTTTGACACCCCTGCTATAGGTGGTCCCCGACTTAACAACCGTTTGCTTAATGACATTAAGCATCACACACACACACACACACACACACACACACACACACACAGAGACTGCAATGATAGGATTGCAGCTCAGGGATCTGGCAACCAGCTTGCATTTATAACCTGTTTCAGTGTCCTGTAGTCACATGATCACAAATTCTGACAGTTTCTGGCAAACGCCATTGGGGAAAGTGAATTTGCTCTTAAATTGCATGATTCAATTCACAATCTCAATGAGTCAACTTATGATTACAGTAAAAACGGTTGTGAAATCAGATCTGGTCACATGGTGACTCGACTTAGCTACCGTAATGAGTTATGATCAAAATTCCAGTTCCAGTTGTAGTCATAAGTTGAGGACTACCTGTATACTCTGTAGGTTATACTATGAAGGTAGAACTTAGCCACAGAAACGCAAGCCGACTTAACTAGATTTTGGTATAGCTGTGTCTGCCCTTGTTCATTATTTGAGAAAATAAAAATAGTGACATGAAGGGGAGGAATCTAGGTGCTTCACACATTTAAAATATGCCGCTTAGAAATTGCATGTTCCACACAAAAACATTAAAAGGTTTAGCTGCAAAAGGTTTAAAACTGATAGGTTTCCTTTTAACCAAAAAATTATAATGCATTTTTTCTCTTTGCATAGAGTGCAGCTTGCGAACTCTGAACAGAGTGTTACATGACGAAATTCTTAACAAACCAATGGAAACACTTAAACTTGCTATTCCTTCTGGGATTTACACTCTACAGAATAACCTGCTCTATGTTGCTTTATCAAATCTAGATGCAGCCACTTACCAGGTACTTTATTTTGATAGTATCTTATTGTTAAAACTTAGGAATCAAATTATGGGCTATTTAATTTTTTTTCTTTTACCTTTTTAGGTCACATATCAGCTGAAAATCCTCACAACTGCATTATTTTCTGTGTCGATGCTCAGTAAGAAATTAGGTGTATATCAATGGCTTTCATTAGTGATTCTGATGGCTGGTGTTGCATTTGTACAGGTAAATATTGTTATGAATATATATCTTAATGTTGGTAGGGAAAATCTTCTTAATTTGTTGTGGTAACGGAAACTTGGTTAATGTCTCACAACTCTTATACTGCATTCAAATAGGATTTGGCTCCCCTCTAGCATACCTGCTATCATGAAAAAGAGATATTTTCACAAAGTTAGATTATCTGAAGATAACTATCCTATCTTTCTTCAGTGGTATTTCTTTTGCAGACTAAACTTATAGATATTAGTTTTCTGATCTCTGCACTATCTTGGTAGACTTCTTCTGAAGTTACTCCAGTTTGTCACTTCTTTTTTAGGCTGTGATGTGCAGAACTGAACATAGTATTGTAAATGTAGAATGAGATAGTTATTTTCAAACTTCTGTTAGTAAACCCCTAAATAAATTTGCTTTTTAGAAGTTGCATCGTGCTGTTGGATCATGTTCAACTTGAATACCTGGATATTTTTCACATATACTACTGCCAAGCCAGTTTTTCTTATCCTGTTCTTGTGCCTTTCTTTTTTTCTTCCCCAAAATAAGGCTTTACATGTTAAATTTGTTTGTTAATGTTATACACCACCTATACTTGAGGTGTGAAGAGAATTACCTCTTCTATACATAGTATTACTTTAGATCTACCATTTAAATGTTTATTTAGTAAGTCTAAATAATAGAACATACAAATTCACAACATAAATTTATTGTTATCACTAGTTGAATAAGATTAGAAGACAGACTGGTAATTCTTAAAATTCTATTGCATATTATTTTGAATTGACCTAAGAAGAGTATTGCTTCAACTTGGTTTTATATTCAAAACTCAACAGATTTCTTTTGTTGGTACAGTTTTTTTTTCAGTATGTAGTGACTAGCTGCTTGTATAGATTAATCACATGTTTGAATGAATAGCCATCAACTGATGTGTCTGACTTGACCGAAGCTGTGAAATTTGTATGTGAACTGGTTCTAAAGGAGACCATTATATGAAATGTTATTAGTGTGTTACTGCTTTTTTTTTCACTTCTTTCTTGTTAATTTTATTCAATAATTTAAATATATTTTAATATATTACTTTATTTCTCTTAGTGGCCATCAGATTTGCAGACAACAACAACTAAAGAACTTTCAGCAGGATCACAGCTTGTGGGCTTGGTAGCAGTACTTATAGCCTGCTTTTCTAGTGGATTTGCTGGAGTGTACTTTGAAAAAATTTTGAAAGAAACAAAACAATCAGTATGGATTAGAAATATTCAGCTTGGTGAGTCTTACTTTAAAAAAATGTAAAAGATTCAGATATGCATCAGACTACACTTAAGAGTACGTCAACCTGTTAAGTGTAGAGAAATGGTTACGAAAGCTGTGCTCTGTTTGATATTAACTTTTAGCAAATAGGAACTCTATTACTTACATCCTGTTCTGAATATTGATTACCTGAGTCAGCTTCTGTTTGATTTCTGCAAATATTTAGTGGATGATAAAGGCAATGGCTAGGATCCAAATTACAGTGCAATTAATACCATGATACAAAGAAAGTAATTTTTTTTAAAAAAAAGTTGTCTCGTTCTTGCTGTATGACAAACTCCTTTTTGAAACTTCAAATATATTTTTATGAATTTGGTATGGTGGAGGTTCTGTTATCAAAGCAAAAGTGTTATATGTCTCCCTTCACACAGTTGTAGCTTATGTGTTACATGAGAACCGATTAAACTGAATGTTGCCATCTTTCTATAGCCATTATCACAGGCATCTGCAGCAAACCAAGATTACATCAAAATTGCATGTAGTGATGTCATGATGCATAATCCACCCTTACGTACTTGTGTCCTGTCATCTGATGCAAGTATGTAAGTCAGTTTTTGGGTCATGATGCATGTTTTGTCACCTTGCCCACTCTGCGAACCCCAGTGGCACCCTTCTTTTTAAGAAGCCAAAAAAATGGAAATATGTATATCAACAAATGTGTATTTAAGAACATTTTAATTCAAAGACATTTTTGTTTGTCTAGAAGTCTAGCATTAAAAATAATCATAGCAGTATTTTTAACTAAAGATGAAAACAAATGAGTATTTTCTCCCAGTAAGTGGATATAGGGATATAGACTGCTGTTTTTTTAAAGAGAAAAGGCCTAAATAAGTACTAAGTACCTGCATTTTACATACTGTATGCCTATATAAAAAGTACTATGATCCAAAGAGTGCCTATTAAAAAAGTAGCTCTCATAACTCCTCGTAAGTCATAAAGTGAATTTAAAATTGCAGTTGAGTGTGCTTATATTGTGAAAGTCCTAGATTAACTGTATCCATCTTTATTACATTTGCTAATTGCCTCTATTAAAATGTACAATGTAGTGCTCAGTATTTTAATACGTAATTCAAAGTTGTAATATGGATCACAACCCAAAGAGCAACAATAAAATGTAATAACAGAAATGATAGTAATTTAAAAGTGTAGAAAAGTAGAGTACAGGTTTGCCCTTAGCTGACAAACACAACTAGGGCCTGAATTTTGGTTGCTAAGTGATGTGGTCATTAAATGAGCCATCACGTGACCAAACCTGATTATACTATCATTTTTTTTACTGTGAGAGATGAATCCCATGGTCCTTAAGTGAATCATGCAGTCATTAAGCAAATCTAACTTCCCCAATTGACGTTGCTTGTCAGAAGCCTGCTAAAAAGATTGTAAATGACGGTCACGTGACTGCAAGGTGCTGCAGTCATTACAAATGTGCCAGTTGCCTAGTTCCCGAATTGAACTGATGTGAGCTTGATTGTAAGTGAACTTTTTATGAGGCCATCGCAGCTTTAAGCTACCATTAAACGGTCATACGTCGAGGGCTACCTGTATCATTTTTAATATATAGGCAGTCCTCATGTTTTTGATATATTATACAGGTAGACCACAAGTTATTACAGCATTTGGGATCAGAACTCCCATCACTCAGTGTGATGTCGCCTGACCACATTGCTTAGAGATGCAATCCCTGCAGACCCCTGTTGTCGTTAAGTAAGCCCCTTCTCACAACTTCCTGCTGGCTTCCAACGACCAAAGTCAGTGGGGAAGCCGGCAGGAAATTGCAAGACCCAGCTGGCTCACAAACAGGCTGCAGGTAGGCAAGTGGCTGCTTCTGGATAGAAAAGGGAACAAGGGGGCACGCTGATGAGGCATGGCATGAACTCAGCGAAGCTCAGGGATGGTCCACGGGTGGTGGGGGAGGTGCCGTGCCAGCACAGCCAGACTCGAGAAGGGGGGGTGCGATGGTGAGGAAGTCGTGGCGCAAGTGCAGCAGGGCTTGAAGCGGTTGCTGCCAGCTGGGGGAGAGTGTGCAAGGTGCACGAGTGGCGGTGAAGCCTAGAGCAAGCTCAGCAAGATTTGGAGAGAATGCATGAAGGTGTGTGTGAGTGGTGGGAAAGGTACAGCACAGTTGTTAAAGGGGGTTGGAGGAGGGTGCAAGGGTGGGAGAGATTATCTGAACAATTTGTAACCTGGGTTCCTCATTGATTTTGCCTGTGGGGAGTGAAAGGTTGCAAATCACAATCAAAGTGACAGTGCAACCATTGTTAAGTGTGAGCCAGTTGCCAAGTACCCATATCACCATCACATGACTGCAGGGATTCTGAGAAGGCTGGTCTTTAAGGACTGGTTGTAACGTCAACAGTCGCAGGACAAGTGGTCATTAACTGAGGACTACCTGTAATAATAAGATGGGCTGATAGAATTTCCCGAAAGAAAGCCTAACTCTCTTGGGATGGGGTTAACCTGGTTTCTATAAAATTTCATTTCATGTAGATGTGAAATCAAAGAGTTTTCCGGTAGACCTTAAAAACGAGGAGGTTAATATTACTACTGTACGGTACTTACCATATTTAAAAAGTATAAGCAGCCCTTTTCTGCCCCACAGTGGTTTACAGATGCAACTGCATGTAATAGTGGTTTATGCACATTTTTGCTGTGATAAGCTGTACATAAAACTGATTCCAAGTAATTAAGATAACCCTTTAAAAATGCAAAGTATTGCAGTAAAATAGAAAACCTAGTTTTAGAACAGTAATAGTTTTTAAAAGAAACAGCTTCTAAGTCCAGCAGATAATCATTGGCATGTCTGAATAAGTAAGTATTCAAAACTTCAGCGTATAACTCTTTCTCACACATGCTTGATACAAGCCATGTAGGTCCTTTACATGTGTAATAGAGGCCATCAAGTGACTCCTTGTAACACAACAAATAGCATTTATGGGGCGCTGCCTTGAAATCATCAGCTTTTACGGTCAAAAGTTAGGGTGTCATCACCATTCTTTGATATCTTCTGATATACTGCACAAAATAGTAACTAATATTTAAATATACTAGGAGAGGTTTCCACTTGCATCTGAATTATTGGAGTACATAATCCAAATTGTTAACGGGTACCATAAAAGAACAATCGGAATTTCTTTTCTGTTCAACTCACCATGGCTCAATATTTGTCTTGACTTTCAGGATTTTTTGGTAGTATATTTGGATTGATGGGCGTATACATTTATGATGGAGAACTTGTATCAAAGAATGGATTTTTTCAAGGTTATAACAAGCTTACTTGGATAGTTGTAGTTCTTCAGGTAATACATCCAATATTACATTTTATCAATTGGGCTTATGTTATATACCAATACTGAAATTACCATTGTGCATTACGCATTGAGGCATATGCTTGATTTGTTCAACTAATACTTTAAAAAAAATATCAATCTATTCAACAAGGCAAAGGAAAACATACTGACATGGCTTGGGGAGTTTTCTTCAACTCCTTAACAACACTTCCTAGGTCACATAACGAGGCACAGAAGGTCTTAAATAAGGGAGCATGCAGATTCTGGTTTCTGGAATGTTCTACAGCCCCGTTAACCAGCACTGGTCATAGGATCTGTCTGTTTTTTTAATGTAATGAAGTAATTGTTGTGTGACTCTGTTTTGTCTTACCCTCGCGAATGTCTCCATGTGTTAATATGTTTGTATATATGCATTGGGAAGCACAGAGCAGGCTGCACATGTTCCACTCTAAGTCATGTGACCAGAGGCGGGGCTTAGAATAGCGCTCTCAGTAGCGTAGCATTCTGAGTAATTGACCAACTGCCTCTCCTAAAATACCTGAGATATTTTTTTTTACTGAAATGTTTTTCTCCATTTTCAAACCCAGTCTTTTTTTTTTTTTTTTTGCTAGTTTCTCCCACCATACCAAAATTGAACTTGTTCTGTTCAATTTTTGGAAGCTTATCCCAAGGACAAAGTGTCAATATTCCACTGGGGTGGAAAGAATAAAAAAATTGTCCCCGTTAATCAGACACATTAATTTTTAATGAATTGTTTTATTATAAGTACTTCCAAGGTAAGTCCCCTGCCCTCACCATTAATTATGAATGCCAGTTATTTGAAAAATGACTTTCTCTTTTGTGATAACCAGAAATTGAATTGACAGGAAATGTTTAAGTTCCCCTCATTTAGTTAGAGAATAAGACTTAAGAATAAGGACAGTTTAACACGCTTATTGTTAATTAAGAATTAATAAAATGCTCAGTATGGAAGCAACTTCTCACCAAAAGAAGAAGAGAGTAAGAATTGTAGATCTAATGGAGACTTTAAAACTTGCAAAATTTAGTTTTATTTTATGATACAATACTATTCATTTTAATATTATATAATTACTTTAGTAAGATGTGCTTAGCATAAATCATCCAGAATCAATTATATATTTAAATTAATTAAAAATATTAAAATTGGGAAATTGTTTTACATTAAACATTGCAGGTAATCCTCACTATTTATTTAGCAACCATTCTAAGTTATGACAGTAGTAAAAAAAATAAACTTTGGGGCTCATTTACAATTGTATTTAAGACTCATTTATGACTGTATTTTCAGGCTGGCAGCACAGTTTCATTGCTTTTCATGTGTAAAAGAGCAAATCTCTCTCCAATCTCTCTACTCTGGAGGTATGGAAGGCAAATAAAAGTACGCAATTTCTGTAGGCAATCTATTCTTTGCCTGCCCCCATCCCACAAGACAGAGAGATTTGCCCTTCTACACATTGAGAGCAGAGTGATTGTGCTGGCGACTGGAAAGGGTCTTGCTTCTCCCCTCTGCAGAGCAGAAAGATTGGAGACAAAAGGATTTCAAGAGAGTAACTGTATACCTATAGCACACCCACAGCTCCCAGCCTCAGGTTATGGCATGATTGCATTGCTATCAATGTGTACAAGAAAGTAATCGGGCACTCTAGCATTGCAAAGAATGAGGGAAACAAAAGTTAGTCTTGTCCCAGCTGGAGAACACAGTTGCAGTGACATGATTTTCCCAATTAGCAACTGCTTTGCTGAGTGATGGAGATCCCAATCTCAATTAGGGTCATTAGTGAAGACTAGCTGCAATATAGTACTTATAAAATTTAGGGCTTTCAGGATTCATTCAGAAAGACAAAGTATAACTTTCCCTTCAGGATTTCTTTGCTAAATATGCATAGCAAGCTTTATCTGTTTAACCATTAAGATTAATAAAGTGATTACTACATTTTCAATGTTTTGTCAGGCACTTGGTGGCCTTGTTATAGCAGCTGTTATAAAATATGCAGACAATATTTTAAAAGGATTTGCAACATCGTTATCGATTATATTATCAACATTAATATCATACTTCTGGCTTCAAGATTTTGTCCCCACAAGGTAAGTTGTATTTTTAAGTTTGACTTTAAAAGCACAAATGCCTTGTACAAGTATAAATGAAATATAATTTAAACCGAATTTAAATGCTTTGGTGAGTTTATAAACTAAATATTTTGCACCATAACAGAGAAACTATCCTTTGTGGAGCAATATTGCACATGTCAACTCAAACATAAATCAGTTCAGCTCAATGAGGTACATTTACTCAAATAACGGTATATAAGGAAAGAAGTTTAATAATGCATGTTTTTCTTTCGACTTTCACCCACAAACTTTAGTAACTTGCATTTTGCCACCAGATTTTGATGGTATAACATGGGGGCAGGATGGTTATCTGGAAAATGTCTTGAAAGAAAAATACAATATGTGGGTTGCCCACTTTTGTCTACAAAATATTGGGCTCAATCAGTTGTTTCAGAATAAGGCAGCTTTTTAAGTAAGTGCGGCTGAATAGAAATTAATTTGGATATTTCGATTCTATCAGTGCATTTGCATTCAAACGGAAAAATAAAATGTTACAGCAGACTCCTTAAAGGCTATTTAACTTTAACCTGAAGTTACAAGTGCTGCAGCATCTCTCTAGCTGTTTGCCCTTGATTGGCCACAGGCACTCTGCAGTTCCTCCTGCCTGTCTAACCCCCCCAACATCCCACCTGGGGTCATAGATCAAGAAGTACCTGTACTTGCTTTTTGAAGTTAGTTCTAACGTTGCCACAATTTTGAATCATACAAGCTATATCATCTAAACTTCAGAAAGTATGTGATCGTGTTTCTTCTCTTCGTTCTAATTTTTGTTCCTTTGCAGATCCTTTCAGGGGCTAGGCTGCGATGTGCAAAACTTAGAAATGTACTTTTTAAAAAAAAATGTAAAAGGGAAAAATATGTTACAGATAGGCTTCAACTTACAACTGGTTGTTTAGCAACTGTTCAAAGTTACAAAGGACCTCCCAAAAGGCACTTATGATCCAATTTTGAAGTTACAATGGCCACACACACACACACACACACACACACACACACACCATGGTCATGTGACTGGATTTGGGCATTTGGCAACCACCTCATCTTTATGGCTGTTTGCAGTGTACCACAGTCACATGGATATCCATTTCTATGTTTTTTGCATTTCTAGCATTTACTTCTGGTTTCTGATGAACACTCATTGGGTATAATTGCTTCACTTTATGACTATGGTATTCACTGGGAAGTAAAAACAGTTTTTGGTGGGGTCCAGAAGAGGTGAGGGTAGGTTCAAATCTGCTGGCTTTCTGGAGGCTTATAATAGAGCAAAGTGTGGTAAATGGTTACATGATGCTTGACTAAATGCTCTCTCTGTATTTTTTTTCACCATTTTATTGTTACCTTTTTAATTCATTCCACTTGTAGTTTTAATTGATTTTATCTATTTATAGATTTTTTTATTGTGTCATTATGCAAGATGGGCAGCTATATAAATGAGAGAGGTATGAGAGAGAGAGAGAGATGATAGGTATAGACAGAATACCCATTTTATGAATGTACAAAACATCAAAACATGTATTCTAAATATTTGTTCTCTTTCTTTTATCTTTAGTGTGTTTTTTCTTGGAGCTGTTCTGGTAATAGTTGCTACTTTTTTATATGGTTATGATCCAAAGCCAACAGGAAATCCTACTAAAGCATAACAGACTTTTCCATGTCACAGTATTTTGCCAATATTGTGGAAAAAGGACTTCTAAATACTGTTGGAGGATTATCAGGCACTGAAAGAGTTTGTACTGTATCAGAAGAATGATGTTTAATAATTAAATTTGTAAAACAACTTCTGTAAAAGAAGGGAAGTCCAGAGCAAAACTTGAATGTCTTGCTTCTAGAATCTGGAACTAGAAGTGCTTCCAATTTGAACTTTGAGGTTAAATCCAAATGATGTACTATTTTCACAGCTGCAGGAATGTCCTATACATTCTTCTTGCAAGAACACCTGGCAACATCTGTTAAATCATACCTCTTTTGCAAGTTATTTCATCTTTTCTAATTTTATATGAATGCAGATCTGTATATACACACACACATACACACAACAAATTAGAAATCAAAGAGGTGTAAAATTTTATCCTACAGTAGTTTTTTCCATACCGATGTCCTCTGGGTGTGTTGGAGTTTGGATTTTATAACCTACCAAACAATAAATTCACCAAGCTGGCTGGAAATTTATGGAATCAAAGTATAATATATCTTGAGGAAAATTTGTTTGGGGCAGAAGGTTTGATGATGATGTTTCTGGTAAGTATTCTTGTTCAAAACCAATGAAGTATCACTGAATCATTGTTTGTAGATTTATAATATTTTATATAGAAAATAATTAATTCACTGAAATTGATGTTGTAAAATGTACTGATGTAAATGTCTCGTTATAATTGTTGGTGAAGTCGCCAAGAGGAGGAATTTGATATTTTCATTTGGAAGCTTTGTGTGTATGAATGCCACAAATTATATTGTTGCACCATGCTCAGTTGTTAAAATGAGACCCCTCACCAATTAGAAGCAGCATAGCTACAGTATCTGGTACTTGTTCTACATTAGATGAATGTCATTGTACATTGCCATAACTGATAGAGTATGTGTTTTTTTGTTCAGAGAACAATTTCTTTACTTGATAAGAACATTCTTACAATTTATGGACCATTCATTTCATTGCTTAATATCTTAATCTGAAAATATTTTTAAACTGTATTTTTAAAAGTAGTCATATAACTCTATAAAAAGTATTAAGAGTTCCTTTTGGAGCCACAGTAGTATACTGTATTAATGTGTATATTGTGTACTATAATATAGAGCTTTAAAAGAAAATCTGGAAAACTTATTTAACTCAAGTGGCTCTGTCCAGTCTTGAAATTCCATTGTTAGAATACATGCTAATTGTATTTACCATTAAATGAAGAATGTTAATGTGCAATAAATATTAGGCATGAATTGTTCAGGTGTGTAAGCAGAAATGGCCATAAAGCCCAGTGGGACTCTCTCTACTCTTCATTGAATATAAAACTTGAAATAACTTCTAAGCTTCGGTCCAGGTAATTGCTTTTGATGCGGAAGAGCTTCACTGGCAGTGGGGCAATTCTTTACAGGGCTGTAGCCACACCCGTAGAGATGATATCCAGACTATTCTGGAATGTTGAAATATTTATATTCCAAGAACATAAGATAGCGATAGGTTCTGTGAAAGCGGTTTGTATACATTTGCTTGAATAATGGTAGTACATCATTGAAATCCTCATGGAAATTGCTGCTGAGAAATTATGATTGTAATCATGGAAGTCATACTGGCACTTTTGTCATCCTCCATGCAGATGTCTGGAACAGCTGAGCTGCCTTGAGGTGGAACTCTTTTATTTTTAACACATTGTAGACCAGTCTGTCCTAAATGCTTACAAAGTATATCACAATAAAATAACATCTACCCTGCATCTCCCTCTGACCCATACGCATCTATGGTTCTTCTGAAACTTAAAACTCATAGAAAATATAATTGCGTAATTAGACTAGGAATTTTATTTTTTTCCGGAACTTAGTTACACTAGAGGGGTTGTTTACGAATGAAAAGGAATTAAAATAGAGGTTTGTAACTCTTTTGCATTAGTTACATTTGGGATTATGCATTCACAATGTCACGGTTGTTTTGTTACGTAATGATCATGGAAGAAAGGCTTACTCCTTTGCAAGATGATTCCAATATTTTAAATCCATAAAAATTAAAGATGAGGCAAGGAGCCTAGTGTGTAGTAAATGTTTGTACATGTATAGATACTCGTAAGAACTACATACGGTCCCTCAGAGTTTAACTGATAATTGTGTGAGTGTGTAGGTGTGGGTGGTGGGTGGATGAAAGGGTAGATGAGAATTCTACACTACATTTCTATCAATGGAAGCAATTTGGAACGGAAGAAGGTGTATTCACTTTCCTTATCCATAATCCGAACTGCATCTTTAAAAGCCTTTGGAACTTCCAAAGTTCCAAAAAAGTGGATTTTGAAGTTAAAGATCAACTAAAAGAGTAAGAGGATATAGTACCATTTTGCTAGCATATTTTGTTTCCAATATAGAAATGATAAAGTGCAGCACAATTGCTGTCTAAAATAAATGAACAAATTTACAAATGACATACGCTTATAATAATAGCTCCACTAGTAATGGTTAGTGGTATAAGTAATTTATTATTCAAACAATACTGTTAAAAAAGAAATAAAATGTTTAAAATGGCAAGGAATTGTAAAATTATCCTAATGGCAGATAAAACTTCAATTATATATAACAGACTAGAAAAATGCTATGCAATTTTGAGGGATGTGTCAGTCAGGTTTTTTTATGGATTAACGAAATCCATGATTAGTGGGGTTTTTTTTAACGTTATCTGAAAATAAAAAATAAGTTTCTCAAACTGCAAGGAAAAAATATCTTAGTTAAGTACAAATTCCAAATATTAAATGCCTGATGAGCTGTGGGAGGACAATGGCCTTAAAGAATAATGTACACTTTGTATCAATAAACTGTTTAATTTTTTTGCGTTCTGTCTCAATCATTATAATTGGTTAAGACACCAGACTAGGAATCTGGAGACCAGGAAAGCCTGGGTGCCTTTGGGCCAGTCACTCTCAGTCCAACTCGGGGTTATTGATGTGGGGGAAATGGGAGGACGAGGGAGGAGTATTAGATTTGTTCACCACCTTGTACATTAACAAAGAGAAGTGTAAATGTAAAAAATTCTTAACATTTCTATAGGACAGTGTTTCCCAAACTTGACAATTTTAAGGCATGAGGACTTCAACTCCCAGAATTCCACAGCCAGCAACGCATGCCTTAAAATTGTCAAGTTTGGGAAACACTGCTATAGGAGCATCATAACTATTTTTTGGGGCATTCCATACCAATTGGCATTCCATACCAATACTGATATAGCCCTTGTGTAAGAAATAACTCCATCATTAGGCTGTCTTACTTTTCTGTGTATAGGTACCTGGTACCAAGAAATATCAGTCTCGCCGTAGCAAGGTAGTGTAACTGATAATACATGCCCATCAAATGTAAAAGTCTGATGCCATCCCATAGCAGCCAATTTCAGATGTCCTCAGTATTCAATCACTGACCTTATTAGACCAATCTGTAAATTCTACAATCAATCTACAACACAGTCAAGCCATTATTTAAAAACTGAACAAAACAAGTCACTAGTAACAAATGACATTGCCTTGCTTGGGTTCACGTAATTATGTGCTAATTCATATATTTATAAAAACTATTATTGTATCTGAACTCAGTCTTGGAAATGAGTATGCAAACTATAACATACAACTGATTAACTGAGAGCAGTTTCATAATATGAATATAGGTATGGTTTCTAATTAACACGAGGCATTATGTCAATATGAATGGAGAAGAGCAATAAGACTAAATAATAGCCAATTATTTAATTATTCCGTCATGCACATCAATATCAAATCTTGAGATGTATAGTTTTAGGCTAATAATTAAAGCCGTTCCTTACTGAACAAGTTATTGGATTCATTTTTGAATGGTAGCAGTCATTATAATGCATTATTACTTGTCATAATGGGGGCATTGCCTATTATAAATTCGAAGTTCCACAAGTTACCAGCAAGGCTAGCATCCACTAACCTAAAGGAATATGGAATCTAATGTTGCCTGAAGATTTAGCTTGAGAAGCCAAGAAAAAAACAAATGGAACATCAAACATATCCACTCAAGTTCTCACTCAAGACACAAATGATTAGACTCGAATTAGCTTACTTCAAAGCTAATGAGAAGACTGGAGATGTCTCGAAAATGATAGGAAAGGGGGAAGGAAAAAGAACAATCAGCAGCAAGGTGGATAGACTCAATTATAGTAACAATGAGCACACTGGAGAGCTGAAGTACCAAGTTAGGGACAGATTATCATGGAGAAAATTTACATGGTTGCAGGAGTCAATAATGACTTCAAGGCAAATCAATCAAGCGTAAAATACACATTCAGTTATAGAATGAGTTAGGATCGTAATGGAGCTGGCTCATCATGGTCATAACTCACAACAGTCATAAATTGGTTACCCACATGACCAACTTGATCTTACCTTTTTTGCAGTTTCATTTGGCTATGAAAAAAACCCCAATTTTTGATCCAGACTTACAAAAGGACCTAAGCTTTACTACAAAAAACTGTTATTCAGGCATGCTAGGGAGACCATTCACTACAATTAAATGCCTTACTGTTTTACAGCCAACACACAAAAGAATCTTTACATTGGTGAGATTCAGTGTATTTCAACTCTTTGATGAGGGAGATTCAACAGTACATCATCTATCTCCATATCCTTTGCAGGAAAATAAATCAGTAACACACACCCTTCTTAGTTGCTCCTTTTATTCAGATTTTCATAAAAACTGTTAATAACCAATAGCAAAGCAGCTACCAATCTTAACTTCCCTTCCCCCTTTTTGAAAGACACTTCAGAAATGACTTCGAAGCAGTGGCCAAATTCTGCTCTATCATCGTTGCTATTTGTCAAGAGTAGTTTTGTTTCCTTTTTAGAGTCTCAGGAGAGAATTGGAAAACAACTGTCATTTTACAAGATTAAGTTACAATAATTGATACTTGTATTATATTTATTCATTTATGGCTACTTGTTACACTTCAATGACTTAAAATGGTTAGTCTCCATTGAATTAAAATTTAATTCTAGTATTTGATAATTTAATAATTCCAGTAATGTGGAAAGTAGCTGTATATTTTAGAGATATTTTAAACTTAACTTTGATAATGGGTCATGTTGTACTTCATTATCCTAATTATTAATTTATCTTGAATCAATTTTGGTCATCTTTGTCAAATAAAAAAAGAAAAGGATTGGAGGTGCATGTGAGCATGTGGAATCATAGCTCCAATTTACATTTTTGTGAAGCACTGGTGTGTCATTAATCACAGAATATGACTGGTTGGAGGAAATGGAAACTGAGCTCCAAGCGCCTGGAGGGCAAGCATTAGATTGCCTATTGCTGTATTTTATCTTAAGAGGAGCATTGTAAAAATCTTAGAAGATTAAGATCACGCTATGGATGGGATAACAAGAATGAATGAATGACATACACATGAGCCTCATGTGATCCATTATTAAATTATACGCCTTCTCTGATCTGTGACTTGCACACTTTCATTCAACAGCTTGGGACTTGGTAACGAGATCTTTCTGACTGGGGAAGGATGGCTTTCTTTCCTTGGCGGCATCTGTAAAATTGTAATCTTCCTCACTGTCTGACTTGATTCTCACCGCTAAAGATAGCCGACCCCTTTCCAGAGGGGTAGGAAAAGGGAGCTCAGGGCAGTGTGATACTGGGCGATGGATGAAAGAATGTCTGAATACATGATAGGCATGCTCTTGCCAGTTCAACGTCTGGGAGGGTCCACCATGCAGAAGTAGCAGTTGCTTGAGTGGTCAGTCAGTTCCTGCCAAATTCTTGGGATAGCAAACTTCATGGCTCTCTTTTCTCCCCTGTACCAGCCTGTAAACATAGCAGAATTATATAAATTTTAAAAAATGGTATTTCACACATTACCTTATATTATGTAAGATATTACCATAGGGCAGCGATGGCGAACCTTTGAGACTAAGTGCCCCAAAACTGGCCCTGCTCCTGCTCTACCCCCTACCCCGCCCCCCCACCCCATCTGCCCGCAGGGCCACTCACTGCCTCCAGGGCCCACCACAGTTCACCCAGGCAGCCCAGCAGTGCTATGGCGGTCACGCCCTCTGCCCACGCCCTGCAGCATCAACTGTGCATGATGGGGTGTGAGGGCAGAGTCTTGTCTATGGTGCCTGGCTGCCATGTCCTTGGCTGCGCTGCTCCAGGTGGGCCATGCTCAGGGGCGACTCTCCTTCAGGGGGGCTGCTGGAGAGGAGGGGGTCGTGGGGGGAGGCGAGGCTGGGGCAACAGCACGTGTGCCCACAGAGGGCTCCAAGTGCCGCCTCTGGCACCCGTGCCATAGGTTCGCCACCACTGCCATAGGGCGTAAAATATATATCACAATCTGTATTTTCCTAGAATATTGAAAATAGGGGGAAAAAATTTAATTGAAACTCTTTTAAATTGTAATAAATCACTGAAATTCCAACTAGCGAGCAGCAATTGTTCATCATACCTTCAAGAGTTATCTTGCAATGTTCGCATGTGAAATAAGGTGCCCAGGGCTTGTCTCGATCAGCAACAGGCATGCCAAAATATGTTTTGTAGGCCTTGCACATCTTAATATGCTTTCACAGAGTACTTTTCATTCTTGTCTTGATAATTGTCCACATACATAGCAAAATGCACCTGCTGGATGCAAGCAACCTCTTGATACCATCTAAATCAAATATTTCATTATTCTCCTACTCAGTAATTAGACAAATTAAAATGTTGGTTTAAGGTACCAGTACTTTTATATTTCTATGGATACTATTGGATGGTCCCAAAAAGAGCTATAAAGTTCTAAAGGATTCCAGAAAATTCTAGGAAATTCTGACCAATCCTAGAAACTTCTGGATAGCTCTCAGTTCCAGAATATCCTGGAAGTCTACACAGCATTCAATGTTAATCGAGAACGATCTTGAAAACAGATAAATATCAAAATATTGTCCTGAATACACAAGCAATGTTTTTGTGGAACAATAACTATTTTCTCTTTATTTTAGGCATGAGGGATTAGGAAAACACACTGTTTACCCAGGAACAAAAACTCAACTGAAATTTGTTACATATAGCATTACAGGTAATCTTAAAACATCTCTAGTTAAAAAACATGAGTGCCTATGAGTCACTTATGCCTTGACAACTGTAGTGTCACAAAAATATGAATCTATATTTTGTTTTATAACGTAGTCCATGGGCAATAATTTCACAGGATTAGCTTAATTAATTGAGCCCGACATTTCTGTTGCTAAGCAAGACAGTTATTAAATGAGTTTTGCCCCATTTTACAACTTTTTCTTGCCACAGTTGTTAAGTGAATCACTGAAGTTGTTAGTAACATGGTTATTAAGCTAATCTGGCTTCCTGATTGCTTGTCAGGTCCCAAAAGGTGATCACATGACACCCAGACCACCACCACCCCCCCAGAACACAGCAACTGTCATAAATACAAACCAGGCGCCCAGCATTTGATCACATGACTACGGGAAATGCTGCAACACTCGTTAAGTGTGAAAAACAGTCATGGGTCACTTTTCTCAGTGCCATTGTAACTTTGAACGGTCTCTAACCGAACTGTTGTAAATTGGGAACTACCTATATACCACCCTTAGCGGCTTTGTAGCAAACCCGAACCCGAAGAGTGTGTCTGTATGTCAGCAATCAGGAAACCTACAACAGATCGCCTTATACTCTCTTCTAAAAGAAACCTATTACAGTACGTCTTTTTTCCGCTCAGTCCGTTCGTTGCTTCTTAAAACCAAAAAGAAATTACGAAATACCCGCCCCTCACACGCTCTCTCTTGCCTTCCTATCGAGGCCTAAGAGTCAGCCGCCGCAGAACCTCCGACGCCCGCTTCCCTCACGCGCCCCGCCCAAAATGCCCAATGGAGGCAAAAGTGATTTGTTCCCACAGAGAGCCATGGGAGGGCGTGGCCTCCCGAGTCACGTGCAGCACCTGGAACCAATCGGGTGATCGCGTGATACCAACCCCGGCCGCTGCTACTGCTACCAGAGCAGCGGGGTTGTTGTTCTTCCCCCCCCCCATAACTCCCTTCCTTCCTCCCTCCCTCCCTCTTCTCCCCAAGATGGCGGCACCGGCGGGCGACTGAGGGGAGGGCTGAGAGCTGGAAAAGACAATCCTGGCTGCCGCCGGGAAGGGAAGAGAAGACGTTCCCGCCTCGATTTTTTTTTTTTTTTTTGCTCTTGCCGCTTCTCCCTCTTTCCCTTCGGCCCTCTAGGAGGATGGTAAAATGACCCAAGTGGGGAAGAAAAAGAAAAGGGCCGCCAACCGCAGCATCTTGCTGGCCAAAAAGATCATCATTAAGGACGGCGGCACGGTGAGAAAGCGGCTGGTGTGGCGGGGGAGGTTTAGCGAGCCTCCAAGCCGGTGGGGAGAAGGGAGGCTGGCGGGGCGAGGCGAGGCGGTGAGGGCCTCCAGGCTGCTTTGTGAGGCCTGCGTTACGGGGTTGAGGGAGCGGACCTGTCAGCTTGGACCAGCCTCACCATCCCCATGCCGCCTCGGTTTTCCCCGCGTCGACAACTCGTATCGTATCCTGATGATGAAGGATTCACGCGATAGGGAGGGGAGAGAGCCTCCCCCAATATACTTGGTGAGATTGAGACCACTTTAAAGCCGGGCTTGAGGAACACGTGTCCTTTAAAAGGAGAATCGTCCCAACTTTTTTGGACTTGGTTTTCTATCCCTTTTTATCGATATTCTGATTTTGCTCTATTTGGTTTTTTTTTGGGGGGGGGAGATATTCAGGGATTTCGAAACGACGAAGATGGGAATACAGCATGCTTTCTCTGCCCTTTCACCGCTTAACTTTATAAAATTGTGTCAGCATATACTGGCTCCTAACTTTTGGGCAGTATTTTATCTATAGAATCCTTCAGTTAAGAATCGCTCGTTTTCAGTGATTTGATATTTTTTATAAATGGTTAAGTCACTTGGTCTCCTGAGGATGCTTTTCAAAAACTGACTGTGGAATAGCTCCATCAAAATATTTAACCACTAACCGTTTTCTTAATCACTTTGGTGAGTCATTTTATTAAAATAAACTGTTCAGATAGGATCCTTTGTTACAAAATAACGTGAAATATAGAAGTGTCAGTTATGTATACTTTACCTGAGAATATCTTTTGGAGAAATGATCTTTAGTTGGGGAACTTGCCCAGTATTATTTTTTTGTTTTATCTGTTGTGTAATAATCATGTTGTAGTCACCTGTAGACATAATTGAACTGAGGAATAAAACATTTGATGTGATTTTTAGTAATGTGTAGAAATACCAATTACCAGATGTGTAGATATTCCTATGTATTGTAGGGTGTGTCTCACAAATGCGCTATGGACTTCATAGTTTTGTGTTTCAAACCAGGTCTGTAGATTGCCCTTTTGAAAAAGAAAATGTGTTTTCTCTGGTGAGTAGCTTTCAGTAATGGTAGTAGCACAGATAGTCAACCTATGGCCTACCTTACAGATCATCCTAAAGATACTTTTAGGGGAGTAAGCATAGGAAAGTTGCTGTAGTGGGAAACTAATCGGGAGAGCCACATACCTTATGGGACATTGAAGTGATTGCTCTGGGCAGTTATCAGAAGAGCAATAAGGGAAGTTTGGCTCAGTTTGCCATTAAGTACTACTTTATTCTGTTGAATGATAGAACTAGTTCTGCTTTTGCAGTGATCTGAATCCAGTTGTGCCTGATTGTTATGTGTTTAAATATTTGAATAAAGTTGATGTCTGTGACATAAGATCCATTGATTTAATTTGAGTCAGGTTTGTATAAGAAGTGCTTTGCATATTTAACATATGCTGTGATTATACTAGTCTATGGTTAATATGCCAGACATGAACAATATCAGATGTATGCTTAGGGGTACGGTAAACAGGCAGCAGAGAACTGCAGCCAATTAAAGTGCCCTAATGTGTGTGTTCCTGAGTCTTTAGGGACAGGTTACCTATTTACTTTGCTATCTTAACTCTAAGCAGCTATTATGTTTGCAGTCTGATCCTCAGCTGATTTTGTGTTGCCTTTTGCAGGTGTATTTTCATTTCAGCAAAAAAAAAATGCCCTTGAAAATCTCATGTGCATATTAGTAACATGTCAAAGTTCTGAATTTTTAAGTTTAATAGTCAAAAACATGTGCTACCAACTTATGCCATTGAGTATGATCCCTGGTATTCAAGGATGTGAATAATGTTTCTCTATGTAACATTAATTATATAGCATGAATGCCTATGTTCTTTAAAAGGGAAATCTTACACGAAACATGGGCTTGCTGAGGAAATGTGACAGATCTGTGTAATGCCATGACTTTGAATGAACTGTAAAGTTTGCTCTGTTGTAATGGTAATTTTAATACTGTTAATTGTGGAAAGCTTTGTTGATAATAGTTCTTTAAAATTTGTAGGACCCTTGTTAAGATCCCATTAACTTGTGAAATCTTGGATATATTTCTGTTAAAAGAATCCTCCTGGAAGTATATTGTTTTTATATTAAAGAAACAACCTGGTGGTATTTGAAACAAGCTGTTTGGTTACTTAAGTTGGATTGTGTGCTACCATCTAGGTAGGATATGCAAAATGTTAAACAAAAGGTTTGGTGCATGGAACAATGGGTGTTAGGCAATGTGTCTCTTGGGAGCAACTCTTGGAAGGAAGGCTCTGGAAAGATTGGCATATGAACTGGCATAAGGACAGTGTAGGGTTGCCTTGTAACACCCCTCTGAATTTTATTTCAGTCATTACCTAAAACAACTAGGAGGCTCTATGTGTTAGTTTAAGGCAAATTGCAACCTACCCAGAACAGTTTGACCAGATTCCTGAGCCACAGTGTGTTTGTTTCACACGTGAACAATACATTTTACATTTTGTGAGCAATTCCTATTATTACCCAATACTAGTAATACATTGAAAGCTTCTTTCTGCCATGTTTTAGGGTATGCTTCTATCTTTTAAGCTGTTTCTTTTTAGTTCATGGGAAATAGTATTTAATAATATCTCAAATGCACAAGTTTTTCAGAGCTGTGCGCTGTTCTTCAAATAATAAGTATTACAAAATGCTCTTTTCTTTTTTTATGAATAAACTATCAAGAGAAAAGAGTTACACTCAAGATTCATACTGCACTGAACTATGCTGTTCTCCTGACTATAATGCCACCTATTATTAAATTGCTAAACAGACAGTTATAAATTTTAGTCAGTATAAAGCTATGAATGGAGCTGGCTTGATAGATTTTGATATAGCAAGTACATGAACTCAGAACAATAAAACTGGCATTTTCAGGGGTCCTGCACTTTCCAAAATGTTTCACATTTGTAATTGTATAAAATAGTGTAGAGAAAGAATTTACTGTAGATTTAAGAATCAATCTTAAATTTTTCTTTTGTATTTCCATACTTCATGTTTGTTTTTTTGGGACTGGTGAAGGTGATATTATTTTTTAAAGAAACTATTATTCCTTTTTCAGTGTTATTCATACTTTAGATTTCAGAGATGCCGCATTAAACTTTTGGGCTTCAAAGTCATATTTGTAGGGATTAAGCGAGAAGTCAAATGTGGAACATCAAAACTATTACTTTCCAATAATTACATTCCTGGATTTTTGAAACATTAGCGAACACATATGCTGATTCTTGAAGACTTGTAGAAACTGCTTTAAAAATATCCTTGTACTTTTAATCTATTACTGCCAGTGTCAGTTGTGGCCCAGTACTGTTGTGCAGCTAGATAAATAGAGAATGAATTTATTATTGGTGATAAAGTTACCTTTCCCATTCTTGAAGAGAATAAGAGAGTTGCAGTATTTCCTCTTGCATTTCTTAATCGCTTACACTTCTTAAGTGCATGGTACTGTACAAGACAAGGCTATTATAGTTTTTCATGCAATGATTCAGTGATACAGTTGGTCCTTGACTTAACCATTCACTGATCGAAGTTATGCCCATGCTGAACAAAGGAACTTAAGACTGGTCCCTGAAGTTATGGCTCTGTAGCACCCCATAATCACGTGATCAAAATTTCAGAATTTGACAGACTGCCTTATGATTACAGGAGTGCTTCAGCTTTCCTGCCTGCCATTCCCCCCCCCCCCATCTATGCCGTTTGGACCCCCTGGGCTCTGCAGCCCAAGCCATTCTAGCTTATCTTCTTGCTCCCATTGCTGACCAAGCACAACTGGCCAGGCTGTACTAGAGGCGAAAGCTAGCTGCACAGTGCTTTCTTCCGAAGGTCAGCAGCTGGCTTGCTCCAGCAAGAGAGGAATGTTACAGACTCAATCAAGGAATTTCAGCTGGTGGGGCTTAGGGGCAGAACTTTTCTGCTGTGGCCCCACTCTTTGGAACATCTTGCTGATGGAGGTGAAATCCTCTCCCACCTTCTTGGCCTTTCAGAAGAGCTTCAAAACCTGGCTCTGTTGAATGGTTAGTGCCCTGATGGGGGCACCTTATGCTAGAAGTAGCTGAGAGAGAATAAGAGAGAAGTAGAATAAGAGAGAAGATCCCATCTCTGTTCCGCTTGTGTACTTGGGTCCTAGTTTTATCTAATTCCTGTTAATTTTAATCTTTTTATATGTGTGCTTTTACTGTGTTGCAAGCCACACATAGTCACTTTAGATAGTGTGATGAGGGAGATATAAATTCAATAAAATAAAATAAAAGGGGCCAGGGCAGGCATGCCTCATCAGCAGTGAGAGCAAGAAGAAGGTAAAGATCAGCTGCAATGGTGGCATGCAATGGTGTTTGGCTGGGCTGGAACAGCAGTTTTGCATTGTGCTGCTG